TGACCTTGACTGTGGGTGTCACTCCTTTGTAATCTTCAAAGGAGCATATCAGCCTGTGATTGGGAAGATTTTTTTCTTCCTAGATCCCATTCTAGACCAATCAAATTACTTCACTTGTGCCCTCCATTTTGCTGTGACATTTTCCAAAGGTGCAGAGAGCAAAAGTGAACGTAACCCTTGGAGAATCGAGGATGCATTAGCCTCTAATAAAATTTCAGGGATGGTGGTATCATGAGTCTCAGGTTGAGATTTAAGAAAATCTCCTGGAAAACAGGACAAGTTGTGTAGAAAGAGCAGGTCGCTGTGACTTCATCAGAGAATTAAATATGGTTTCTGTCAGTCAGCTGACTGAGCATATTTCTTTGGCTCAGTTGGTAGAACCAGAGATCACGGTTTGATTCCTGTCAAAGCATTCGGCAGGAATGTACTTGTTTTCCCCAATTCTTTAACAGATTGTTTTTAATCATCAGTGCCCTTCCAACATGAAGGTTTGATGTATTTGTAAAAATCAATTATTCTTTCCATCCTTCTTTTAAATTACATTAAATTTATTTCCTTGCTTTACAAATTGATTTGCGTGAAAAAATTTTACCTCTGAAATGTTTACATCATCAATCAGAGTGCAGTTGTGTTCATTATTACAGGCAACCTTGAACTAATACTTAAGAAGAATTTAGGGTAAAGCATCCATTAGGTATTGCCAATACAAGCAGTTACCATTAAGGTCTCCATCACTGCACAAAATATTGGGACATAACAGCATCAGTGGAAAACGATAAACACAATGTGAAAACAAAACCTTACACATAAAATGCGATCAGCATGATATGTTACTATCTAAATGTCTGGATTTGGGTTCAGTTTACAGAGTTAAAGTACCTCTTTAAAGTTCACATCGACCAGATAATTATTTCAAGGATGAGATGTAAAAATCTAAATAGCTTTCCCTCTCTATAGATTGGACCTTGGGGACTTTGATATCTTTCATACAGATCTAAATTCATATCAATATTACTATCCTGCCAAGGCTTGATATAATTTGTCACTTCGTCCAGCACTAAGTCAGCAGTCAGGAGATGGCTATTATTCTAATCTTCAAATGGAGATCCAATTTGATGTTTCTTGGGTGATCCAGTGTTTGTAATCTTGCAGTAATAAAATAAAATTGGAAATATCAAGATATTTTTTTGTTAACCTCAAAGTCAGAAACGCAGAGGGTTTATTATTTTGAAGGAGAATAAATGTTAACAATATGGCTACATACTTCAGTACTTTAAAGATAAGTAGCATTATTCAATAAAATTCTAAAATTCACAACCAACACCAATTCAACAAGCACAGATTATAAGCCTATTAAAAATTAGAACTATTTTTAGAAAACGAAAATAAAATTACAAGCACACGTCTGGATTAAAAAGTTTCCCAATGGGAAAATTACGTTCTGGCTGAAGTAACGATCAATAGCTATGAAATAAAAATTATGTTTTAGTCAGAATATTTAAATGTCCCCAATGGTAATTACTTGATTCTTGCTTATATTTTTTCATCTTCAATCTTACTTTTATGGTGGGCGTGTGATTTATGTTAACTGCTTTGCTATTGGTTTATAATAATGAATCAAATCAATTAACACGTCTGTTTTTTTCCTTTCACACTTTAAAACCAATTGTCAACTTTATGATTCTTTCAACGAACGATCATGATTCATATACATGTCTAAAACACTTTCTGTGATTAAGCTTGACAAAGAGGCTTCTCTGAATACATAGCAATCTAGAACGAACATTGAGACAATATTAAAACACAACCCATGACCACTACACAACCAATACAATGGAATGTTGGGTGGCCCAGATGTAAGACAATCGCCTTTCATCTAGCAATTCAGGGTTTGATTTCCTAAACAGACATAGATGAAAAGGTACAGGGTTACCTGCCCGATCACGTGGGTGATCTGGAGTAAGAGTCCTTATGTGTTTCCATTCTGGCAAACACGAGTGATAAATAGAATCTGGAATAAATTGCTTTATAACTGATATGAAATAAATAAAGTTCTAAATGTTAAAACACCGACCCACAGCCAGAACCTGGCAACTGCCCCAAGTAGGCCCTGAACCCACAACCCAGAGATGGAAACTAGAGATAAAGATGGTCAGTTCAGTCTGATTCAGTTCTTTTATATCCTTAGGTCAAAGGTCATTCAGAGGGGAAGTACTGTTATGCATATATACGACAATGTAAATCTGTTTAAACATTATCAATCACCATGTTGACAACCTGACATATTTGAGAACACGATTGATAATGATAAACAATACATACAACTGCACCAGAAAAATAGAATATACAATCAGACATTTTTATTTCTTATTTTCCAGATAAACGTAAGAATTTTCCATCGTTACATAGTACTTTAATCTTAAGTACACTGAATAATTGTATAAATATTATAAAGTAGTATGTTTCCGATATTTACTTCTGAGATAACTGAGGGACATTTGAGAATTTTATATCAGACACCTTAACTATTTGGCCACTGAGCCGTACCTCCATAGAGGGAGCCTTAGTAGCAATATCATTGCGATCAAGCTATTACCTTTATAGAACACCAGAAATCTTAGTAGAAATGGTATTATATAGACCTTAAACCTGGAGAATTACATGAACTATATATAAATAGTTCATACACTCAGGCTTGGAAACCAAATAATGTGTTCACATATTTTATTTAATTGACAATGTCTTCAATATTTGCATTCTGGGCTCAAAACGTTAACTTAACAATTTAAAGTCATCTAAATCAGAAAGAGGTGAGTGACCACGTCCCTGACTCAGGTGGCCATCAAAATCTTACACCAACACAAGAAGCAAGGATCACTTACATTTGATTTGGTTTTGTAAACTTAAATCTGAATATCTGAATTCAAATATCAAATGTATGTTATACTCTGTGGTGGAGAAACCGACATCAGAAACACAGACTAACGTCTCTCATTCAAGGACAAGGGAATGACAGCTAATAGAAAAACTGATCTGTTCCAATGCTGACCAAATTTCAATAAAGTTTACTGTACTCTGCAGTATAACACAACATAATTACAAAACATATCATGTGATTCCCACAACGGAGCACCACAATCAATTTGGACTTGTGCATTGTACACACAGAGCCACATGTTTTCTTATGTATCATATAACAAACCATCCCTACACTGTCTCGTGTAACCAAATATCCATCTAAGCTGATTAGAAGTTGTAGGACAATTTAATCTGTTTTTGATCAAATTTTATTATAACCCAATGGCGCCACTCATTCAACATCACATTGCTTAAATAAACAACTTGTTCATCATCTTCAGGAAAATGCTATTTTCGCACAAAGATTTATTCTATTCCCAAAAAGATGATACTAATTAAACAAATAAAAAAAACCCAGAAAAACACCCACTCCATCAAACCCAATACCACATGGGAGCCATAGGGTTGTCAAAATCTCAGTGTAAACAAATAGAGAAATTGCTCATGCATCACATCGACACCATCTTTATTGTTTTTGTTCTGCTGTAATTTGATTAAGTCAGCACTTAATGATGAAACTTTTCTTCCTCCTATGATGAAACCTTTCTTCCTCCTTTTGCATGGAACCTCTCAGTTGCATTGGGACTTGTATTTAGGTAATTTTGTTACCCTGAATTAACAGGGTTGAAAAAATAGTCTATAGACTCGTTAAATGTTCCTCTCCACGGAAATCTTTAGTAAAAGGCGAAAGATTTATGCGTGGTTTGAAGAGAAACCAGAGTGATATGACATGCCTTGCTTTCATGCTATATTCGCCGAATTCACCAACAATCATGGCTATTGTAAAGTGCTGATAATAATTTTAACCAAATGCTCATCATATTTTTACAAAAATGTTATAAAATAGATTTTACTATAACTTATCAAATATTGTTAAATATATCGTTTTAACAATTTAGCGTACGTATTTATAAAATTAAACAATTTATTACTTTTCTGAACCAGTCAAGTAAGGGAGGTAACTAATAAACAAGCAAACCGGTAAGGCGCGAAAGTCAGCAGAAAGTGTTTGTCATGTAGTGAATCACCTGCTATCTGTCTTATTCGTGATGATAAGTGGGCAATGAAGCTGATCTTTGGGTCAAAATAAATAAAATCCATTGTTGGGCGAATCAAGGATGTATCATACTGCTCTATGTATCCCTTGGTGAATTAGAATATGCCATATGGTCAGTCACCCTTCTATACATAACATGTCAGTAGGCCTACATATTGTTTGTTAGATTATCATTTATCTTACTGTATTTATATAACTAAAATCGGTCAATAGGGTTTTGGTCATGCATTATGGTAATTGTCATTACTTTCCTTCTTCTATAAATAAGAATTATCCAAAACAGATGTAATCTGGGCTGACATCGTCTACAAGTCTTGCTCAAGTCCCTAAACTTATAAGGATAGACATTCAAAGTACATGGTAATGAGACATAAAGAGTTAATAATTATTCATGAAATATTTCAAATACAGTCAGACACATGCTTCTTTAGATTATACTTACCTTAAAAGAGTAGTGTTAAATAAATTATTAACTTTTAATAACAGAAAAGCTGATCTAAAAATATATCCAGAATATTCTAGAATTGCCCAACAATTATTCTAGATTTATCCACAGCAGTTCTAGTACATGCAGTTCTAGCACATTTGTTCTAAAACAGTTCCAGTGAAATTCCAGAACAGTTCAAATCATTTCCACCAGAGTAACTAAGCTTTCTGAATGTCGTTTAATAATATCCTTGATTAAGAAACAAATAAAGGAAATCAATATGTATTGTAAACGATTATGAATAGTAACTTTACTATGTTATAATGCCCTCATTTATTTTCTGAATGTGCAGACAATTTTTCCAATGATAAGAATGTCTGCTAAATCAGCACATCGTAGATTAGAAACAAGAGGTTTTAATGGACTTGTACTACTCACCTGCTCTGAAGCTTATAAACAGAAGTTTTAAATGGGTGATTTTAATCAGACAACTAAATCTTTAAACTTTTAAACTTTTAAATTATGCTGCTGGTCAAAGTCTGTAGAAACAACTTAGTTGGAAGATTTTCAGTCGTTTATGCTTTGTAGCTATAAACTTTGTACCTTCCCTTTCCAGCACTTATACTACAGGTCATTCATTTCAACAAAATTGCCTTCATTCATCATACTGTTGATACAGGTGTAGCTTATAATTATAATATGTACACTTAAGTGGCAACTAACACATTGTCTGAAAAAAATCTTTTCAAATGCTAGTGTGCAGATTACAGCAGATTACAGAGTGTTAATGAAGATAATGACGTCTAAAGGGTGGTGTGATGGCATCTTCTCAAGGGTGTTGTGTTAAAAAGGGTTGTGTCTTAACAAGGGTTGTGTCTTAACAAGGTAATGTCTTTGAGGGTTAGTGTGATGTTAGGTGTCCTAACAGGAGTGGAGTCTTAACACCAGGAGTGGTGTTTTAACCAGGCTGGAATCTTAATTGAGGTGATGCGCTAACAAGTCTTAACAGGGGTAGAATCTTAAACAAAGTGTTGTCGTAAATGGAATACATGTGACTTAAGGGAGTCTCCATTGGGGTGTTATCAGAACAGGGGTAGTGACTTAACACCAACAGTGTCTTTCAGGGCAACATGTTTTAACAGAGGTGGAGTATTAATGGGAGTGGTGTCCTAAAAGGTTTATAAAGGGAGAGCATTAAAATACAGTGACACCTTAAACAATGTGGTCTCTTTTTAAAAGAGTTTTAATATGTCTTGTAGTTTGTTTGCAGGTGATTACAAAACTGGTGTCTAAGAGATATTAATTCTTTAGTGATAGGTGTGGTCAGTCGAGAAACTATTCAGTATAGAAAACATGCAATACTGACTTTTGGTAGCTTCACAGCACCAACTGGCTGGTATCGGAACTGTCCTCTCAGTATGCCTGGATCTGTTACACTGAATGTGGCTGTAGATAGCACTTCCTGAAGAACAACAACATTTCTTCATGTATAATTGAATAACCACTTCCTATGTAATATTAACACTTGTAAATGTAAAACTGGATTTCTTTATCAGTTATCAAACTAGTCAGAATTTATTAACCAATTACAAGGAAATATTTGCTTAATTACTTAGTATTTAGACCAATAAAACTAGATATGTAAGAGCTAAACAAATGCCTATTCTGTATTTCTTGATCTATTTCAACTCAATTTAAAATTTAGTCTTACCAGTTTTGAGAAAATTTTCATTCTTTTAAAATTCTCAAAGTTAAATGGCCAAAACTCTTAAAAAGATTAAATCATCATGACCAAATCATTCAAACTTCATGTTATAGTTATATGACTACATACCAAATAACAGTTTTATATCTGTATCTGACAAAGCCAATTAAGACAATTACGGAAAGACAGCCAAGGGTAACACTACATTCATGCCCCAACCATGAAATGGAAGAGGGCATTGAAAAACAAATAAAACATTATTTTCCGCACATTTTCAATGTAAAACAAGGTATAACAAAGTTATATACTTGATACAGTGGACCTGCTAAGCCTACGCATGAAACATTTTAAAAATAAATAGCTGAGAGCTCCAAATGTCAGATGAACGTGAAGTATAAAAAAAATGGCAATAGTATGACTGTTATCTACAAGACCCTTACATTTCAACACGCTCTTTTCCCCTGGAACTAGAAAAGTGGCTGATTTTTTAAAAGGCATTTTTTTTGGAAGTCCTCTGACTTTACCATAAGTTACATGAACATGTCACGACCTTTTTCCTACTTTGTATATTGTTTTGTAGACATCATACATGTGAAAAAAATTTGGTAGTGACTCCAAGAAATGAACAGATTTAAACCTTAATACATTCAAGTATATCATTTAATTCCACTATATCTAGTATAGAATATATGTATACTTTACAATCTCCCCTCGGCTGGCAAGGAAAATCCTGACTCAGTTGAATAATAGAAATTGTTCTATCTGTGATTCAACAATGGTCAAATTGATTAATTTCAGCACGTTATTGTACTTACCGGTACTTTGACACAATTCAATACTGATATTTTATTGACAACAACATCATACTAGTTTTTTTTGTAAAAAAAAATTACACCCATCTACATTTAAGTCTAGAATTTATAATTTTTTAGAAAATGAATGAATCTTTCTGCTCTAATGTCCAAGCTTTAGACTGTGCCAGAACCATCCCTTTGTCAAACTGAATGGTTTATAAAACCTGAAAAAAACTTACATCTTGGATTTTCTGTGTTTTGTAATCAGCGTTTACAATCTTTTTACACCTGCTAATCAACAGGTAGTTGGTGGACCATGTCTAAAGGGGTTCTCTACAGGAAAATAGTATGTCCAATTATTCTATATCTGAATTTTTGTAACTGGTTCATGGTCATCACACCGAGTAACTGCATATTTGTTATTCCGTGGCAATCCTAGATTTTATTTGAAGCCTTGCGATGGGCACACACCAGCAAAACAATACAAGAAGATAATGCTTTAGACAAACTTTCTTTTCAATAATAAACAAAATGATCATCAGTATGTATGTATATTCATCACCAGCCCCACCTGTTCTTCAGTGAATTCCTCCATGTAATAGTCAATAGTGACCAATTAAATATACCTTAGAGCAGTTTCGTTGGCTGTACAAGTCAGAAACTGATTGTGATGTAACAATATGGACAATCACATTACGTTATGATCTAAACATTTCACAACAAAAAGGCTGCCTTCATTTTATCTAGTTCTCTACTTTCTTACTTTTAAACCTTTCACCATTTTTTCTGAGCTATATGATAAAAAGCATCTTAAATTTGCTTTTATTTCATAAAAGATCTTGGAGTTAAAATTCTCGCTTGCTTAGGTTTGAAGAAGTAAAACCTCATTCAAAAGGACACCAGACGTCTCGTTAGAGATATGGTAGAATGAGAAAAATGCCTCTTAAAAATGTTGTAAATGGGTCTATTAAGCTTCAAGGCCTGATGACAAAGATTACATAAGGATAGTTGTAACCTTGTAAGGTATATATGGACCCATCAATAATACTTAATCAAGACTTCCATAACTTCAAGATCTATTCAATCGGAAAAACGTCATTTGAATTCTGTTTCTATTTCATGTAGAATCAAAAACCCAATATTCTTGGCTTCAGCTATAGCCACAAGTAGGAGGAAGTGTCAGAGTATCACGGGTCTTCGTCACATCAATTCCAGAATGGATTACGAGCTGTTCATCAAACAATCATTTCTAGGAATTACATATGTAATGGTGTCTCATCCAAAATTACAGCCATAATGATGTGGTATGTTCTCCTCTTATCATAAACATTGATTCTAGAAACTTAGGTGTCAATATCAGTGCTTTTTATGAACACCAAACCGAGACAGGGAGCCTAACCAGAAGTTGCTGATAAGGAATGCCAACCTCTTACCAGCCTGGACATATCAGCTATAGGTAGTGAACAAGGCAAATACTTAATGATTTAATTGGAAAAATTTTGCTGACACCATCAGACCTGATCAAAGTTGAAATAAACACAAGACTTGAACAACCAAAGTACTTTTAACTGAAATATAATCTACATTTAAAAATGTTTGTTCATAAAGTCACTTTAGGTTTAATCTTAGAATTCCTTTTGACTAATTATCATTCTTAACTATGACAGATCAGCTGATGATTGAGAAATATTTGGTGACAAGGTATGATTGATTAAATTGCACATGATACAAAGTTACAATTATAATACACCCTAGAGAGAAGACAAGAGATAACGACATCATTATTTCCAGCCTTGACAATCAGTTCCTCGCATTGCTTAAGGTGCATGCAAGTCACTGAACAGAGTGTCACAAGTAACCAGAGGCTTTGTGAAGCCATACAACCATCATCTATACAAATTGTTTCCTGTGTCTACCACCAAGACTAATACAGTGAGGTCTGAATGACGACAAATTAGTTCATTAGTCTTTTTCACTCCCCTAAAGGAGTTTTTCTTTACTTTCTTATTAGATATATACACACTGTAAGCAAACATAAGTGTTACATAGTCTATACAGCTCACTTGGTACATAGATTCTGTATACAATAAACTAACTGATACAGATGTGGTTTTAGCAGACTTTGTTTAGTTTACCTGGTACATACATAGTTCACCAAGTCTGTATTCACTAACATACAGGCATAGATTACAGAGTTTTTATATAACTTACCAGCTAAAGAATTTGCTTAATGAAACTTTGTGTAGCTTATCGGGTATAGACACAGTTCACCGAGTGTTAACTACATTTATCTGGTACAGACAGTCTTTAATAACCTTATATGGTACAGACACAATTTACTGAATCTGATCCATGCACAGTTCACCAAGACTACAAATCTGACCTGATACACAGTTCACTGAGTCTTTATAAGTCTTATCTGATCTATGCACAGTTCACCAAGACTTCAAATCTGACCTGATACACAGTTCACTGACACTTTATAAGTCTTATCTGATCTATGCACAGTTCACCAAGACTTCAAATCTGACCTGATACACAGTTCACTGACACTTTATAAATCTTATCTGATCCATGCACAGTTCACCAAGACTACAAATCTGACCTGATACACAGTTCACTGAGTCTTTATAAGTCATATCTGATCCATGCACAGTTCACCATACACAGTTCAGACTTCAAATCTGACCTGATAGAGACACAGTTCACTGAGTCTTTATAAGTCATATCTGATCCATGCACAGTTCACCAAGACTACAAATCTGACCTGATACACAGTTCACTGAGTCTTTATAAGTCTTATCTGATCCATGCACAGTTCACCAAGACTACAAATCTGACCTGATAGAGACACAGTTCACTGAGTCTTTATAAGTCATATCTGATCCATGCACAGTTCACCAAGACTACAAATCTGACCTGATACACAGTTCACTGAGTCTTTATAAGTCTTATCTGATCCATGCACAGTTCACCAAGACTACAAATCTGACCTGATAGAGACACAGTTCACTGAGTCTTTATAAGTCATATCTGATCCATGCACAGTTCACCAAGACTACAAATCTGACCTGATACACAGTTCACTGAGTCTTTATAAGTCATATCTGATCCATGCACAGTTCACCAAGACTACAAATCTGACCTGATAGAGACACAGTTCACTGAGTCTTTATAAGTCATATCTGATCCATGCACAGTTCACCAAGACTACAAATCTGACCTGATAGAGACACAGTTCACTGACCAATCTGATCCATGCACAGTTCACCAAGATACAAATCTGACCTGATAGAGACACAGTTCACTGACCTTTATAAGATGATAGAGACACAGTTCACTGAGTCTTTATAAGTCATCCATGCACAGTTCACCAAGTCTTCTACCTGATACTACAAATCTGACAGTTCACTGAGACTTTATAAGTCTTATCTGATCCATGCACAGTTCACCAAGACTACAAATCTGACCTGATAGAGACACAGTTCACTGAGTCTTTATAAGTCTTATCTGATCCATGCACAGTTCACCAAGACTACAAATCTGACCTGATACACAGTTCACTGAGTCTTTATAAGTCTTATCTGATCCATGCACAGTTCACCAAGACTACAAATCTGACCTGATACACAGTTCACTGAGTCTTTATAAGTCTTATCTGATCCATGCACAGTTCACCAAGACTACAAATCTGACCTGATACACAGTTCACTGAGTCTTTATAAATCTTTTCTGATCCATGCACAGTTCACCAAGACTACAAATCTGACCTGATACAGACACAGTTCACTGAGTCTTTATAAGTCTTATCTGATCCATGCACAGTTCACCAAGACTACAAATCTGACCTGATACACAGTTCACTGAGTCTTTATAAATCTTTTCTGATCCATGCACAGTTCACCAAGACTACAAATCTGACCTGACCTGATACACAGTTCACTGAGTCTTTATAAGTCTTATCTGATCCATGCACAGTTCACCAAGACTACAAATCTGACCTGATACACAGTTCACTGAGTCTTTATAAATCTTTTCTGATCCATGCACAGTTCACCAAGACTACAAATCTGACCTGATAGAGACACAGTTCACTGAGCCTTTATAAGTCTTATCTGATCCATGCACAGTTCACCAAGACTACAAATCTGACCTGATAGAGACACAGTTCACTGAGTCTTTATAAGTCATATCTGATCCATGCACAGTTCACCGAGACTACAAACCTGACCTGATACACAGTTCACTGAGTCTTTATAAATCTTTTCTGATCCATGCACAGTTCACCAAGACTACAAATCTGACCTGATACACAGTTCACTGAGTCTTTATAAATCTTTTCTGATCCATGCACAGTTCACCAAGACTACAAATCTGACCTGATATAGACACAGTTCACTGAGCCTTTATAAGTCTTATCTGATCCATGCACAGTTCACCGAGACTACAAATCTGACCTGATACACAATTAACTGAGTCTTTATAAATCTTTTCTGATCCATGCACAGTTCACTGAGACTACAAACCTGACCTGATACACAATTAACTGAGTCTTTATAAATCTTATCTGATCCATGCAGAGTTCACTGAGACTACAAATCTGACCTGATACACAGTTCACTGAGTCTTTATAAATCTTATCTGATCCATGCAGAGTTCACTGAGACTACAAATCTGACCTGATACAGACACAGTTCACTGAGTCTTTATAAATCTTATCTGATCCATGCACAGTTCACCGACACTACAAATCTGACCTGATACACAATTAACTGAGTCTTTATAAATCTTATCTGATCCATGCACAGTTCACTGAGACTACAAATCTGACCTGATACAGACACAGTTCACTGAGTCTTTATAAATCGTATCTGGTACAGACAAAGGTTATTAAGTCTATATAAATCTGGTATTGACATAGTACAGACAGTTGATAGATATTTATTGTCACGAGTATCAGTATTATCCTGCACTGGAAATTGAATTGCACTGGAGAGGGAGTATGTCATCCCTGTACAATTAACTAGTCACTTTCTTTATACCAGGTACTGGGCTGGGTCCATAATAGTTGATTAAAGTGTTATCCTACATAACCTTAAGGTGAAGATCTGAGGTCCTTATTTTGACATCCCCTACACCTAACTGTTTGTGTTTCTAAAGAAGCTGGTCTCTGCTGATATGGTTGTGTTCTTGGGCAAGACTCTTTACCCTGATTGCTCTAGATAACATGTGACGGGCCTCCAGTATGTTGTTCAGTGTGGTATTCACTAGCTACTTCAAGTAGATCCACCTCAATGAAACTGAATGTTCATGGGGCAATAAACCCAACAAATAAACTACTAAGAGTTTCCATTTAATTCAAGCTAGAAAACATGACATAGATGGCCCTATTACTAGTCTCAAATGTAAAATCATTTTCATTGATAGTATTGGTACAAATCTGAATTCATATGTCCATGAAGCAAAAAAAAAGTATGTTTACTGTTGACATGAACTTTGGTAAGAGTGTATTTGTTGAGTACTTCCAGTCACAAAGCCCAAGAAATAGTACATTAGTAGTATATTACATATGAAATCATGAATATCCCATTAATCAAAATGATGTTAGGGTTCAACTACAGACAGTAAATACTCACTTGTACGTCCTGTATATGAATGGTCACCTTTTTGGAGGAGTGACAAAAAGTTTTTTACAAGATGGCTGCCAAGGTAATCTTTGATATATGGGTTCTTTTTCTTTATTACCAACTCCTGTAACACTTACCAGTAAAAGTCTCAATCTAGGGTGAGAATTCCATCCTTTCTACATAAATTATGTACTTATTATTTACCTCTGTAGAATGCTCAAACAGTGACACTTGGATGGCAGAGGTGTTTACTAAGACTGTGTCTAGTAAGCCAATCTGATTGATCATCACTGGGTGCATCACCTGAGGATGACGATAATCACATATAATACACACACTGATGAATAAAGGTTAAAGCAAACATCTGGATAGAGAGGTCACACCATTCCAATATAAACACTTCCATATGGAGGTCACATCACTACAACATAAACACCTCAATACAGAGGTCACATCACTCCAACATAAACACCTCAATACAGAGGTCACATCACTTTAACATAAACACCTTCATACAGAGGTCACATCATTCCAACATAATCACCTCCATATGGAGGTCACATCACTTAAACATAAACACCTCAATATAGAGGTCACATCACTCCAACATATACACCTCCATACAGAGGTCACACCTCTCCAATATAAACATCTCCATACAGAGGTCACACCTCTCCATACAGAGGTCACACCTCTCCAACATAAACATCTCCATACAGAGGTCACACCTCTCCAACATAAACACCTCAATACAGAGGTCACATCACTTTAACATAAACACCTTCATACAGAGGTCACATCATTCCAACATAATCACCTCCATATGGAGGTCACATCCTCTCCAACATAAACACCTCAATATAGAGGTCACATCACTCCAACATATACACCTCCATACAAAGGTCACACCTCTCCAACATAAACATCTCCATACAGAGGTCACACCTCTCCAACATAAACATCTCCATACAGAGGTCACACCTCTCCAACATAAACACCTCCATACAGAGGTCACACCTCTCCAACATAAACACCACAATACAGAGGTCACACCTCTCCAACATCCCAATACAGAGGTCACACCTCTCCAACATAAACACCACAATACAGAGGTCACACCTCTCCAACATAAACACCTCAATACAGAGGTCACATCACTCCAACTTAAACACCTCCATAAAGAGGTCACACCACTCCAATATATACACTTTCAAACAGAAGTCATATCATTATACCTGTATTGTAAAAACCCTTTGTATAGCCTTAAGAGAAACTTCATTCTGCTGTAATAATCCTTAGTAAACCTGTTTGAGGGGGAGCAACTCTTAAAATGTAGATTTCTGGGGAGCATCATTCTCAATTGACAAACTAACAATGAGTCTTTACTAAATTTACAAAAATGTCAATTACCTTGAAGTGTAACACCTGGACTGGTTTTTTGTCTTTCCCTGACTCACGTCTACCAACAGGCTCTTTTTCTGTGGTAACGACCTGGACATTTTCACTTTCCACTAAAAGAAATTTAAATATTCATATAATTGCTATTTATGTAGTTACTTTTGGTAAAGCTTTTAATAGGTCAGAATGCTATTAAGCTGTTAATCTAAGTTAACGAGAAGCCTACTTTTTTCCAATGGTTCAATTTTTTTTAGTTTTCCAAAAATTTTTAAACAAAATTGATGTACTTTTTCATGGAAGCCATGAAATCCTGTGGTTTTCTCTATTGATTCCATTAAAAAAAATATCTAGTGGGGGTGTGGGTTTGCTATTTCATTCCATATACAAAATCACAATAGGGCTAAGATCTCCCTTTTTTCAAATTAATACAAGACCTTGAAAAATAAAGTCATAATGTCTGATCCAACAAAGCCTTAGGTATGTCCATGTATACCACACCTTGTAGCTCTCACCTCTTTTCATGGCCTTAACTGCATCAACCTTTGACGTTACAATTACTGAATGACATATAAAATTTTCCAGAACTTGCTGGACATCACAGGTCAGTGCAAACCCACCTGGGACAGAGACTGTCCACTCCTTACAGCAGTACTGGTCTTCTCTGTTGTCTGGATGAAGGTTACAATCAGTATCGCCAACCACAAACCATCCATGTCCCCTAATATATATCACAAACATCAATGGAAAATAAATTGACATAAGATTTCAATAAAAATTTTAAAAAAATCAATATGTTATCTCTAATTTAATTGTTGATTTGTTAGAAAATCCTCATCACAAATGTAGTCATTTTTAGGCCTTTAATTCAGACTCAAAATGGTTTGATAAACACTTTTACTGGAACATTTTTCAGTTCTTAAATCTTTACCTTTTATTGGCATTCAGTTCCTTTAGCCATGTTTCTCGGATGGCTTCACGCGCATCAAAGTGATCTCTTGATGAGAGGATTCCTACTGCCAGATCATATGAAGGTTTCTCGCTCACTTCTCCATTCTGGTCAATCCATTGACAATATCTTTTGCTAAACACTGTAACAAAAACAAAAAATTAAAAAAAAAATAATGGCTGTACTTTTTCATGGCAACCATGAAATTCTGTGGGTTTTCTCTATTAATTCTATTTAAAAAAATATCTAGTGGGGTGGGGGTTTGCTATTTTATTCCATATACGAAAAAATCACGTTTTCAAATTTTTCAAATTGATACGAGACTTTGAAAAATAAATTCATAATGTCTGCTCCAACAAAGCTTTAAAAATTTGTAATCTCAGAATTATCAAAAATGATCTTTTCCTTTCACAAAACTTACAAAATATATGTTAGTGCTATAAATAATTATGTTACATGAAACAAATTATAAAAATGGTGCTGAATGCAGTTATAATGTCCATTTCCCACAAATCATATGAAATGCTACATTGGTGTTTCTGAAATTTAAAACAATACAATACTTTTTCAAATTATTTTTTTAAAAATCAGAACAATACAATAGTAGGGATGAAACATCTTGAGCCTAACAAAAGCGTTAAATTATGTTACAATAGGAATACTTGTATTTCTATAATGGAATGTCTTATGATTAATTAAACATGAAAACATTTAAGAATAACATTCATTAATTTTCTGAATGTGGTGCTTATTTCAGAAACAACACAGCAATCATTTACCATGAAATAGACTTTTTGTCTGACTTTCTTGATCTGACCACTGTGTAATGACTTGTGTAACTTGAAGTCATACATTGAGCATGATTTGTTTTCAAAAGAGAATGCATTGGAGTTTCAATACATAACCTAACAATATGAGGTGAGAGGCTGTTCTCAATAATGTGGAGAAGTTGAGTGTACAGGTCACTTACTATTGTGAAAGAACAGGAAAAATACCCTTTCCTGTCAAGTGCCCCAACCAGGAATCGAACCCGGGTCTTCAGGGTGATAATCAACAGACTCTACCAACTGAGACAATGAAGCATAATCCATCATCTGAATGACAGAGACTTAACTACATATATATACAAGCTACACTGACCCACAGTAATTCTCCTGTTTTACTTGAGATTTTCTAAATCTCAATCCAAGATTCAAAATTCAACAACCACTGGGTTGGAAAACACTGGCTTCAGCTATTGGGGAATTCCCCTTTAGTTGAGTGGTAGAGTGTGTGGATAAAAACCAAAGGGTCGCTAATTCGAATCCTGAAAGGGTGCTTTTCATTACTCATTCCTACCACAGATTCGGTACCTTTGATCACCAGAAGGGTGGAAACTAGATGTTTCCTTGGAGATGTTAAACCAAGGTTGTTGTCTTCGGGGTTGAAGACTTTGTGAAGGAGGGAGTAGCGTAGATGTTGAGTGTACGGGTCGCCTTGCTAGCTTCGGCTACTGGGAAATTTCCCTTCGGTCGAGTGGCAGTGTGTACGGGTAGAGACCGAATGGTCGCTAGTTCAAGGCTTGTTCCTATATTACATATGATTTACTAATATAAGTATGATAGTTTCAACACACATCAGCGATGTGTTTCTGCCGACTGTCTGGTTATCTTGGTGTTTTTTCATAACAATTATATGCAATTAAATACTTACCCTTCTTAAATGAGAGAACGACTTCGTAACGTTGCAGAAGTAATGCGATGACAGCAACTATAAGCATAGTCAACATCGACCACAGAGTGCACATCGTTGACGTTTGACGGCCGACCAGGTGCTTGGGATTTACCGCCACGAGAAGGGGAATCCCGCAATTTAAAAGCGCCCTCTATAAACATTTACTAGAGAGGACAATGCAACTATTAATACAGTCAACAGAATTCGAAGATCAGCTATGACGGGGCTTCGTTGATGTTGTTTTTTTTATGTGTTATTTTTTATCGAGATACATTTTGTAATATCAAAATAAACATTGATCATTTAATGTGCACATAACAGGCTTTAGTAAGGCCTCATCTGGAAAATGCTGCCAGCGTTTGGAGTCCATATATGATAAAAGATATCGAACTTCTGAATGAAAATGTTTAGAGAAGAGCGACTAAACTTATTCCGCTAAAATATCGAAGGCTACGTGGGGATATGATCAATGTATTAAAGATTATGAACATTTTTTTGATGAGAGTAACAGGAAACCTTTTCCACATGGATAACACAGGCAGAACAAGGGACCATTCACATAATTTGTTTTAAGAAACGGACGGTGCCGATTGGAAGTCAGGAGAAATTTTTTTAGCCAAAGGGTAGTCGAGCTGTGGAATATCTTACTCCAGTCTGTTGTAGAATCAAACTTGATGAACACTTGAAAGATTATATGTATCGCGTGAACTAAATCTCTTTTCCCTCCGTTATAAAGGAAAACGTAAATTCTAAAATGCCAGATGAAATGTATTATACTGGTACTGACCAGTACGAAGGTGTTTTAATCCAATGAATTCGTATGTTCTTACGTGCCCTATTTTCTGCAGTTTATGTTTTTTATCGCCATCGCGTACTACGTCATTTCAAGTTCTACGTCAAACTAACAGTCGGATTGGGAAAATTAAGACTTCTCCAATACAGTGATTAACCTATATTTCTAATGTACACATGACGAATAGCCAGCGCCTAGTTGGTCTTAAAACGACCATAAAGAAGCTAAATTTATGTTATGCACGCTTTCGTTTTACATATAATTGCCATACATAGCCATATGGCGTCGAAAAAAGTTAACTTTTAGTTACAAATTCCGTCCCAATTTCTCGTTTGTTTTGTTGAATTATCATAAAGTGTTTACAGAATTCCCAAGAAAATAATAATGACATATCGTTATGATGAAATCTGCTGTATGATAAATTGTCAGTTCCTAAATCTTCCTAACTCATAACGGAAAATTAGTGGGTCATTACCTAGCAATATATATGTAAATTACGACACACCAAGCTTTATGGTAAGCGCGCGCTATGAAACGTGATCATGAAAATGAAGTCTTAGTCCACTAAACGGTCTCGTGCAAGAATCGTTTGTTTACAGTATATAATACATTAAAATATATAGTAAAAATGGACGAGTTTGCGTTGCAGATTAGGATACAACATTCAACGTTATTTGGGAGAAAGTTTAGTGTAAAAAGTGTTACACATGCAAATGATGTAGGGGTTACATCACTCCCCGGGGAAATGAATATAGTAATTTGACTTTTTCTTTAACTGATAGACTTGGACATTGTTTCGGGCTCGGCTATCGTCCACCTACTTTGCATGTGATGACAGATAACCTTATATAATTACTTATATTTATAGATTTCTAGGTTTAGATAAAAGAATCACGAGACATACACACATATATGATGTTACAAATGGTCAGGACGTTGATAGATTTCCAAGAACTATTATGGTGTTTTTATCACTAGAAGTAATGGAAGCACGACAATGTACGATACGTATATTTTAAGCATTTTTTAAATCATTATTAAGACATATAACGTGAGAATTGTATCAATCTTATCTTATGACCTGCCTAAACATCTTCTCCATCTTGTCTGGTGGTGTTTAAAGATCGTCTCCATCTTGTCTGGTGGTGTTTAATCGTCTCCATCTTGTCTGGTGGTGTTTAATCGTCTCCATCTTGTCTGGTGGTGTTTAATCGTCTCCATCTTGTCTGGTGGTGTTTAATCGTCTCCATCTTGTCTGGTGGTGTTTAATCGTCTCCATCTTGTCTGGTGGTGTTTAATCGTCTCCATCTTGTCTGGTGGTGTTTAATCGTCTCCATCTTGTCTGGTGGTGTTTAATCGTCTCCATCTTGTCTGGTGGTGTTTAATCGTCTCCATCTTGTCTGGTGGTGTTTAATCGTCTCCATCTTGTCTGGTGGTGTTTAAAGATCGTCTCCATCTTGTCTGGTGGTGTTTAATCGTCTCCATCTTGTCTGGTGGTGTTTAAAGTTTGTGTCCATCTTGTCTGATTAATTAGGCGTGAACAACGAATTCCGTTTGTCTAATTAGGTGTGTGATCAGTGTAGCTATATCATCTTGTGAGTTGTATGAACATTTTGTCCATCTTGTCACGTGAGTTGTATGAACATTTTCTCCATCTTGTCACGTGAGTTGTATGAACATTATATCCATCTTGTCACGTGAGTTGTATGGACATTTTATCCATCTTGTCAAGTGAGGTGTGTGATCAGTGTATCCATCTATCTTGTGAGTTGTATAAACATTATATCCATCTTGTCAAGTGAGGTGTTTGAACATCATAATCATCTTGTCTGATATGGTATTTAAACACCGTATCCAGCTTATCTGCTAAGGTGTGTAAACATTGTATCCAGTTTGTCTATAAAAGTGTGTAAATGTTTTATTAATCTTTTTTGCTAAGGTGAATATACAAGTTTGACTGGTGACGTGTATATACATGGTACATGTATATATCTTGTATGGAAAGGTGTGTACACATTGTACCAAGCTTGTCTGCATAGTTGTGCACATATTGTACCCAGCTTGTCTGCTTAGTTGTGTACACATTGTACCCAGCTTGTCTGCTTTGTTGTGTACACATTGTAACCAGCTTGTCTGCAGAGGTGTGTAAACACTGAATCCATCTTGTTTGTGTGTTATACATAGATTATTTCCCTTCACTTTGAGGGGAGATTGAGAGTCTGAACCTGAGAGGGAAGATTATTTAGTTGATAAACACATGGCTTGCCAAGTGCTTGCAACTTAATAATCTACCTTCTGGATTTGAGGTCCCCCCTTTCTCATACCATGGACAGTTTTATGGAGGCTTCACCAATGCCAGATTTCCTCATCTCACCCTTGGCTGGTGACATTGGGATTTCTCTATCATGAAAATTCCCTGCCACTTGCAGGTACAACATAAGAATTGTTCCTGAAATCCCTTTGCATGAATCGTAAGAGATGGTTAAATTTGGGATCTGATTTTTTCTCTTCCCTTTACACGTCTCACTTTGCTGTGAGCATCTTCTCCTGTGAGGAAGGCTTGAAATTGTCTTGAACAAGAGGCCAATTGGGTCTGTATCACCTACATGGTTTATTTCACTGAAATTGCTTCATGTAAACTAAATAAAGAGCATTTTAAAAAATTTGTCTACTTTCCCTATCAGGACCCATCCGTTCAACCCAAGGGTGTCCATATCCTCACCATTTATTCAAAATTGATTCCCCTTTACCCAATGTTTCAAATCAAATAAGGACAAAATCTGGGAAATCTACAGAAAAAGGGTTTATATTGTTATATTAGGCCTCACTCCTCCCCTCTCTCCCCCCACCATGAGACCCATCATTTATACAGAACTGGTTTCCCTTTACTAAAGGATGCTTCTGACCAAACTGGGACAGAATGCAGGCATTCCTACAGAAAAAGACCATATAATTTACAACTTTGGTGTACCCTTAACTTTTTGTAAAATTTCATCGAAATCAGTTGAGGAGTTTTCCAAAAGAAGTCGAAAATGTTAAAAATTTATAACGCAGCACAAAAGGGGATCGCAATAGGTCACCCTAAGACATTGTTTAAGGTGACCTAAAAATGCAATCATCCTACAAGATATGATCTTGAAGAAATGGCTAAAAAAACATTTCAGCCACAGGGGTCTGAAACCCATCATTTATATGAACAAACTTAGTAAAACTTTCCCAAAGGATGCCCTCTGACCAATTTTCGTCAAAATCCATTCAATCATTCATAACTAGAAGTTTGATGGATGTCGAATGCCATGCCATGGCATAAACTCACCAGGTGAACTAGAATTGGTGGTTACTACACCATGCTTTTCGGTAAGCATTGTGTGTGATATTGTAACAACTGGTTTGCCTATTGTCAATATAATGTGACCATGTAGGATACCCTCCTGGGTACTGCAGTATACGTAATTGTAGTTACACTTTGCAGTTGGCTTCAGTTCGGAACTACAACAACGAGGCTTACACCAATATATTGCAGCCTCCTTTAACAAACGCACTTAACTTATCCATTGTCCTCACAATACAAAGGGAGGCCATCCTTAAATAGGACATCATGCGATATACAACATTACACCAAATAAACCCAGCGGTACTGTTAACCATTTCTACTCTATCCTATAGTTAATATTTTGTACAGAATCAATTAGTTAACTGCAAAACATACAAATATATATCAACAGAATAGCCTTTGTATTTCTTTCTATTTTTCTTTTATTTTGTTACTATAATTTTTTTCGTTTCATCTCTTCTGCATCCTGAAATCAGAAAAAAGAAAACAGTAAGATATAAACATTTTAAAAGGACAACAACACATCCACAACAGTGTTAACTTCTCCCATAGGTGAAAATGTGTATCAAATATTGTATTATATAACTTAAGATAATTTTCTGTATTGTGTTTTAGACTTTGGAATTCTGTTACTTGGTACGATCAAATATTTGTCAGCTTGTTTCAGACATATTGCAATGTTTTTATATTCCTTTTTTAAGTACACATACTTATTTTTTATCCATTTTTACAATAGTATGATTAGGAAAATTTTCAGGAATCTTACTCCTCCTCAGTTTCGTATCCTTTTTTCATGAATGTCTTCGGTTTATATTTCTGCTTCTTGCTGTAAAAATAAAATGAAAAACATTCTAGTTTGTATAAAATACATTTGGATTTTGTTTAATGATGACTATGTGATATCTCAGACACATTAAGTCTATCCCAGTAAACCATCTATTTCACAGAAGGACTCATAATGGATGCTGAAGAAAACCATGGTTATATTATATTGTTGCTTTTCCTTGATCTGTTTGACAAATGTGAAGGCAAGCCACTTGTTAATTGTTGTAATGGAATAACCCTCTTTAGTAAAATATTTCTTGAAATCTAAGGTTTTGTATTTCTGGCACAAAAACACAATTGTACCTTTATTCAAAACAAACACTATCCACTTTAAAATAAATTCAGAGTTAGGTGCTTATTTCTTTTACCTGGATACCATATTTTTTATATTATTTTTCTTTATCATTTTTTTTAAATCTATAGACAATTACGTTTTTTCTGGAGGTTAAATCTGCTTCCCAGTTCTTTTATTCTTACCTGGCTTCTAGTCTTGGCTCTATCACATTTCTTTTCTGTAAACTCTTGAATCTGTCTACCATTAAATGTCCTTCTGGCTGTAAGTCAAGTACAAGACACTTTGATTTAAAAGTAAAAAAAAATGGTAAGACTGCAATTTAAACCATCACGTCTGAAGAATTACTCTGGATTTATGGTCTTTTGTTTAATACTTGAAAAAATATAAAAAGCCTTTACAGACCAAAATTAAGACCTAGTCACTACTAAGAAATACTTCCAAAAGTCAGAAAGTCTCTATCATATCTTACCTTTAAAAGTCTTAGAGCCCCAGGCAACTCGTCACTTAGCTTAATTTCAATATTTGCTTCTTCAAATCTGGGATTGGTCAAGGTCATTAACGGTTGTCTTTTCTTATTGTTGTAATAAGTTGTTGTTTCTGGTACAGAATAACTGAACTATACTTCAATACCAATTCATGCATCATTTGTTAAATTGACAGAATGTAAACAGAGGATCTTACACAAGCTTAAATTCAAATTATGATTTAAGAAATGAATCCAAATTTTTGTCATTTTACTGAGTTTACAAATCTCACTTGAAATGGAAACAGATGTCAGATTCTGTCTATCACATAACTTTAGTATGTTTGGAATCATTCAGGCAGACAGCATTCCATTAGACAAATTATAAATTCTCATTCAATATCGCTTTCTCTAGTGACATCACAAGGCAAACAAGGCCATTAGGGAAACTTTCACCAACTACAGCTCTGCTTGGTGTAATTACATGTGTTTCATCATGAACATTCATATCATTAGTTTTATTACACTGCTAAATGGATAGTTAAGTGATGAAACGATACACATGTACTGCAAATTTTTCCTAACACATTGAAGAGTTTGTGTACTCAAAATGAATGCAAGAGATAACAATGCTGATGCCATGAATATTCAGTTTATACAATCACTGAATGTATCTCCTTTATCAGTGAGTCCTGTGTAAAAAGTCTGCCTCATTTATATCAGTTGATGGGAGTCTGTAATAATGCTTGATGGTCAACATGTAAAAGAGGCAAAAGCCAGTAAATGCTTGAGAACTTAGTCCGAGTATGAGACAAGATTTCATATATATCTTTGGTCCTTATTACATGGAAAAATCACCAAGAACTTTTAACCTTATCTCCTACATGTAATATCTAATCAATGAAGAAATACACTGATCCACTGATAAGCCTCGGGGACAATGACATCAACTATAATTCAAAATAGAGCAGGCTTATAAAAGACTATTGTAACAGAGGTCATTATCAATTTCAATGTGTCTGCTAGGATTCTAACCCGGGACCTCTGGCCGAGTGGTATATTGCTGCTAACATTTACCAGGGTTACATACTCCCCCTCCATGCAATAACTCGTCCTCAAGTTTCTGCGTGTTATAAAAGACTATTGTAACAGAGGTCATTATCAATTTCAATGTGTCTGCTAGGATTCTAACCCGGGACCTCTGGCCGAGTGGTATATTGCTGCTAACATTTACCAGGGTTACATACTCCCCCTCCATGCAATAACTCGTCCTCAAGTTTCTGCGTGTTACAGCAATTGTGAAAGTACGCTAAGTGTCATTCCAGAGTCCCAATATTGGCATCAATGTAACAGAGGTCATTATTTATTTCAATACCTCTGCTAGGATTCGAACCTGAGACCTCTGGCATACAAGTCTGACGATCAACCGATCGAGCTAAACAGAAGTTCTCTCTAGTTGAGTGGTATATTGCGGCTAGTATTTACAAGGGTTACACAATGAGATAGATTCAGTGAGCATTTTCATAGAACTGTATTCATAGAACTGTAATACACATGGGTCAGCTTATTACCAAGCGTGGACTTATCACCCAATAAATACTGCAATAACAAAACCTGTCAAACACATGGAAATAATGAAGGTCTCTTGATTACAGTTGATGTCGGAAAACTGCTGAATTATACTGACAAATTAGTAAGAATTTGTAACAGAGCAAAACACATTCATATAAGTCAAGGATACTTCATCTTCCCCAATTTCCGTGTGTTCATGCCTGACTTGTTATATTTCTCTTTCTTCTGTCTCGCTCTCTCTGACAGATCCCTTTCCCTGGTCTTTATTTCAGCTTTAATTGTCTTCAACCTTGTAATATAAAAAATACAAAATAGCATCAATGATATAAATATTGATATACACTTGTATAAAAACAAAGCAAAAGAAAAACAGATAGTGCCTCTGTAATTCTTGTCCTGATTTCAGATTTGTCAATTGTCAAATGAAGTTTTCACTATCCAAACATATAAATACAGTATCATAGAAACCTTGTTTCTCAGCAAGAAGAAGTTTGTGGTACAGTAACCATTAAGCTTAGCAAAACAATTTTCATTCCATGTCATGTTTTTTGGTGATCAAATTTGAAACAAAATCATAGATCACATGTTTTCTTTGAAATCAGCTCTCATTTTAAGTTGAATTTTTTTTCATAAGACCAGATTTGGCAGAAGTACATCTAGACTTGTTTTATCAATATGATACTACTAGTCTTACCTAAATATATCTTTTTCTCTTGATTTGGCTGTTTTATCTTTTAATTTACTGTGTTCCTGTAACAGAATAGGAAGGAATTACACCAATATGTTTAAATAAAGTCATCCAATTCTCAAAGATCATAAATGTAGTACATATACTGAAATCAATGGTTCAATATCTATAGGCAATAGTGCAGGTGATACAAAAGGATACAAGATCATAATCTATCAAAGGTGTAAACTGACTGATGAGTTGTCTATTACTAGAAATCACTTTGGGAAGGAATTACTTTTACTAATTAATAAGAACAATCAAACCATCGGCATTTTTTTTCGAGTCTGACTAAATCTACATCAACATTTATTTTCGAGTCTGACTAGAGTCTACATCAACATTTATTTTCGAATCTGACTAAAGTCTACATCAACATTTATTTTTGAGTCTGACTAGAGTCTGCATCAACATTTATTTTTGAGTCTGACTAGAGTCTACATCAACATTTATTTTTGAGTCTGACTAGAGTCTACATCAACATTTATTTTTGAGTCTGACTAGAGTCTGCATCAACATTTATTTTTGTACCTTTTCTTTGACATTTTTCTCCTTGTTTCTCTGGACCTTTGTTTTCTTGTCCTCTCTGCGGACAGGTGGTGCTACAGACAGTTTTTCCAGCTCCTCCTCTGTAAACTCTACCTTCTCGTCCTCTTCCTCATTAAGTCCTGATGTCATTTCTGCCCTCAGATTTTCCTGTCAGTCATATATAACATACAGTGGTGCTACCTTATAATGAATTCCACTAGAAATGACTAATCTAAAAAATTGTTCCTAAAAATTTGCATATGATAATATGCTAAAATAGCAATAGAAAATATGACATGTACTTTGAAATGTACATCTTATTGTTTATGGATTCATTTCAATAATGTACCTCTAACTCTGCAGCTGATATGGTCCTGAATTTAGCCTCAACAGCATTGTATAATTTCTTCTCTTTCTTCTCTCGCTTAACCTCCACATCATGGGCCTTGGCTAGCAAGTTCTGGATACGAAATCAGATATATCAGACATTTACAACTTTGCAACAAATTTACTTAATGTAAAAAATATCTAAACATCAAAAATTAGTCAGAAATGACCATGAAAATCATGTTGAAATGATAATGTATAAAAATGAGAACCATTATTATGACACTATTACCTGGTTTTACTCACAGTTAATCCATCCAATTTTGACACCAATTAAGAAGCTGAGTGTGATGTAGTAAAGTAGATATCATTTGATAAAATACAATGTTAATATAAAACTGTTTTTCATGCAGTCACTTAATAAAGAACTATGAAGGATCAGTAGGATGTAGAATACTTAGCACCACATATCTTTATTACTGGACTTCGATGTTTCTGATAAAGAGACTCCAACCTTACATATACATTTCTATGTCTCTTACAAGCAGGGAAACAACATACAGGACACACTTCTCTGTCCGCAAATCTTAGTGCTAATGTTACATGCTAATTTGAAATGATTAGATTCATCAGACACTGGTTTAAACACCTGTATCAGCAGGGGTACATAAGTTAAGCCTCACCTGGTGATCATCGTATGAGGGATTGTAGGATGCTCCTGGGTCTGGAACCTGTATACTTGACATTTCAGATGGCTTTTGATGGTAATGTCTCGGCACCTAGTACAGAAAAGGTGTTTCGCAGTGTTAGTAAGGTTCTGAGCAAAACGAGTTGAAGACTGGTAGTGGAAGACATAACATTAGGTTAAAAAATGACTGAATGGATTCTGATTCAAAATATTAACCCAAGCAGTAATAAATAAAATCAGTTTCTGTATGCTTCTTAGAGTTTATCTTATTTTTATACCAAAATGTCATGCTCCCTCTAACATTCTGGAGATCATAGTAACTTACAGTTAAAACTTAAAAAAAAAAAAGATTGGACAGTGATCAATGTAGTAAATAGATTGTACAATTTAGCTCGTATATATTTTTACTTACATTAATTCTTCTCTTCTTTGTCACCACACAAAAATGAGGATCTTCCTTACTAATATCAGCGTTTACATCTGTAACACAACCAAAATTACCTGTTAAAGCTTTCATAAAATTAATTAATGAAAGTGAGTGACAGGATTTTTGAAGTTTTAATGTTAACATTGGTAAATATAAGGATCTAACTTGTTTCTCCTCCAACATCATGATACTAATCCTGCAAAGCCACAGCTATGTAAGCACATATGCTTGCATTTTCATCACAGGGAAGATATTCAATACATCTCCCCCCCTCCCAATCCCCTTTCAATTACATCATATCCATACAATTCAGGATTATACCATAAATAGATAGGCTAGTTGAGTCGCTCAGTGAAACACAGCTTAGGCATGCACACTTGCCATTCACCTAGGAGACCAGGCCTCACTTGTATAAACATCTCAACTTGAGATTTCAAGTCGAGATTTTCCTCAGCTGATATCTCCTCAAAAACTGCTTGTATAAAATTTTCTCAAGGAACAGGAGGAAGGCATCGGCTACGATGTCCTGAAATTCCTTGAGGAATTTTCATACAAGATATTTTCAAGGAGATATTAGCTGAGGAAAATCTGGGCTTGATGAAATCTCAAGTTGAGATGTTTTATACAAGTGGGGCCAGGGATCAAAATTTCTCTGACATGAATTTTTCAGCTTATTCTATATCCAGGCTAACAGGAGAAACAAATAAAAGCTGATTGAACATGCCCAATTGTTACATATCTTTTTCAGTTTTCCAGTAAACATCCTTACCTGTCTCCCATAGGTCAAAGTCTGCTACAGGTGTCTTATTCTTGTTTCTCCGAGCCTCTGCCCGTTGTTTGTTTCTAACTTTACGCTGCTTTTCTGCTTTTATCTCTGTTAATGTTTTTTTACCACTTTTTATCCTTCTGCTGAGTCTCTCTACCTCTGGCTGTACTTTCCTTACATTGTGTGAACTGAAATGTTAGTACATTTTCAATTGCAAAACGTGAGTAGAGAATTTTCAAATTTTATTTGTATAATCACATTGCTTTCAAACACTCTCTATCAATGAATATTTTAGTTCTTATTCAATTGCAATCAATGAACAAACAAGAAATCAGGAAACAGTCTTACACTGAAAGGCTCATTTCAAATGTTGTCTAAATATATATTTCTTTTCAAAGTTGTATTTCACGTTTTTCAAAAACATTAAATTACAGTAATTTCTGCACGACAAAAGTTTTGCTTTTTAACTTGTTATTTCTTTTCTTTAATTTTCTTTCCAGCACACAGATAATTTTGAAACAAATGAACTTCAGTGTTACTCAGAACTTGTGAAGGAATAGGACAGCTATCAGCACTTACTCTCTCATATCCCACAAAGTTGGATGAAGAAAATGGAAGGCCAACAATAATTTTTTTTGCAAACATTTTTGTTTTGATAGAAAGAGAAAGAATCTTTGATATGTGTGTAATTAGAATAGGGATAAAATGTGGCAAAGCTTTTTAGCGTATTCTGTGACCCTTGTGGGGGGGAATATCCATATTCTACTTACACACATCTTACATTCTTTATATTTCCAATGTGATAAAAATTATATCACGTAATATTGCAGTGATCATTGCAGATATTCATTCTAAGCAGATCATTCATATTCTATTACTAGCAAAACACATTGCATTGCCTTTGTTTTTTTCATCACATCAATAAAGAAAGACTTACATAGATATAGGCTTAATGTTGGGATCTGGTTCAAGGTTGGAGTGACATTTTAGTGCTCTTTTTCTCTTTCTCTTTTCATATTTTGAGTCTGAAAAAAAAACCAAATCCTTAAAGAAGCAATTTCTGTTAACCTCAATAAAATGTCAATGACCTTATACAGTAATAACAATAATTATGTAGAATAAAAATGTTAGGAATTTTAACACCAAATCCTTACAAAGAATTTCATTACATTTAATATTTAACACTAGCCACCTTCTTTACAAATAGGGAAGACTCCATTACATTTTTGAAGACAGAAAAATTGTAACATCAATAATTCATGAAAGAAATTGACTTTGCTACAGAAATAAGCAATGATTGTACCATAATCAAAGAATTATATATATTGATGTTCTGATGAGGTCTGATAATATAGTCTATAAATCAATACATGGATGCTATTACACCTATGTAACAGCATAATTCTTAAATATAAACAACAATTGAACATGAACACAATATTCTGCATGGTCAACAATTGAAACTCCGTGCAAATTCATATCTTAATGTCACCAACACTAAAAAGTTTGGTCTGGTAGTCACTTGCATCATGTAATATATAATACTATAATATCTTTATCATATCAGTTTAACAAATAACTGGTGAATTTTTTCCATTTCATAAATATTTAATGATAAATATGTAATAATTCTATAATGACATCATACATGGATGTCACATGAAAATAATACCCAAACTTGAAGTTGAGTGTCATATTATCGAGAACACATCTAAATTTGAATTTTATTATGGATTTTTCCACTTATAGAATTAGGTATAAAGTCACTTGCAAACACACTTGTGACATTCTATCATATAAAACAAACACAACATGAAAAATTAAAACCTGACAGATGGAATTACTAGAAATGACCTGCAATTATATTACACACTTTACATATAGAAAACGTGGTAATTAAATAATTACAGCACGATTATTTTCATTTTTTCCTCAAACCTTAGAAAATTATATATGTAACATGTTAATTATACATGTACTAAGCACTTGTCATCAGGTTGTGTACTATTGATATATTGACTAACTAATTTGTTACTTATCATAATTTACAATTACCGTTTTCTTTTGGATCAAAGGCATCTTTGTCAACCATAAACAACTGGTCATCTGACTTCTCAGCAACCAGACCCCTGGAAAAATATAGATAGCAGCTTTAGAAGACGATACAGTGATACATGTATTATGATACTTTTGAATATATATATATATATATATATATATATATATATATATTGAAATGGTTAAAAATTCCTCTTGAATGGAACTTGAACCACAACATAGCCATCTCTATATAGCTACCTGTCTTAAGCAGATGTCCTCAACAGGTAGGACAGACTTCTGCATATTGGTTACTATCTTACGTATGTGTAACAATTGTTTGCTGGATTTATCTCCTTGTGAATAACCAGGGTCATTTTGAGGTGGGACCTCCTTGTAGTAGCTGGTGGCTACCTCACTGAATAACGTACAGAAGACCCATCGCATGCCATCTATATAACTGATTATATGTCCTTACCTAAACTGAACTTAAATAAGTATAAGCATGTTTAACTGTTCTTTATTTTTGCTCTGACATGTTCATTTTCAACTTTACTTTATTAACTTTCTTTCAAATAATTGAAATAATTGTTTGTATTGAACAATTTAAACCAACACTACATACAGACCAAAGATACCTAGGCATTCAATAACAATATTGCATTACCATTATGCAACGTTTCTAAAGTATAATTCTAATAATTTTAAAGACATTTTGACCAAATTAATTTTTTTTCTTTTAAATTCAATAGAATCACCAAACCAGTGCTTGCACACAAAATGTTGATTTGTGCTGTTTTAATCGGAATCTGATTTCAATTATTTTTCTATAAAGAAGAAACATGCCATGAACATTTCGATTATATTATATTAGCATGCACTTGTTAAATTATCGGCAGTTCATTAAACAATACCACGGACTTGTATATTAGAATGTAATGGCAGAAATCGATGGCAGTCGGAACCTGTGCTTGAACACCACCCCTTACCATCCTATTAAAATATCAAATATTTGCAATGTTTCTGTGATGTGACTAACAATCTCTGGCCATGTTGACAATTGATCTCGTAAACAAATATGTCATCGTAAAAATGTTAGGAAACGGATGTATCTTTTCTAAATCTACCCTGTTCTTTCTTGCATTCGTTCATCTTCCAAAACATCCTCTACTTCTGTTATGTCGATAGCCTTCCACGCTTTCTTCTTGTTTTTACCCAATCTGCTTTTCTTGACTGGCACGTTGGAAGCCATGCTTGTTAAAAGGGTCGCTTAAACGCTTGAAAGAAATTTTGTTCAGAAAAGTGCTCACATGACTCCGATTTACATTTAATCTTAGAGTTAGCTGCCCTTGGACTACATGAAAACGGTGGAATGGCTAAGAATCACCACGTTATTTTCACAAAAAGGCCAGGTTTGTATCGTCTACGCTAAATGACAACTATAACACGCATACAGGTTTAATTCGTTATGATATACTTAATACATATTTCAAGGAGCAGATATTGAAGATTAAAACCCTTTCCAAATTACATTAATTTATCCTTTATTTATACTTTCGGACCCCTTATAATCGTATCTCGATATCAATACTGCGTCGATGATTTGCAACCAAGCAAATACATAAAGATATTGGAATTCTTTGAAATTTATTCAATAAAGTGATCAATGAAACACCAGTATTGTCATGAAAGATATCCACAAATACGACCTTAAATTTGACCTCAAATTATCTCGTCTGCTAAAAGGCCATAACAGTGGACATACATCCTGTAAAATTGATGAATAAATAAAAGCAGCTTTATATATTGGAATGTTTATTTCATGAAAAATGCATGGATAAAGCCTTAAACAACATAACTAGTCTTGGATTGGATTTTAGATTTGATAACATTTCAATCTTATCTCTTATTATCGTGTCATATAGGTGTTTTCTTGAAAACTTCTGAACATTTTAATAGTTAATCACAATTAAATTCAAACAAATATAGTAAATACATCCAAATTTTGCAGTTTTAATGCAGTTCACAGATGGGACAGGTTTCACACCAAATTGTGACTTTTTAGCAGCTTCCATGTAACGGATGATGCATTTCTCATTCACAGAAAGTGACGAAAGTTCCTGAACTTGATACCTTCTTAATTGTTAAAATTGTGAAATTTCAATGAATTTTTGATTGTAAAGAAGTTGAGAGTACAGGCCACTTTACTAGTTTCAGCTAGTGCAAATTTCTCATTAGTTGAACAGTAGACTATCTGGCTAGAGACCAAAGACCTGCTTGTTCAAACCCTAGTAGTTGTTGGATGTTTTTTGTTATTCATTCCTATTACAGGTTTGGTGCCATTGGCCACTCCAAGGGTAGAAACTATAAGAGATTGAGTTGCTTTCTTGGAGATATCAAATCTAGGTTGACGTTGTTTTCAAAGTCAAAGACTTTGTGATGGAAGGAGTAATATAGATGTTGAGTGTAGATCACCTTACAAGCCTTGGCTAGTTTGAACTTCCCAGCAGTAGTGTGTCTGATCGAATGGTTGCTAGTTCAAACCCTACCTTGGGCAGGGTGTTTTTCATTTCTCCTTCGTATTACAGTTACATGTGTTTCAAACCATTAATATATATGTTTGTTTTTCATTTGAATTATTTAAGACTTTAAGTATGATTTAATTTTCCACAAGAAAGCTTTAAAAGATACTTTGTTGTTACAAATAGTTTTTAATACATTTAATGGGTTGACAGTTCTCATATCATGCTTTGGTAAGTACATTATTGGTAGTGCAGTTCCAGCCACACTACTTTTTAAAGTTGATCATATGGACAGATTAAGCTTGTTGGTACTTTGGTATGCATTACCCCCAAAATTGTTCATCAACCTAGGTAATTTTTGCCATCCCTTATACATATGGTGTCATAAATTCTCCACATGAGTTTCTGATTTCACCAAAGATTTGAATCAGCATATTAATCATATTTTACAACTTAGGTGTAAATGGGGAGCCAGCAGATGACAACTTTGGATATGAAGAGTGTGATTATCCTTGTGATCCACAGAACAGTGAAGTTCTCCTGAAAACATTATACTTGTCCATAGATCCAGCAATGGTAAGGATGGACTTCATATGTTAATCAGACAGATGTAATTATGTAAGTGCAATGATGTACTATGTACACTGTGAAGAAAAGATGATTTATTAATTACTCATTAACTCCTGTGAAGTCTGATGAATAATCCAAAAAAGATCATGTGAAAACTACATTTGTACATGTACAGTTTGACTCTAACATTGTATTGCAGTGGCTTATAATGAAATGATCAACCAAATTTATTATCGGGATGATCCTGAATAGGGAGATTTTGCTCTGTGTCAGAAGTGACAGTATCTATAACACATGTACTAACTTCTGTTCAGAGATGTAGGATGAATGAAGATACTGGTGTTACATATATTGGACCTTTTGGGATTGGAGACCGGATTGGAGGCTTTGGAGGAGTTGGAGTAGTAGTGAAATCTGCCAGCCCTGCCTTTCAGGAGGGCGATGTTGTCCACGCAGGGTTTAATTGGCAATGGGTTGAATACTTCTTAGAAACACCAGGAGAGCACTTTCCATTGAGGAAGGTATATCACTTAAGTTATCAACTGCTATAAATGTAAAGGTGGTTTTTTTCTATTGACGAAGAATACCTTAACTCATTGTAAAACATCAAGTTTAATGGTATCTAATCATAAAAATGTCATTCCAAATAGCTAGCTCTGGCAAAGGATAGGTGTCAGTAAATATTTCGATTCTCAGAATGTTCAGCTATGTATGTGTTATAATCTGGAAATATGTCACATGGTAATGGAATATTCTTCTTGTATATAATTAGAGAGAAATATATTTGTCCATGATATAGCATCCCTTCATTCTGCTGATTTTTTTGTTTTTGATATTGAAATTTTTTGTTGATTGTACAGACAGATTCATCATTAGTAAATGGAAAGGTTTCCTTATACCTGAGTATACTGTCCTTGGCTTCTGGACTAACATCTTACCTTGGGGTCAAAGAAAAGGGCCATATCACCCATGGAGCCAATCAGACAATGGTTGTAAGTGGAGCAGCAGGTGCATGTGGATCACTCGCTGGACAGGTAAGTTAGACATAAGGTACTTGTGGATCACTCGCTGGACAGGTAAGTTAGACATTAGGTACTTGTGGATCACTCACTGGACAGGTAAGTTAGACATTAGGTACATGTGGATCACTCGCTGGACAGGTAAGTTAGACATTAGGTACTTGTGGATCACTCGCTGGACAGGTAAGTTAGACATTAGGTGCTTGTGGATCACTTGCTGGACAGGTAAGTTAGACATTTGGTACTTGTGGATCATTCGCTGGAGAGGTAAGTTAGACATCAGGTACTTGTGGATCACTCGCTGGACAGGTAAGTTAGACATTTGGTACTTGTGGATCATTCGCTGGAGAGGTAAGTTAGACATCAGGTACTTGTGGATCACTCGCTGGACAGGTAAGTTAGTCATTTGGTACTTGTGGATCACTCGCTGGAGAGGTAAGTTAGACATAAGGTGCTTGTGGATCACTTGCTGGACAGGTAAGTTAGACATTAGGTACTTGTGGATCACTCACTGGACAGGTAAGTTAGACATTAGGTACATGTGGATCACTCGCTGGACAGGTAAGTTAGACATTAGGTACTTGTGGATCACTCGCTGGACAGGTAAGTTAGACATTAGGTGCTTGTGGATCACTTGCTGGACAGGTAAGTTAGACATTTGGTACTTGTGGATCACTCGCTGGACAGGTAAGTTAGACATTAGGTACTTGTGGATCACTTGCTGGACAGGTAAGTTAGACATTTGGTACTTGTGGATCATTTGCTGGAGAGGTAAGTTAGACATCAGGTACTTGTGGATCACTCGCTGGACAGGTAAGTTAGTCATTTGGTACTTGTGGATCACTCGCTGGAGAGGTAAGTTAGACATAAGGTGCTTGTGGATCACTTGCTGGAGAGGTAAGTTAGACATTAGGTACTTGTGGATCACTCGCTGGACAGGTAAGTTAGACATTAGGTATATGTGGATCACTCGCTGGAGAGGTAAGTTAGACATTAGGTACTTGTGGATCACTCGCTGGACAGGTAAGTTAGACATTAGGTACTTGTGGATCACTCGCTGGACAGGTAAGTTAGACATTAGGTACTTGTGGATCACTCGCTGGACAGGTAAGTTAGACATTTGGTACTTATGGATCACTCACTAGAAAGGTTAGTGGGGTATTCAATACGTGTGGAACACTCGCCAGACAGGTTAGTGGGACATTTGGTTCATGTGGATTACTGGGTAAGTGGGATGTTATGTACTTTTAAAATCACTCACTAGAGAGGTAAATGGGACATTAGGTACTTGTTGGTGTTTGCTGACTGGTAAGTGGGACACTAGGTACTTGTTGGTGTTTGCTGACTGGTAAGTGGGACACTAGGTACTTGTTGGTGTTTGCTGACTGGTAAGTGGGACACTAGGTACTTGTTGGTGTTTGCTGACTGGTAATTTGGATATTAAGTACTTTTGATTCACTCGCTAGACAGGTATGTGGAACATCATAGTACTTGTGCAAATTTGCAGGACAGGTTAGTGGGATACCGTATTAGGTAAACTGGTACTTGTGGATTACTCATTTTAGTACAGTAAGTAAGTGGACAGAAAGTGGGATGTTTTGGGCCACTTACTGGACAGGAAAGTGGGATGTTTTGGGTCACTTACTGGACAGGTAAGTGGAACACCAGGTACTTGTTGATCACTTAACTGATAGGAAAGTGGAACACCAGGTACTTGTTGATCACTTAATGCACAGGTAAGTGGAACACCAGGTACTTGTTGATCACTTAATGGACAGGTAAGTGGAACACCAGGTACTTGTTGATCACTTAATGCACAGGTAAGCAGGATTTAAGGTACTGGTAAATTATATACTTGACAGGAATGTGAGATGTATGTTAGGTATTTGCAGATCATTCTCTGGACAAGCATGTTCTTGTAAGTTTATTTGTGAATGAACATTACACAGTCAAATTTGTGTATCTATATTAAGTGCCAGCATAAAGAGTTCATTGTTACCTTCTTTATTGATACAAAACTTAAAATCCTTGATGATTAGAAATTAAGATTCTTGATCTGTCAGGGCCACATTAAATCAGCTACCATATCAATTAAAGAGCATAGAGGAAATGTTGTTTTAAAGTGTTCTTCATTGCAATTTTCAGATTGGGAGATTAGAAGGCTGTTCAAGAGTTGTAGGTATATGTGGTTCAGAAGAGAAGTGTCGGTTCTTGGTTGAAGATCTTGGATTTGATTCTGCAATCAACTACAAAACAAAGGATGTGGACTCTGAGCTACACAGACTTTGTCCCTCTGGTATTGATGCATACTTTGATAATGTTGGAGGTGATCTCAGCAACATCGTCATAAATCAGGTGTAGTAACACTGTCCTACAATAGGTGTAGTAACTCTGTCCTACAACAGGTGTAGTAACACTTTCCTACAACAGGTGTAGAAACACTGTCCTACAACAGGTGTAGTAACTGTCCTACAACAGGTGTAGAAACACTGTCCTATAACAGGTGTAGTAACAATGTCCTACAACAGGTGTAGTAACACTGTCCTACAACAGGTATAAAAACACTGTCCTACAATAGGTGTAGTAACTGTCCAATAACAGGTGTAGTAACACTGTTCTACAATAGGTGTAGTAACTCTGTCCTACAACAGGTGTAGTAACACTTTCCTACAACAGGTGTAGAAACACTGTCCTACAACAGGTGTAGTAACTGTCCTACAACAGGTGTAGAAACACTGTCCTATAACAGGTGTAGTAACAATGTCCTACAACAGGTGTAGTAACACTGTCCTACAACAGGTATAAAAACACTGTCCTACAATAGGTGTAGTAACTGTCCAATAACAGGTGTAGTAACACTGTCCTACGACAGGTGTAGTAATACTGTCCTACAACAGGTGTAGTAACACTTTCCTATAATAGGTGTAGTAACTCTGTCCTGCAACAGGTGTAGTAACACTTTCCTATAACAGGTGTAGAAACACTGTCCTACAACAGGTGTAGAAACACTGTCCTACAACAGGTGTAGTAACTGTCCTACAACAGGTGTAGGAGCACTGTCCTACAACAGGTGTAGTAACTGTCCTACAACAGGTGTAGGAGCACTGTCCTACTGCTCTTCATAGATGTAAGAATTATTGGTATAGGATGCCAGATTTGATGATATGCATGTATTTACACAGGCTGACTATATTCAATGTCACAATTTCTGTTTCATGACACTTGATAACAACCCTTTAACCTTTATATTCAATATTGCTTATTTTGCATGACATTCAATGCTGCTAGGCCTCTTGTTGTATACAGCAGTAGTACTGCAATATGAGGCACAATACAAAATATTGCAATCTCATAATGTTGAAATAATTGCTTGATTTGAATTTTAAACTGGAAAAAAATTGTTTTCTTTAAACAGATGAATACTGGTTCACATGTGATATTGTGTGGTCAAATAGCTATCTACAATAAAGATGTTCCTTATCCTCCTCCGATCCCTGAAGTTGTGCAGACAATTCTAACAGACAGAAATATCACCAGGTAAAAAAAACCCCAATATTTTCAAAGCTCTACTCGCTGAATGTCGCTCCCTGTAGAATCTTGTCTTCATCTTTTCATCCTCCACCTACATTCACCTCTGAGGATGTGTAAATATTTGTCATCTCTTGTAGGGAACGGTACCTGGTGCTTAACTATCCTGACAAGTTTGAGTCTGGAATGAAACAGCTGGTGGAGTGGACACTTCAAGGGAAGTTAAAGGTGAGTTTCAGAAAGAGTCAATTCTCAACCAAGTGTCTTGTTATATTTAAGCATCTTTCCTTGTCTGGGAAGATCTGCTTTATGGCTGAATACTCATATTCATTGAAGAATTCATCATGAATGCCAAACAAAATACAGGTAAAGATAACAATGTCAGTTCTCTACTACCTGAATAAGTCAAGAGTATGTTAAGTAGGTCAAATGTTACATACCTGGAGAGCAGCTGGGACTGATACAATCAGGTATAAACATTGGTATGGTTGCCCTGACAATGAATTTATCAACTGCCTCTCTTGTAATACTTATTAAGAATTGTTAAGTGTATCATATTAAAGCAGTGTAGATATCATTTCAATACTCAAAAGGTCAAGGTCAACGCAAGGTTCAAAGATAAGGTTATTGTTAAATTCTTGTCCATTCTTAGCTGTTGGACATCATTAGACATTGTGTTGCATTGGGAAACATACACATATTTAGCTAGAAATGGGGAACACATGGCCAATAGATGAGGTACATTTATGGTGATTGGCCATTAGATGAGGTACATTAATGCTGATTGGCTGTTAGATGAGGTACTTTAATGCTGATTGGCTGTTAGGTGAGGCACATTAATGCTAATTGGCTGTTAGATGAGGGTTTAGTTATCATCTTAAACACATGATGGCTGTAACAACCAAGGTTGGCATTAGTTTAACTCTGACAGCTTGATTCAGCACGGTACATATATATGTATCCCAATGCACATGTTTCAGTATTCAGTTAATAGTCCGCTTCTGTTCAATTTCAGGTTAGAGAAACCATTGAAGAAGGACTCGAGAATGCTGGCAAGGCATTTGTTTCCATGATGAAGGGAGGAAATATAGGGAAACAGCTTGTTCATGTTGGAGACTCCTGACCGTGCTTAAATATTATAATGTATTGAATTCCTATTGAAGATTGTTCTTTATCAAATAAATTTTCTAGGTATTATAATTCCAATAAATCAGTATTACAATGATGTAAACAGGTATTAGTTAACAATAGGAGAACACAGGTGTACAAATCCTAGTCAAGAGTTGTAGCATACAGGCCATGGAGGACTATGAGGTGTTTAATTGAATTCCAGTCAAAGACTTATGTTTTTGAATGTTAAGTGGTATTAATGAAAATTCAAATTATTGATCGTAATTGAAATACACATAAGAAAACACTGCATTTGTTTTGTCTTTTTTGTTTTGTTATTTTTTTTATATATATATTTAATCAGGTTTAGACATGTCTGGCATTAGAATCACACACAAATATAGAATTACATTATCAAGAATAATACATACACCTGGAACACATTTTTGAACATTTCAAAATTATGATATTCTGAACAAAAAATATTGCATAATATAAATATTCAGATTACTTGAATTTCCGTAATAGAACACTGTGAACGGGGAATGCTGGCGATGGGTTTTATTTCACCCTCACATTAATTTTAATTATCACCCCACTGTGAAAAGAAATATACAGTACATTTGTATTTCAGCTTTCAGAGCTTGTCAACCTTCTATTTCACCCTTTAGGCAAAGAGGTGAGAACAGGCAAAATTGCACAGCACAAAATGTTTCCTTGAATAGACAATAAAACATCAATGAGGTATCATAATACTGAACATGTTGGCATACCAATCACAATTGTAATTGGGAGCACATGTTCTACAAGTATGAATCTGCCAACAATACATATTATGCATGGTCATCAAAGTTTATAATTATTGATTAGGAGAGGAGACTAAAAATAGATTTGTTAAATACAGAAAGCTTACATGTTACAATTGATTTTGTTGCTCGTACAATGGACCATCAATTAATGGTTTAACAGTAGATAAAATTTATTGAAAAAATGACAGTAATTCCAGTTTCATGCCTCATATTTAGTGTCTCTGTGGGGGAGGCTATAACCCAGAAAATGGATGCTTGCTTTAAAAGATTTATTTGTCATTTGCCAATAGCAGCTGATCAGCTATTTGGATATAACATCTTTAAGACATAATACAAAAATGTGAATAAACAAATGTAGGCCAACACATATTAAATATACAGCTTTCAAAATACAAAACATTTGTTGAAATGAAACTTGGATTTCTCCTTGACTATAACTTATGTAGAACATTTTATTTAATTTAAAATAGCAAACATATCCTGGATAGACAGTTGTTTTCAAGTCAATCCTAACGAACACAAACTGCCCTTATAACCTGTAATCTCAGATCTTTACTTGAGGTTGGTGTGTAAGGCTCTACTGACTGATCAATTTAATAGATAAAATTCTGAACCCGTATAAGTAAGAAAGGTTACATAATCTTTTTCTATTGAATTTCAATAAGTTTATCATGCAAGTCAAAAAAGTGTAATGCAATCTTCAAGTGAACACATTTTTCAAGTTTTATTCCACAGGAAATCTATACCTTTTACTACAGAAGACTATTTGCATACCAAGTTTTGACACTGCTATTTAACTTTTAAGTTTACAGTAGTGATAAACAAAAATAGTTTAATACTAATGGCTTTCAAAGTTGGAGCCCTATATTTCAAGGCTTACCGGTATATTAAAGTTCACTTGGAAATATTACCTCTGTGAATTGAAATGTCTCCTCAAAACATTGTATGTGGATATGATTTTTTCATATACCTGCATTTGATATAAACCCCTAAGAAGACTGAAAATATAACCCCCATGAAAATTACAAATAAGATGCAGTATCAAAATTTCTATAATAAATATAGGAATGAAAATTAAAATAATACTTTAACAAATGTCTGAGGAGTTCTCTGACCGACCACAGGCAGTTGCAAATTTGACTGCTTATAGAGACTTTTACAGTTGTCTACAAAGTTCAGTCTCTTAATGACATATACTTTCATACATTAATCAGATATAGGTAAATAACTACATGTATTTATATTCTATCTGTGTATGAGAAATCTTTGAATATAGTATTGCAATTCTGATTGACTTCTGTACATTACATTTATTAATTTTGATCATTTAATTACGTATACAATGTACTTGTACTTATATGCTGTATTGCATTTGGATATAGTAAAACTTGAAACTTGTATCCTTACTGATTTTAGTGGGGTATTTCTTGTCTATGATTTCATACTCTTAAATTCATGTCCACAAAATGTTCAGATTAAGAAAAGATTTATTGCGCTAATTTATCAATAAAATCAGATGTCTAGGAAATAATTTTTTTTTTCAAACTAAAAAAACTGAGCCCCACAAAAAGATATGTCATTTCACATGTACAAAAACTAAGTGATACTTATTATCTCCCCTGAAATGATATAGCAGCATAAGTTTGAAAGGACGGTTTTACCAAGAATCTAAATATAAATTGGTCGTGTTAAGCCAAGTTTTAAGAATATCATAAATCAAATAATTTTCACTTAGACAAATGAATTTATCAAGATTTTCACAGAAATCAACTGAAAAATTATAGCATATACATATATTCAAAGAAATATTATTTCAACCTATACTCTCTGTATTCTGGTATACATTAGAAAAAAATCATTTGTGTTTTGATATTAAAGGTACATTGAATCTGTCACTAGCTATAATAACATAATGCCACAAGATTTATAAATAAATAGCCATCCTCGATACTTCAGTGGATCACTTTCGCTCTCAACACTCCTGAAACATGTCATGGCGAAATTGAAGGCACAATTGAAGTAATTGGATTGGTTCCTGGAGAAAAAACTTACAAATACCAATCACAGGCTGATACGCTCCTGTTGAAAAAAAATTCAGAGATACATCCAACTTCAAAGCCATTACAATATACCGTGCAGCAACCTCAAGATTTGTTTGATGTACATTGTCTTGTTCACCAGGTGTCGCACATGGAACCTTCAATTTTGCCATCATCTGTTCCAGGGGTGCAGAGAGCGAAAGTTATTATAACCCGTGGAGTATTGAGGATGAAATAGCAGGTGAACATGACAAGACTTGTCCACACTTACAAGCAAACAAGCTTTTGTATCTTTTACATGTTAGTGAAACTATTCAACATGGATGTACAATGACAAAGTACAGAAGCTTAATTTCAATACAATACTAGTAAATATTCAGTTTTCAAATGAGATCAGGAAGAGCTAAATAAATGTTTCTAAGACTTAACTTAATGTCCATCGTTTCAATAACTGAAACAAAACATGATCAACTTATAAAATAAAGGCACTTGTTTTAATGGACACAGAAAAACTTACACATGACAACATTATAAGCCTTGAATTTTATCCAATCTGGTTCGTTGTGAGAAAAATGATTGTAAAATGCCATTTTGCTGTGGTAAAAAATAGCTTTAGCCTCCGTTCCCGATTTTATCCAACTGTGTTTGTTGTCTCGTGCGTTTACTCTCCATGTCCTGGTATTCGCTACACATTGATTTTATTATTGATTAAACCATTGTCATCTGCTCGATCTAGTATACTACAGAACAGAGGGGACTCAATCTGAAAATACAAATAACATACATTGTCAATTCTCTTATAACTTACATTGTCAATTCTTTTATAACTTACATTGTCAATTCTTTTATATCTCACATTGTCAATTCTTTTATAACTTACATTGTCAATTCTTTTACGATGAGTTAATATTATCAATACATGAATGAGCATTCTAACAGAAAATAATAATTATAGAATTTAGTGCAATGATAATAGTAAACTTCATTCTTAAAATTTCTCAACTTAAACACTTTTCTTACCTTTACCAAAATTTTAGATCATAGACAATGACTATTCAAGTAAAATATTCAAAATAGGGGACTTTATGTTTGTCCAACAGGTACCACTCAATATGTTGAAATAGTATCATGTGATAAGCCGGATTTCTACAGCACCCACACACTACCATGCATAGAATTTCTGCAGACCTACACGGGAAAGACTTTGACTGAAATGATGCTTACTATTCTGCTTGTATTCAAATGTATTAAAGAAGGACTACTTACTCCTAAAATATATTCACAAACTTTAGGTTCCATTAGATATATAGAGACTGAATGTGGCTGTCCAGGATTAGGAACACATCTGAAAACCAGAGTAAACACACTTAGTAAACTTGTTAATCTGAGCGTGAACTGGTCATCGTTGATACAAATGTACCACTGTGTTCTCCTCATGGTAACAAATAATAGGAATTATCTAGATATCTGCAGGATAAGGTACACACTTGAAAACCCCAGACGATACATATCTACAAATGGTGCCAAATAATATACAGAGTACAGATCAGTAATTTTAGATATATGTATATTCTGAGGAGATGGTTAAACCATGTCAGACACAATGGTAACTATATAATCATTTTACAGAAGATACAATATCTATATCACGATAAGTCTATGCCTGATGATAAAAAAAGCATTATGCCTCACCCCTCTATATTGGCCTCAAGGTTTATTGCAGGATAAATGTGGTACCTACTTCTGAGAATATACTTACTTTAATCTAACTTCTGCTAATCTTTTTTTACCAGTTAAATCACACACTTCTCCATCAACATAGAGATAATGTAATGACCTGCAAAAGAAAAGTGATTAGTTATATATAAATATGTGTATAACAGATTGTATGTCCCTCCCTACAGGACTTCACTGTCACAGATATAACTGATTGTATGTCCCTCCCTACAGGACATCACTGTCACAGATATAACAGATTGTATGTCCCTCCCTACAGGACATCACTGTCACAGATATAACTGATTGTATGTCCCTCCCTACAGGACATCCCTGTCACAGATATAACAGATTGTATGTCCCTCCCTACAGGACATCACTGTCACAGATATAACTGATTGTATGTCCCTCCCTACAGGACATCCCTGTCACAGATATAACTGACTGTATGTCCCTCCCTACAGGACATCCCTGTCACAGATATAACTGATTGTATGTCCCTCCCTACAGGACATCACTGTCACAGATATAACTGATTGTATGTCCCTCCCTACAGGACATCACTGTCACAGATATAACTGATTGTATGTCCCTCCCTACAGGACATCCCTGTCACAGATATAACTGATAGTATTTCCCTCCCTACAGAACTTCACTGTCACAGATATAACTGATTGTATTTCCCTCCCTACAGGACATCACTGTCACAGATATAACTGATTGTATGTCCCTCCCTACAGGACATCCCTGTCACAGATATCACTGATTGTATGTCCCTCCCTACCGGACATCCCTGTCACAGATATAAGTGATTGTATTTCCCTCCCTAGAGGACATCACTGTCACAGATATAACAGATTGTATGTCCCTCCCTACAGGACATCACTGTCACAGATATAACTGATTGTATTTCCCTCCCTACAGGACATCCCTGTCACAGATATAAGTGATTGTATGTCCCTCCCTACAGGACATCCCTGTCACAGATATAACAGATTGTATTTCCCTCCCTACAGGACATCACTGTCACAGATATAAGTGATTGTATTTCCCTCCCTACAGGACATCACTGTCACAGATATAACAGATTGTATGTCCCTCCCTACAGGACATCCCTGTCTCAGGTATAACAGATTGTATGTCCCTCCCTACAGGACATCACTGTCACAGATATAACAGATTGTATGTCCCTCCCTACAGGACATCCCTGTCACAGATATAACTGACAGTATGTTCCTCCCTACAGGACATCCCTGTCACAGATATAACTGATTGTATTTCCCTCCCTACAGGACATCCCTGTCACAGATATAACAGATTGTATGTCCCTCCCTGCAGGACATCCCTGTCACAGATATAACTGATTGTATGTCCCTCCCTACAGGACATCCCTGTCACAGATATAACTGATTGTATGTCCCTCCCTACAGGACATCCCTGTCACAGATATAACTGACTGTATGTCCCTCCCTACAGGACATCACTGTCACAGATATAACTGACTGTATGTCCCTCCCTACAGGACATCCCTGTCACAGATATAACTGACTGTATGTCCCTCCCTACAGGACATCCCTATCACAGATATAACTGATTGTATGTCCCTCCCTACAGGACATCACTGTCACAGATATAACTGACTGTATGTCCCTCCCTACAGGAAATCCCTGTCACAGATATAACAGATTGTATGTCCCTCCCTACAGGACATCCCTGTCACAGATATAACTGACTGTATGTCCCTCCCTACAGGACTTCCCTGTCTCAGGTATAACAGATTGTATGTCCCTCCCTACAGGACTTCCCTGTCTCAGGTATAACAGATTGTATTTCCTTCCTTTCAGGAGAATAAGTGATTTCTTACTTTCTTTTCCCTATTTCTGCTGGTTTCTTTGAAGGGTGATTTGTTAACCATTCTAGATGTTTCTGTTCATTCCAATATCCAAGGAAAACATCAGTTCTCCCATTTGGATCCTACAAAAAAGTTATTTCATTTCAACATTCCAAACATTCCTTCAAATATACACAATAGTATCAGTGAAACTCCTCGGAAATGACTTTATTGGACACAAAATTTAAACAATGGACAATAATTCTGTAATTAAGGGGTTGTGGGCCCTGAATTTGGTATACTGCACATCCCCTTAGTATGACCAATGTACACACCAAGTGTCATAATCCTCGCAAAGTTATGCTCCTGACTCGAAAGGATTGATGGAAAGACAGACAGACAGACAAGGCGGTGACTATATGCTCCCCGAAAATTTTCTAAGAGCATAACAAAAATATGCACATAAATTGCAAACACATTGTTAAAAAAAAAAGGATGTAAAAGGAAAAAAAATTACAAAATTGCTTCCTTGAAAATATTCCCGATACATTTGATCTAGATATAATAAGAAAAATAAAGAAATTTATCATCTTCTCTCAAACCTATATAATATAAATATCACTTACCTCATGGAATTGTTTAACATATTTTCCATAGCATAATTCATGCTTCCACCACCCAGACCCCTGAAAGGTGCAGAACCACATACATTTAATTCTGCTAGACCAATCCATACAAAGATTTTCAATTACTTCACTCTGATCAATTTTTCTGTGATGAGATTTCTTTTGATACACAAAATTTTATGTCAATCATATTTTCATATATTCCTCTCAATTATGAATTAAAGTATTAGTGAATGAAGCCTTCTGCCATAGAAAAGAATACTGATAAAAAAAAAGATTCCCAGAAAAAAAAAACTCAGTTTTTGATACTTCTGACAAGATGAGAAAACTTTTCTGGGGAAACCCTAAACCTTGTAAATAGTGTGAGAACTCCATATATCTTATTCATATGTAAATAAGTTGAACAGAGTGAACCTCAAGCATGTTATAGAGTGTGAATGTCTTACTCCCTGTAAATAGCTTGTAAACTAATGCCTTACCCCTTGTAAGCAGTGACTACCAGAGAGAAAGTCCCGGAGCACTTGTTTGTCAGTTGTATCTCCAAGTGTGGTGTCTGGGGCTGAGACTTTGGGAGCCTGTTGTGGTGGCTCTGGAGTGGCTGGTTCTACATTCTCAATCTCTACCTGGATATTTCCAGGCTTAACTATAACTTTTTCTTTATTCTGTTAGGAAGCAGACAATACACAGTTGAATTTTCAAACCACTTAAAATTAAAAATTGCAAGCAACTGATCCCTTTGTTCACAATTCACAGACGAAGTATTATATTTCAGATACAAAATGTAGAGAGGGCCTGTCAATGTTTGGTATGGATATTACAATGCTTTATCTCTGCAGTTACCTGCGTAGCATAAATTGAAATGTTACTGTAACGTTGTATTACCAGGTACACTATCAGTTCATCAGTTATTTACTTTAAACCTTACGGTTTACTAAAACATTCCAATGGCGGAATTCTCACCTAACATGAGTTTTGTTTATCTTTGAAAGTGAACTATGTCTTGTGTGTTTTTGTTTTCTTTATTTATTTATTTATTTATTTAATTTTAACATCTCTTTTCTCAAAATGAACCTGAGCAGTTTTTGTGTACTTACAAGTTGAGTTTGATAATTGTTTTCCTCTGTGTCCCATTGCTTTAACACTGTTGGCTTGTCAGGAGAACCATCAACAGCATGACAGGCTATCTTGGATACAGGTGGGTTTTTGGGTCTGGTCAAAAGTCAAAGATATATTGTTCTGTTATCTAATGTCAACAGTATTCAAGGTTACAAAGACATTTGATACAGGGACTAAGCACACACAATGTTTATAATGATAACACCTTTATTGGTGAGTTAGCACATACTTGTTCATAATTATAGTATAAAGATTGTACAAAAGACATGCAAGTGAATCACACTTTTTCATAATTTAGCGTGAGATACAGAAGAGCCAAAAAATGAATTAAACTGCATTATACAGCTGTTTCGTCCTTCTAGGTCTTGTCAGTGATGCTAAGGGCCTAAAATTTGAAGCTTCGGAGGTGACTTAGAAAAATTCAAAGCAATCAAAAGGAAAGTCCTAATCAAGACGGGGAGGTGCAGCAGCCCCATAATTAGATAAATCAGAAGATCTTATAATGATCACTTGTATAGATAACAGAAGTTGAATATTTCATTTGTACAGAAAATATCAAAAGTAGATTTGTACATGAGCAATCTACCACAGAATAAATAGCTGCTATCCATATGTGTGTCATTTGTACAATTCTTGTACATGTAGTAAAACAAAACAAGAGATCCCAGAGGGATCTTGGCGCCCACCATTTGAGGATCTGTTTTCAGTTCTTGAAAATTTGTTTATTTTTTTTTGTTTGTTACAGGTGTTGTAAATGTTCATGAACTGGTCTTCATTGGATGTACTCAATGATTGCACAAGATATTTTTATTAAGCACCTATTAGCAAATATCATTTGAAAAAGATCCCAAAGTATTATTAGATAGCAGTCAGTTACAGGTGGATAATGGACAATATGCTTGTGATGTATTACTGTCGACATCCAAGATGGCTGCCTGTGGGCCACCTTGATTTCAAATCAGTCCAAAAAAGGTACAATGCACAACTAGGGACCAAGGGAAACCAATATCTATGAAATATCAGAAGGATCCATCCAGTACTTCCTCAGATATAGCAGTAACAAGATTTTACTCTCAAAATCCAAGATGGCTGCCTGTCAGCCATCTTGATTTCGGATCAGTCCAAAAAGGTATAATGCACAACTTGGAACCAAAGGGAACCTGCATATGAAATTTGAGAAAGATCCATCCAGTACTTTCCAAGAAATAGCAGTAACAAACTTTTACTTCCAAAATACAAGATGGCCACCTGTCTGCCATCTTGAATTCGAATCAGTCCAAAAAAGGTACAATGCACAACTAGGGACCAAGGGGGATCTGCATATGAAATTTGAGAAAGATCCATCCAGTACTTTCCAAGAAATAGCAGTAACAAGATTTTACTCTCAAAATCCAAGATGGCTGCCTGTCAGCCATCTTGTTTTCGGATCAGTCCAAAAAGGTATAATGCACAACTTGGAACCAAAGGGAACCTGCATATGAAATTTGAGAAAGATCCATCCAGTACTTTCCAAGAAATAGCAGTAACAAACTTTTACTTCCAAAATACAAGATGGCCACCTGTCTGCCATCTTGAACTCGAATCAGTCCAAAAAAGGTATAATGCACAACTAGGGACCAAGGAGGAACTGCATATGAAATTTGAGAAAGATCCATCCAGTACTTTCGAAATAGCAGTAACAAACTTTTACTTCCAAAATCCAAGATGGCTGCCTGTCGGCCATCTTGAATTTGAATCAGTCCAAAAAAGGTACAATGCACAATTAGGGACCAAGGGGAACCTGCATATGAAATTTGAGACAGATCCATCCAGTACTTTCCAAGAAATAGCGGTAACAAACTTTTACTTCCAAAATCCAAGATGGCTGCCTGTCGGCCATCTTGAATTCGAATCAGTCCAAAAAAGGTACAATGCACAACTAGGGACCAAGGGGAAACTGCATATGAAATTTGAGAAAGATCCATCCAGTACTTTCTCAGAAATAACAGTAACAAACTTTTACTTCCAAAATCCAAGATGGCCACCTGTCGGCCATCTTGAATTCGAATCAGTCCAAAAAAGGTACAATGCACAACTAGGGACCAAGGGGAAACTGCATATGAAATTTGAGAAAGATCCATCCAGTACTTTCTCAGAAATAACAGTAACAAACTTTTACTTCCAAAATCCAAGATGGCCACCTGTCGGCCATCTTGAATTCGAATCAGTCCAAAAAAGGTACAATGCACAACTAGGGACCAAGGGGAAACTGCATATGAAATTTGAGAAAGATCCATCCAGTACTTTCTCAGAAATAACGGTAACAAACTTTTACTTCCAAAATCAAAGATGGCCACCTGTCGGCCATCTTGAATTCGAATCAGTCCAAAAAAGGTACAATGCACAACTAGGGACCAAGGGGAAACTGCATATGAAATTTGAGAAAGATCCATCCAGTACTTTTCCAGAAATAGAAATACAAACAAACTTTTGTATCCAAAATCCAAGATGGCCACCTGTCGGCCATCTTGAATGCGAATCAGTTCAAAAAAGGTACAATGCACAACTAGGGACCAAGGGGAACCTGCATATGAAATTTGAGAAAGATCCATCCAGTACTTTTCCAGAAATAGCGGTAACAATAATTGTTTACGGACGGACGGACGGACGACGGACCATGGACACAGGGCGATTTGAATAACCCACCATCTATTAGATGGTGGGCTAAAAAGTCAAATTTAATACATTTTACAAAATTTCTCAAATGAGTTTCATTATTCTTGTACAGGAACATTAAAATGGAAATCCATTTTTTACTGATTTTTAAACAAAAATTGGTCAATTTAACTAAAACATTAGTCTTATTTCTGAAAATTGATACAGATTGGATTATATCAAACTTTCAAGGAAGGCTAAATCAGAATATCTAGTTACACTCACTTGAATAATGGATTGGAACAAAGTACTGCAGTGAGGACCACAATCTCATATTCACAGGTGGAAACTTCTTTGAACTCATAGATCTCTCCTCGTCCATCAGGCTGACATACGTAAAGAAATCTAGATTTCCGAGGCTGTTGTGTCAGGTCACAAGTTGTCCCATCTGTCATATTTACTTCAAAATATGGCAGGTCAATATTGTCTATTTTCTTGATCTTAATCTGTAAATAATAAATCATCATTTTTAAAATTCGATTCAATTCACAAATTTCACAATTTCTTTAAATGTCTTTTCAATTCTGTTGATATGTTTTAACAGAGAACCTCAATCATTTTACAAAATTCTCCAGATTTCTGTTACAATGAGATTTTATCCACTCTAAATGTTACCTTTGTCTTATACTGGGGTACATATGTACAGGTACTTGGCATACAAAATATTTTTTTATTTCATATTATTTATTTGTGAAATAACTGATTAGGTTTTTAAAAATGTGATTTAACATTTTAAATCTGTGAGTTTTGATAAGTGTACAGATTTGTTTCTAGTGTCCTGAGAGACTGATAAGGCATCAATATATGTTTTCAATTATTGATCAATTACTGGCATGTCAATCTGGCACTACAACCGTTACCGAATTACAGAAGGTTTCTCTTAATATCAACAAATAACCAGAAAGATATGGAATCCTTCAGATGAACATGCAACATAAATACATGTATACATGAAGCACAAACCAGTAAGTAACAAAAAGGAAAAAATATTTATAATGCTGAAATTTTTAATTTTTTTTTTTTATTTACATTACTGTACCAGGTATATAAAAAAAAACTGTCATTCATTGGATGTCATTTGCATTGAAGGAACAGCCTGACAAATGAAGGAATAGGCAAAAAGCTGATTCATTCTTAATCATCCGATTACTGATGAAGGATATGCAATAATTTCTTGTTACATATCATCCCAGTTAATTTTGCCTTGTCAATATATAAAATCTGTGTGCCACAATAGCCTAATAAGAATGAGATAAACAACTCATAATAATAGACTAGGCACTCTCTCACTACAATCATTAATGATTAGGAGATTGGACTCTCACACTACAATCATTACAGACTGGGAGATTGAACTCTCTCACTACAATCATTAATGATTAGGAGATTGAACACTCTCACTACAATCATTACAGACTGGGAGATTGAACTCTCTCACTACAATCATTACAGACTGGGAGATTGAACTCTCTCACTACAATCATTACAGACTAGGAGATTGAACTCTCTCACTACAATCATTAATGATTAGGAGATTGAACACTCACACTACAATCATTACAGACTGGGAGATTGAACTCTCTCACATGTATGCTTTATAAAAACATTTTATCATTACAGACTGAGTATTGAGATTGTTTGTAAACTCTCTCAAAAGATAGGATACTACTTAAGCAATTTATCATGTAAGAAATTATTACAATCTTCATTACAAAGCCATACCCAACTCTCTTTTTAAGCATCAATATTTTTTATCTGTATCTGAACATATATAACACTGTTTGGCACACGGTTTCCAATTAAAATTTCAGTTTCAATGTGAAATCAATTTCAGTTTTGATATGAATATCACAATGTACATGCACATCTCACTCTCTCTCGGGCAGCAAATTGTTCCCCTAAAATAATATTACAGATATGTAAATCTTGAACAATTCTACAAAATATTTTTAAGTATCCATTTATAAACTCAAATAATGGAATTCTGCCCCTTTCAATTTCTTCTCAATGCAACAAGAACATACCTCTTAAAAAGCCTTTAACAAAAAACATTTAGAATTTAATTTGAATAATTTATATCATACCTTTTTTTGAACCCCGTTTAGCAAACCCCAGATAATACTCCTGAGGGGGAGCCTTTTTCTACAAAAAGAAAAGTTAAATGTGAGTATTTTTTTCATAAAACAAGACTTTTATTGCACAATATTTGATATTAAGAAAGATGATTTCAAATAAATAAAACAAAATCTATTTCACTGAGTTACACAGTGATTGATTGATAAAAAAATAATATGAGTTAATTAATTAACTGTTTAAGTCTTACTTACATTACTCAGTTCTTTATCTTCATGATATTGTTTCATATGCTTGCCATGGCACAGTTCATATGTCCAGTAACTTTCAATCTGAAATGTTTGTCAGAGATCATCATCACACTTTAAAGCATATGTGCTAGCAAAAGTTAGAACAACATTTAAACAAACATACAAGAAATCTGGTTATCTAACAGTTACTCCAGATTTTAAAGTTTTATTTAATGCTTGTGTTACTACACATGTGCCACTACACATGTACCACTACACATGTGCTAAAGGGAAATTTCACCAGGCTACACCTACTTATGTAATTTTGACATTATACAAATGCATGTTCAACACACTTCCTTTGCACAATGCAAAGCTAATGCATTATTTAAAGTAAAATATGTTATAAATAGCAATACAACACATTAAGTACAATGTGTAATTAGACGTTTTGATAGTATATGATTTATCATATTGAAGTAAAACTGTCATTCTTCCCCCCCTCTCCACCAGACAAACCCTATCCATAACAGTAGTATCTACAGTACCTTTTTCATTTAATTTTCATTTCCCTTGCAACAAAACTTGTAAAACTGCCAGATTTGTATACCAAAACCAAGACACTGTTATACAAATAGAGGAAACCAGTACATCCTGTATTTTCTGACTGATGTCCAGCAGTACACAATATTTCCTGGTACTCAAGAGGACACACAGTACACTAGGAGAGAGCCAGGACAGTAGGAAATTACATTAACACTACATGTTTGCATGTAATTTGATTTTATAAAGTTGCTCTACAACTCTACACTAATTTTAGTACCAAGTATGTGAAATCAGAAGTTCAAGCCAAGAAATGATATCATCAATTCGAAGAGGAAATATCACAGATTTGAATTGATGGTATCACCCATTCCCAGTTCAGGCTTGAAACCTAAATGTAGGTGAAAGTAATCTACATGACACATCGCCTCAACCATGTCAACCATTTCTCCAAGTATTAAGTTCCAGTGACGGGAAGAATGGTAAATGGAGCCTTGACAAACTCTTTGGTGTAAGTCTAAGGTCGAAATGTAGGTTATGACACAGTGTCTAACCTATAGGTCAACTCACACTGCAAGTATTTTTTTGTTTGATGTGAGTCAAAGGTAAAAATGTAGATCAAAGTGACGTACTTTTGCTATATGATATACCACCTTACCTTTGTTGACTCATACCACCAAGTTTGAAGTTTCAGTGACAGGTAGTGCAGTAAAATGAACCCAGACAAGATCAAGAAGGGAAGGATGGACAGACAGACAGATAAATGGAAGGACAGATTGAGACTAAGCAACAGTATATACATGTAGAGTCTTCACAGATCCCTATGGGAGGGGTTGATAATTGGATAATTTGATAATTTGTACCTCAAGTGAATAGCACATTTCAACACAAATTTAGAATCAGATATAGTAGAGCCAAACAATGAATTAAACTGCATCATACAGGTGTTTTATCATACAACGATGCTGTTTTATCCAAGGAGAAAGACTATGGAATGATGCCAATGGATATACCTTTCCATATGATATATTCCTAATGATGTTCTAGCTAAATTTCTAGAATATGAACAACAAACTGTTATTAAACAAATTACCTATGTCTATATATATTTTTACCAGGTACATGCTATAAAAACACAAAATATCTTTGAACTACAATACCAATATATAATTTTACTTTTGTAATACATGTACCCTATGAAATAAAAAGAAACATACATCTATAGTACTTACCCTGTATGAACAAGTTTTCTGTTGAAACAGAGATTCCATTAACTCATCAGGTGTAGGCCCAGCATAATTCCTCTTTGATGACTGTCAGAATGATGGTCAAATAAAAAGATGGAGTTATTATAATAAAATAGATATCATGTTACATCAAAATAGTAATTGCCTCTCAGTTTTGATTTCAAAGTACTTTTATCAGAACAATTTTTCAAAGTAATCCCACAGAAGTTGTAATTACCTGGGTATAAAGTATATCAATGTTTTACATTGTACTATTCTTGTCTAATATTTACTTTATCTGTTGTTATGTTACCTGAGAAGTCTGCCATATCTCCAATACAAAATGTGTATCTTAAGTACATTCCTGCAGATTATTCATGAAACTGTTCAAAACTGACATCAATACCCAACGAAATGAAAAACTACAGTCTGAATTATAAAAGTTTATAAATTACTACTTAAAACTGGGCTCTGTACTTACATCATCTTCAGAATCTTTGGTATCAGGCAAAACACATTTATACTTCTCGTTAGCCCCTGTTTTCATCACAACAACATTCTTGCTATCTTCAATCTGTGTTAATGAAATAAAATAAAAACAATTGTATCATATAACCTCAAAAAAGCAAAAATTGCATAGACATGGCCTTAAAGCCTAAAATAAGAAGGCTGGAATAGTATGGACAAAGACTTTAATTACTCTCTGAATAAAACTGTGGATCAAAATATACACTAGCAGATTAAATATTTTGTGAAAAATACAAGAAACACTGCTGTTACATGTTACATGTCACTCATCAGTGAGTGCAAATTGTGATCAATTGAATGAGGGTACTAGCAACATACATGCATGGATCCACCTACATGCAAACCTCTATACAAAGGTCTTGTGAAACTCCACCTTGAGTAAGCTAACCAAGCTTGGAGCCGCCATCTGGTTAAACACTTACAATTATTACAAAATGTCCAAAGGAGCAGTACTGAGCTAATAACAGGGATCATCAATTTATTCTACCCAGAGATACTACAGCATCTAGAATTGCCAGCATCAGCCTATTGAACAGCCAAGGGAGATATGACTGAACTCTACAAAATTATGATGGAAAAATCTAAATATATGATCCTTGATCCTGCGGTGTCAACTTTCATAACTTCTGACACTGAAAACATTACTAGAAGGGAATACAAACTAAAACTAAATAACAAAGAACTTTCTGATCATATGGAAATATTCCTTCCTCCATTGTACCTTAGAGTTAAAGAAAGATCTACATAGATTTTTGATTCCAGCCTTGATCAATATTGGAAAAACCTACCACATCTATATATATTGTGTAACTACAGGGAACCCATAATGGACAATTGAACTTCAGATCTTTAACATTGGAAACATTTATATTAATTACCAGGACAAGATCCAATGACTTGATCCATTTGAGAAAATTTGATGTAGCACACAATGTACATTATCTAGGTGCTCTGCATTTTACCCAGAGCTAATGTTAATGAAAAATACTATCAAAGCAGTTTTGCTTACATGAATTTGTTTTGACTTATTTCATTTTTAACTAAACATGATTTTATACCAACGAAATTGGCATGAATTAAAATTTCTTTATTCCTTTAAGTACCTGGCATATAATGCCAGGCAACCAATATCATGTGGTCACAACATATACACAAACAACAACAACATCACAATATATGCATGATCGATCACTCACTTTAGAGTCAATTTTCTTCATTTCTTGAAGCATATACTAACAATTCAACCATAATATATCTAAACTTTATTTGCATGATATTTCAACAAAGAATATCAGCTTCGCTCTTTCAAGGCACTGTGAAGGTGTCTGACATATTATTCACATGACTGCTATAAAGCTGCAATGAACAGGTGAACTTGCAAACAACATACACCATGTTACTTAACCTATATAAATGAGCTGACAGCAGAGAAACATATAGTCAGAATAAAATCTGTGAAAGATTATATGATATCTAAGGATTTTTTTTTTAAATATACCTGGTCGATTGACGAAGGACCAGCCCAGTCAATGGAGTGTAGATCACTATCCATAAACGGATTGAAGGCCAAAGATGTTAACACGGACAGTGTAAATATCACAGCCAAATACAATAACATTGCAACAAAATTAATCTGGAACATCTTTTGAATATAAATCAGTCTACGGCGCCTTCATTGACGGGTGGAAATCGTTCTAGGGACTACTTGAAAGCAATGAATCAACTTTAGATGACGTTGCAAACAAGCAGACGAAATCAAACACTGGGCAGCGCCATTTTGCAATCAGGAACAAAGTAGTCAGATCGTGGAGGTTTAAGATTGGTGGAATTAAAAAATATATTTTCTATTAGATTATCGAAAATTTCTTTTTGTAGACTAATGACGAAAACTCAATCCAGGTATAAATTTCGTTTACTATTATAATCCCTTTAACTCATTTATTAAATTTACACGTAAACAAACTTTATTAACTGCTGTCCTGCACTTTCAGTTTCCAGCATGACGGAAATCATGTTGCGACTTAGCGTAACCTTACTTTTCCTTGTAGCAGGTGTTGTTTCCATCCCGGAACAAGGGAAATGGGTTGTCTCATTTGACCAGGTATCCATGATTTGTTTTGCTATGAAATTTAAGTAAAAAACTGAACTGATATACAAGATTGTCGCATTGGAGTAAGATGTACATAGCAACTGCCATGTCACGTCATGATGACATGTCGTCTGCAGAAATAGCTGTGTATTTAGACATTCAGTTTTCAACATGGGTAAACAAATTTCGATATATACAAGTTCAGGCATATTACGGATGCTACACGCTTTCATTTCAATGTATATTTTTACATGTACCCCGAACATGTTTGATATTTAGATTTCGGACGGGTAGTTTTCGACACTCGTGATCGAATAACAGCACGCCAATATTAGTCAATATTGTAGCGTCTACCAATGTCAAGTAGTCTTATGTTGGTGAAAACGCTTGAATACTCAGCATGTAAAAATATCACGACAGCAAAGTTAATCGGAGACCATGCACTATGCATCCTGTTACTTTTCCATATTTAATGATAAAATCACAGTCTTGTTCGAAAGTACCTTTGGGAAACAATAGGAAATCCTCAATATTCATAGAAGAAAGCAACCGCTGACAATAGAGCATAGTAAACATTACAAAATCAAATACGATTGTATTGTGTAAATCGTGATGGTACTTGTATGTTATATTTGGACCTGATTGTTGATCAAAAGTTCAGATGTTGTGATTAGGATTCAATTTTAAATAGCAATTGCAAGTGAGCAACACAAATCCTTTGGAGCTCATGTTGAATATTGTTTGTCCATGTGCAGCAGATTTTACTAAATTATCAATATATAATGGGGTTCATTATTTATTTCAATATTTCTGCTAGGTATCAAACTTGGGAACTCTGGTTTACTCTGCTTAAATTGAACATATTGAGCTAAAGAAAATTTCTCTGTAGCTGAGTGGTATATTATGGCTATAAGTATTTACCAGGGATACATACTTTCCCCAAGGAAAGAACTTGTCCTTATGTTTCCTAAGTATACAGGGATGCCTGTGTTCCCACCTCCAGGGCACCTACATGCTGCTTATGCAAGAGATATAATTATATATTTCAATGCCTCTACTAAGGATTAAACACCAGACCTCTGGTGTACTAAGCTTGCTCATTCAATGGAGCTGATAAAAAAATCTCTTGCTGAATGCTTTATTGCTGCCCAAATTTACCAGGGTTACAAATACTTTTTGAAAGAATCACGAAATATTTAATGATTACTATACAATAATATCCATATAATATAACATTTTCTTGCTTAACTACAATAATTCTTTTTGATTTTTAAGGATCATACAATATTTGGAGTAATGAAGAGTATGTACAAGGGAACTCGTGTTGCAGTGAAAAGTAAGTAACCTTCAATAATTGAACAATACAGTTTACTGTAGTTGATTTTGTGAATTATATATCTGTGGGATATTATATCAAACCTGAAAAGTACATTGCACAAATATGTCCTTGCATCTAAAGAAATCTAACTAGACAGCACAAAAATTATATTGTGATTTAGATTTTAATTTATTCAGATTATTCATAGAGGATGGCCTTAGTAAGACCAAAATTATTTCAGTTACAATATTGACATATGACTGTATATTTTTAAAAAAAAAATTCAAAATGCTTTTTGCTCCTATTTCACAGTCGACTGTAATGACTTAGAAGGAGATTTAGAGATACGCTGGCTGTTGAGGTACTCGCCATGTTCAGAAGAATATATTGGACTTGAGTCTAATCATGTAAGCAAAAATGTTACATAAGCTTACAGCTTTTTATAGCCATTTAAAATTTTATATAGGTCCTTCAATAAGATTTTGCTGTATATATGTATGTTAGAGCTGAATCAGTGACTTCTTTTCTGATACATGGTTCAACAATGAAATAAAGTAAAATAATGATCTGCTGTTAAACATGAAATGTTTGGAGGTACTTTCTTTCATGGTTTAAGCCTAATACACCCTTTCAAGGATGAAAACATTCATGGATGTCACATAATTCCTATATATGATGTCTTCCTAATTAGTCTACAGTCACAAATGTTTCTGCACAACAAACATCTAATATTAGATAGTTACATCGGAACCAGTCTTAAATTTTCCGAAGTACTGTTTTTTTAAGTACATTTTAAATATATGTATAAATTTTCATTCTTTTCAGGAACTACAAAGACGCTACTTAGAAACTCCACATGTGCAAATGATCAAAGAGTTTCAAAATAAATATAGCATCTATGAATTCTTTGCTGGTGAAAACACGACTAGTTGTAAAGAGGGTGTAATTTTACTACCAGTAAGTATTGCAAAAATTCAGACAATTAAATTTATGCAATAGGTTAACAATCACATTATCAGTTGTCAGTTCAAGTTATGTAATGTTTTCAAAATATTTACAATTGAATTTATACACAATGTAGTAAAATCTTAAATACTGAATTACAGTTGTAGGGAATTCTCACTGAGAGGAAGCACACAAATGATCAAAAATCAGTTTTTCCTTTGTAGCAGACATATTATGCATTGAACTGCTTTCAGTTTCGGGAATGGCAATATGAAAGCCTGTAACATAACAGGAAAATAGGATGGACCAAATACTACATACTATATATTCTGTACCTTGTGCTATGTTTTAAAATTGATCTAAACTTTCCTTGTAAACAACCCTTTCCCCTTGTTTGCATACTCATTGCAAATTATTGGCCAATATCATCACTCATATGTTAGACCTCATAGTTATCAAACCTTATTATAAATTATACTAACCACTATGTAAAACTTACAATATTTTAAAGAAACAATTTTTAACATTAAGATAAAAGCACATTGGTGATTGTTTGCTAAACATGCTCAGTGTCATAGAATAGGGTACATCCAGTACAAAGATAGTACATTACATGCTATTGAAAAATATGCAAACATTTTTTGATATATATTGTTATACTTCAAACTTTTATTGGAATTTGTTGCAGGATCATTTTGTTTCATTATCAGTGTTATGAATCAGAATCCATCATGTAATTTAGGCCCCTAAATTTTTCATTTAACTACCATTTGAATGATATAAGTAAAATTAAAGCAAGAATTTAACCTTTTCAATGCTAAAGTATATTTACTAATTATATGTCTAAGTTGGCTGCGATAGTTCAAACATAAGTATCATTATTATTATGTTAAATATTTAGTGTGACCATAAGCTTCTCGTAAACCTTAGGCAAATAAATCAGAATAACATTATCTGGCTATTTTAACATTTTTTATAACCCATATGTATATATCTGATAAGTATTTCATTTCCATTGAGATTTCCAATTTTACCAAATCACTTTCTCTCATGTTTACTAATCATGCATGAAAAGCAGAGCTATTTGGGAATTTTTGTAAAAGTATTCAGACCTTTGAAACATGAATTGTCAAGTCATCATGTGTTCAGTGTTTATAAATTTGTTAATAAATAAAAAATAGTTTTTCTATTTCAAAAATAAACACATAGTGAATAGTGGTTATATAATTGTACAAAAGACACACAAGTGAACAGCACCTTTCTATATAATGATTATACAGAAGACACCCAAGTGAACAGCACCTTTCTATATAATGATTATACAGAAGACACGCAAGTGAACAGCACCTTTCTATATAATGATTATACAGAAGACATGCAAGTGAACAGCACCTTTCTAAATAATGATGGTAACACAAGTGGATAGCACTTATCATTTTACAATAATGGTACAACAGACATAAGTGCAAATTTAGAACCATATACAGTAGAGCCAAATCATGAAGTAATCTATATCATCTAGCTATTTCTTCCTTCTTCGACTAATCATTGATGCTAAGGACTTCTGAAACCTAGGAATACTTGATGGAAATCAAAATTGATTGAAAGAAGTGCAAAAATGTAGATGGGGAGAAACACTAGCCCCACAATTCAACAGATTGTGTGATTTCCATATATCTGATAATTTCAAAAGACTGTCAGGTATAAATCCCTCATGCCATATGTAAATATTGCTTCTGAAAAATATGTATCAAAATATTGCTTAATTTATTATTTGAGCTTGGTGATGTCATTGAATTATTGCAGACACTTGAAGATTCTGAACTGCTTTGCTTTGCTTTCAGGATTTAACAAATAGCAAGCCAACAATAGTTAATGATGGACCAAAAGTTTTAGTAAGTAAAAATGTTTTCTTGTTGTTGCTGTTGAAGGTTAAGTGTGTTTTTAACTTAAGTGCAAAATAAACTTTTAAATTAATTTGTTATTAATAGAGTGTTTAGGAATAAAACTGTTTGAGGTGTATGTGTTTGATTTTCACTGTAACCCTGGATTAGTCCTCCAATGATAGTATGGTGAAGGTGATGACCCAATGTAATGCTGAGGAAATGATCAGTCTCAACAACAGTCACATGGCTAACAGACAGGCCAATGTGGAGGGCATAGTTTGACCCACGGACAAGGCAAAGTTAGAGGACATAGTTTGATGTTCTTACAGGCAAATTGTTGAGGGGAAAATTTGATGTATAGACAGATATAGAGAACATTATTTTATTTACAAGCAGGCAGAGGTGGAGGGCATAATTAACTAGCAGGCAGGTAAAGGTAGAGGGCATAGTTTGACTGAAAGCCCAGTCATTTGGCAAACTTTTGTTTTGTGATTCAGAGAGATTTTATGAAATTTCCACCTGATGACTATGCAAAGGTAATATTAAAAGATACTTCAGCTGACCGGTATCTGTTTAGAAATGCTTGGTGGAGATATCAAAACAAGTATGAATTAATTAAAGTAGGTCTCACTGAAAATTTTTTATGAAGTTCCAACGTCTACCGCTAAAAAAAAATGATGTTCCCTCGACATACTTTTTGTGATGTCACATCACAGGTAGATTGAGGGTGTGAAGTCATTAAGCAATAATAATCAATGGAAGTATGTTTAGTTTACAAAGAGAGATTTTCAACCTCTTTAGATCAGTACCAATGCATGATATCATCATGAGTATTTCATAGATAAGTTGGGGATTTTTTCACTATATCTAAACATTATATAAATAAATTCATTTTTCTATTCATCTTTTTGGTGAAGGATGAGTTAGGGCTCAGATTATAGTAGAGGACATAGGCATATTTCTTTGGTATATTGGAGGCAATTTCATGCAGAGTTAATATTGCTGAATATTGCATTGGTGAATTCGTGAAAAAAACCAACCTCTTCGTGGACTTTAATGTAACAAAGCCTACATTAATTCTCAGGATAAAAGTAGGGGTATGTTTAAAGAAGAAGGGACACTTGGTAAGTCAAACACAAAAACTCCATAACCATGGTGACCTATTAGTATAGTAAACTTGAAGGTATCATTGAAGTTTGATTAAGGAACTGAACTTGTTTTTTAAAGGCCACAAATAAATCTGCACAGAAAGATCCTACTGGAAGCTCTGATGACTCTGAACAGTCAGATAAAGCACCTGTCCCACAGCAGGACTCTAATCCTGCATCTAAGAAAGCTGATGCAACAAAAAATCCACAAAATAAAGCTAACCCTCCACCCTCAACCACAGCACCAACCACATCAAAGGCTTCGTCTACAAACAAGGGCTCAGCTAGGAAGAGAAGGGAAGCCGCCAAGGCCTCTGATGATGATAAGAAGGTAACTTGATACTGGAATACATGTTCCCATTAATGTTTAGTGATTATAACAAAGATGGCGATGACAGTATTACCCAACTTGTGAGAAGAAAGACGAAGTATTGCACTTATCAAATGCATTTATCAATTATTCAATGGCAAAACAGTGAGCTTTTTTTTCTTCTTCTTATTCTTCATCGTCTGCCGTAATACCCCCGAAAAATGTATCTTAAGCTTTATACAAAGGTATGTGTAATATGTAATAGGAAAGCTGACCTTGCAGATAGATCTGTTCTGTGAAGTGTTATCTGTGTATTTGTGAATGTTGTTCAACTTAATAATGATTTGGTCTAATCAGCCTCTAAGTGCATGCTAACCTCTAAAAATACTGAAACCATAAATCATTTTAACATAAAGTAGTATGACTGTATTTTACAGATTATGTGCTGTGTCTTTTTACCTTGTTAATCAGGCTTGCAGCTTATATACTAATGCGGCTTAGATATGGACGAAAAAAAAGGCAGGATGAAAAAAAATAATAACATGAAGTGTATTAGTACACCAGTACGAGACAGTACAGAGATTTTTTACGAGTACCTGCCCGTCACATGTTTGTGACTGAAACAGATTGTCTAGAACCATTATTTGCGATTGTATACAGAATGATTTAAAGAATAGAATAAAAATTACATTCTCGTGGATTAAGTTAATCATACCTGTAATATGAATCACAATAATATCTTCTTCGCTTTCGCAGTTGCTTCAAAGCCTTAGCGTAATTTTCTCATAGTCCCTTGCATCCTGGGATTGATAGTCATCGGGTTATAGGTCAAATTCTAGAATTATCGCCATACTTGTTTATGATATGAATGGCTTTGTGTAACTCACAAGAAGAGATAATATTGGACTATAAGAACTTGGTCAGCATGCTATGACCTTCGTTAATATTTAACAGTACAGACAATGATGGAGAGATAGTTTTGTAAACTGTGCATAACGCCAAGTCCTTTATCTATGTGTAGACAATCTGTGAAGGCACCCAAGCCAAACGAGTTTGATATTGGCTTTTTTTCGTTTTATGAAATCCATCAATGAAATAAAGGATTATTTGTGTATAATTCATTTGCGAATTTTGTTAAATGTTTGGTTGATGATCTTGATAAATTGCCATCAATTGTCTGTCATATCAACAAATTTTGGTTAGCGTAAGGATTACCTCTTCGCAAGAAATGGTGCGGCTTATATTATGGTGCAGCTAACATGTGGATTAAATTGGGGGGAAATCGGTAAAAACCAGCTCAATGACATATACAGGTGTGGCTTATAACCCAGAATATACTGTAGTTGAAATTCACCACTTTATTCACATTCAAGAAAAAGGTGACAATTTTTTTTTATTCAGTTTCATCAACTAATGATTTCTTCTTTTGGCTGTTCTTCTGTTTCAGATTCTTTTGTGATGCAAATTTTTCAATATTCATTAGAAAGGTTTTAAAGTTTTTTAACTTCCAACTAGTTTCATCTCTGGTCAATGTTAAGACTGGTTAAATATTTATTTGTGCCATTGTGTGAAGTACGGGTCTCAAATCCGTGATGGCTGCTGTAGTTGACAGGTTTAAAAACACTTTCAAACTTCTTCTGAAGTTCCACCTGTACAAATGAGCTGAAAACTGGTTGGGTTGATAAGGAAAGAAAGCTTATAAAGTGTTCTAATTTTTCAACATGGCAGCCACAAGCTGATTTTTAACATCATTTTTGTTTTCTTGAACAACACCTATGCTAAACTTCTTGTCATACTCCTAAGAGGGATTCATTTCAAACTGTTGGATTATAAGTATTGTCAAGAACTTGTTCAATAAGTTTTTCTATTCTTTTAGTTTCGATGAACAGAACTCACTTGTTTGAGTGAGTCAAAAGGTGGAAGGTGAGACATATATTTTCAGGGAATTTTGAATACTCCAAAAAATTTAGTATTAAAAGTTTGTTTTAAAATCTGGTACTTTGGTTAGTAAGATAATGTTAGGAAGGAAAATCAGTATTTTTTTCTTTCTTTGACTTTAGGTTAGCAAGAAAGGGGTGTCAACGCTGAAAGCAGGAGATAAGGTAAGATGTTATCTGTTGTAACCTCATCAGTTGTGTGGACATAGTGTAAGGCATTTTTTTCTGATAATTTTTTTGGCATTGGTAAAAAAGAAGCTTGAGGAATAATATTTCATCATGATCTTAAAAGAGTTTGTGGTGAAGGTGTATACTTTTGACAGCCAGAGTTTAAGTAGCAAACAATAAAAAACAGCGATCTGAGAGCCCTTAGTATGTCACACACTAGTCCGAACATCCAGTCAATAGGTTATAAAAGTGTGCATTTAATTTGTTTAAAGAAATGCCAGTATTTTGTTTTTAAACAATGCTACTATATTTTCTTTTTTTTCAGTCAAATCTATTGTAATGAGATTTGTAATCAAGTTGCAATAATAAATGATAACCAATAATAAAAATATTCTTTTCCGCCAAATAAAAATGTCTTACACTTCTCCCCTGTTTTCCTTATTTCGTACCTTTTGTTTGGTTACTTTTTTTCTTTGGGAGATTCTGTATTTTTTTTGTTTTTTGTTTTTTGTTTGTTTTTGGTTTTGTTTTTTGGTCTGTTTTTTTTTAAACTGTTATTTTCATAAATTATCTGAAATATAACAATTGCTTAAGAAAAAAAATTATTGATACCTTGATCATTATATCCGATATATGGACTATTGTTTCAACTGTTGAAATGAGGAAATATTGTACTTCAGGTTGACCGACATTATTACCTGACAGCATGGAAGGATGGTGTGTATGCTTACATCCTCTCTATTCAAAGAAAAGAATCATTCCCTTTGGACACCGAAAGTAAAACCTCACCTGAACCACAGAAGTCCTTCCAAGTTGATGGTAAGATATATAAATATTGAAATCAATTGTTGAAGCTGTTCTTATAACAGATGTACAGTCAGTGATTAGTATTTCTATATCATACATAATGGTTTAATTTTATCTGGACCCTAACCGTGAAATCATTGCATACTACCAACAAAACTAGATGTCATTAAATACCGACCTTTCTTGTTGTTTACAGTGACTATTGAAATGATTGGTGATCATGAATACATTTCTGCACAAGATTGGCCGCTGTTGATTGTAAGTACACTAATCATTGTAATTCATTGTTAACTATTCACCAACCCATTGGTCATGGCACATTGAAGTTAAAGCAGAACTGAACAAAGTAAATCTTTCCAACGGGGTCTTGATAGCACAGTCAGTAGAGTATTGACTTAAACAACATCAGGTGAAGACCTAAGATGCATGTTTAGAAGCTCCTTTCCCATGGTGTTTTGTGTTTTTCTGGAAGCTGAGATGTGGATCAGTCTGCAAAACACTTTATGCCAATTGTTCAGGGTGACATTAATATATTGTTCTGTAAGATGAAGACCAGGCTCCACTTGTATAAAACATCTCAACTTGAGATTTCCTCAAGTCAAGATTTTCTTCAGCTGATATCTCCTCAAAAACGGCTTGTATAAGATTTTCACAAGGAACAGGAGGAAGGCATTGGCTAGGATGTCCTGAAATTCTTTGAGGAATTTTCATACAAGATATTTTCAAGGAGATATTAGATGAGGAAAATCTCGACTCGAGGAAATCTCAAGTTGAGATGTTTTATACAAGTGGGGCCAGGTACTCAAGAATTTACCACCTCAAACTGACCCTGGTTTTACATGGACAATAAACCCAGTAAGCAAACAAATCTATAATTTTCACTTTCTACACCCATAGATATTCCAGAAAAAATTAATATGTTGTGGTTTTTTTTTCCAGTTCTATGGTGTAATGGGTCTGGTGTACATTATATATGGCATTGTTTGGCTAGTGATGCTAGCCTGTAGCTGGAGAGACCTTCTAAGGGTACAGTTCTGGATAGGAGCAGTCATCGCACTTGGTACGTGTTTATAACTGTGATACGAAAATGCCACAGAACACTTGTACATCAAATTTAAAGATGGAATAAATTTCACAAAATTTGATATGGAAGAATATCAATTCAATCCATACTGATTTTTAGAAATTCATTTTGTACAGGGTCACTGTCACAACTTTTAACAACCTTAACTTTCATGCCTTTATCCTGCAGATTTCATTGGGTTTATTTGTTAAGAAGCTGATTAATCATGTTATCTATTTGTATATATTTATATTAACAGTAACAGTCTAATTTTGTATCTTTTGGGTTTACAAACTGTCTGAATATTACAACAGGTATGTTGGAGAAGGCAGTGTTCTATGCGGAGTTTCAGAGCATTTCCAGCACTGGACAGTCAGGTAAATGATTGATTCTGCATACATAATTTTAACTTTTACATTTTATCTGTAATTCACTTATGTAAAAGGAAATTGTCAGAATTCAGTCAGTTAGAGCTCTGGCAAACATTACCTCAAGTGAAGAATTGGGTCATGTGGACAGCATGCGACAGGCCACCCATACGTTGTTCATTGAGGTTGTGTAGCCACCAGCAACTACAAAGAGGCCCCACCTTAGTATGATCCTGGCTGAGTGATAAATGCAGCAATCCATGCTGTAATTCATTGTGCAATATGACCAGGATACTCTGATAAAAAATTAAATTCAACCTTCAACTTTTCATTGTGGTGCATATACAGACATGTAGAAACATTAGCATATCTATATACTGGTGCAGCATCACAATATTCAATATATTTCTAGATGCCAAGATGGCAGCATATTCCTCCTTATTCAAAGTCAAGGAATTGGCTTATTTCAGGACAATGAAATAGCACTGGTTTATGATTATACTGACCATCATATATGTTAGTGAGCATATCACAGGTATAGGTTTTTAAAAATAAATTATGAGTTTATGTTATTAGAAAATGTTCTGACTGTACTGATACATTTTACATATCTTAGCATCTATACCCACATATTTCTGTATACAGACTTAAATTCATAAAGCTGGTTTACAATAAAACCATTACTGTATATGTATTGTTGGTATTTTTTTAATTTCCAGTAAGAGGAGCTATTATATTTGCTGAGTTTGTGTCATGTACGAAGAGGACTTTGGCAAGAATCTTGGTCATCATTGTCAGTCTTGGATTTGGCATTGTGAAGTAGGTTATAGATGATCAATATCTATGCATTAGAATTACCTAAAATAGTTAATGTTTCTTTAATCTGGCTGACTAATTAATCTCTTAGTTTCAGTTACATTAGAGTGTTGATATTTTCACCAGTATCTTAAGATTTAATTTACTGGTAAAGATTGTGTTATTTTTTTTCTAATATTTTCTTTGTCATTGATGTAGGTATAACAAGTCAGTTCTACAGTACTCCATTGAAATGAAAGGAATTCAGAAATACAGTTTTATTAGCTTATGTGTTTAATAGATCAGTGATGGTCTCTGTCTATACATCTATCAATAACTTTATGGTGACTTCCAGTGCCAATGATCTTTTTCTGAAAGTTTTATTTGAAATACATCCATTTGTTTTACAGGCCTAGATTGGGTCCTACATTCAGGAAAGTGATTGGTGTTGGAGCTCTCTACTTCTTTGTCAGCTTGATTGAGGGCTGCATGAGACAACTACAGGTAAAATGTTTCTTTAAACTGAAGGTTACATGCTTTCTTACAGGTATACTTAGGTTACATGCTTTCTTACTGGTATACTAAGGTTACATGCTTTCTTACTGGTATACTAAGGTTACATGCTTTCTTACAGGTATACTTTGGTTACATGCTAACTTACTGGTATACTTAGGTTACATGCTTTCTTACTGGTATACTAAGGTTACATGCTAACTTACTGGTATACTTAGGTTACATGCTTTCTTACTGGTATACTTAGGTTACATGCTAACTTACTGGTGTACTTAGGTTACATGCTTTCTTACTGGTATACTTAGGTTACATGCTTTCTTACTGGTATACTTAGGTTACATGCTTTCTTACTGGTATACTAAGGTTACATGCTTTCTTACTGGTATACTAAGGTTACATGCTTTCTTACAGGTATACTTAGGTTACATGCTTTCTTACTGGTATACTTAGGTTACATGCTTTCTTACTGGTATACTTAGGCTACATGCTTTCTTACTGGTATACTTAGGCTACATGCTAACTTACTGATGCATCTATCTCTTGTCTAAAAATGGTAAACAACAATTATTATTTAAACTGTCTTTTGTAAGGGATTGACATGTGAATTGAACTTTTGAAAAGTGCACAATTTTATTTATTTTTACTAATAGCTAATAACACTATTAGTGTAAGCATGGTTTATTTTTTCTTAATGAAGGAGAAATGATTTTAATTGTGCCTTATTCTGATTATATCATTAAATTTTCATGTTTTGTTTTGCAGACAAAGGGTGATAACTCTAAAGACATCCTTGCAGCACAGGTTCCTCTAGCTGTGATTGATGCTTCCATCTGCTGGTGGATATCCTTTTCTAACTATACTTCATGACAAATTTTTTATAATGTCTCAGTACATCAGTTAAAACTGTTTATTGAACATTAACTGGCAGATACTTCATCTGTTAATACATTTCAATGCAGTAATAATTTCACATATGGTAGGTTATTTTTACTTGATTAAAAATCCAGCAAAGTTACCCCTTGTAAAATCAGTACATCTGCTGTCAAACTTTTATGTCATGCTCCTTTTATTGTCTCGGCTAGCATGTTTAATTGTGAAAAGTTAAGCTATTTTCCCAGATTTCCAGACAACAAATGTTAAACCTATGCTGCAGAATGCAATTTATATTTATATAGTTTAAAATCTATTGGTATTTCTCCTTGATTTATATCACATTTTTGCAAGTTTGATCCAAACTACAAGAACACTCAGGCTGCGAAGGAACATAGTCAAATTGTCTCTTTACAGACATTTTACAAACTTACTCATTTTTGCTGTTCTAGGTAAGTAGTCTCTTTTTCTAACTGGAGGATAAAACCACACTTACAAATGAATTGAAAAATAACTACGTACATACAGCACCATTAGAGCTTTTTGGGAACTCTACCTTGTTCAACTGAGCTATCATTGATAATTTTCTATCTTATTTTTCAGCATCTGTGGTGTATATGATCTGGTCTTTGTCATCACACAAGTTAAAAATATGTATAACCGTGAGTATTTTTTGTATTTGTCATCAAACAGATTAAAAATCTGTATAACCGAAAGTATTTTAGTCAGGTTAAAAATCTGTGTTATCGTGAGTCTCTTGGTCTTTGTCATCAGGTAGGTTAAAAATCTGTAAAACTGCTAGTATTCTTGGTTCCTTGTCATCAGATAGGTTAAAGATCTGTATGTGTAACTAGTTATTTCTGGTTTCTCATTAAAAATGGAATGCACTGAGTCATCATGAAATTGAAGTTTGCTGAGATTTCTTCACTGCATGGAAATGTGGAAATTGTCTCTTTGGTTACATGTCTATATACCTTGTAGTTATATTCATGGTTTTGTAACTGTATCGTTAAATACTGATTTCAGGACTGGCGAGAGTTGTGGGTGGATGAAGCTTTCTGGCACTTATTGTTTTCTGTCATGCTACTAGTCATTATGGTGCTATGGCGACCGTCCGTCAACAATCAAAGGTTTGTATGACTAGATCTACGAGGTGACCAGCTATACTTGTTTTATTTAATCATATTCCTCAACGTTATTTGCAGAATACAATTCACTTAATTAGGTAATCATTTCTGAAACACCGTCAGCCACAAGTTTACTGTCTGAAAACCATGGTCAGTGACAACAAAATTATGATAAAAATTTGACAAAAAACATCATTTTGACAAAATCTTAGATGCAAGTAAAGGTAAGCAAAACACTGCAGATTTACGGTTAACAGACTACAGTGTATTTTGTTTTAAGCTTGGTTGCCTTATTCTGTATAAATTCTAACTTTCACTTGTGCACCTGTATAAATGCAGGGATTAATGTTGATCAAAAATAGACATAGAGCTCATTAACATAGATATGGCTGACCGAACACAGTCATTCTGACTGAAGCCAGGAAATTTTTACCTGTGACAAGGTGAAGTTTGACACTAAAAAAAGTAAATTTTGATAGAATTGAGAAGGGATGGACCACTAAATGTATTCAACGCAAACACAGTTTTTGACTCAACAGTGTTCGAATCATAAGTGTTTAATTTGCTAAGATAAAGAAGAGAAAAATCGGGACTGAACAAAACGTTCGACTTATCCTGTGTATTTGATTCAGATGTGTTTGACACAAGTGAGTTTTACTGTATTGCCATTTTTAGAGAAAATATTAGATAAAATTACATCACATTATCATTAAACAATATTTTTTTTTGTAAAACCTAGAGCTGTATTGTACCACATTTGAAGGTTAAATTGACTAAACATTGACATCATTAAATTATATCATATTTAAATACAAATCATTACACCGTGAAATGAAAGAATGTCAGTATGACATTACAGTATTGTCTGATCAAACTACATCTTGTTTCAATACTAAGTGTTATGTTGTAAGAATGTTAAAACAACCTTACAGTATTGTCTGATCAAATGATATCTTATTTCAAAACTAAGTGCTGTTATGAGAATGTTAAAAACAACCTTACATTATTGTCTGATCCAGTGATATCTTGTTTTATTTCAATATTAAGTGTTATATTGGGAGAACTTTAAAACAATATTATATCATTGTCTGATTAAATAACATCTGGTTTCAATATCAAGTGGTATGGTATGAGAATGTTAATACAACATTGCATTATTGTCTGATCAAATAACATCTGGTTTCAATATCAAGTGATATGGTATGAGAATGTTAATACAACATTGCATTATTGTCTGATCAAATAACATCTGGTTTCAATATCAAGTGGTATGGTATGAGAATGTTAATACAACATTGCATTATTGTCTGATCAAACAATGTGTTGTTCTACATGTAATACCAAGTGTTGTTCTATTCAGATATGCATTCTCTCCATTGTTGGATGCTGCTGATGAGGAAGACGATGAAACCTTGATGAATGATGCCTTTGGTGAGTACCATATGTATTTGCAATAAACTTAAGGAATTTGGAGGACGGAAGGTTTGCACGGTATTTGTCTGTATTTTCTGACCATCTTGTATGTCCTGTTTGTCCTTCTGCACTTTATCTTGTCCTGGCTTCATCTCCTGCATTACATTTTGACCTTTGACTTACGTGACAAAAAGTTTGTCCAGACTCTTTCTCCTAATTAAGTTATCACTGGAACTTCATTCGTGGGACATGGGTTGGTCAAGGTTAGAGTAGTTTGTCTTGTACCTAAAGCAGGTCACTGTGACTTTTATTTTGACCTTGGACAATCATTAAAGAAAATGTCTAATTGGAACCCACATTGTACACTACTTGTCACCAAAACTTCATACATGGGACATGAGTTGAATAGCTGAGTCAGCGTGCCATGTACCAAAAACAAGTCACTTGACCCAGATTTTACCTTTAACCTGAACAACATTGACTCAAAGGAGTAATGTTGCCTCTTCAAATCAGTTATGCGACTTCATCATTTGAAGTTCTGATATCACCTAATATAAGTAGTGATATTATTTAATTCATTTATGAATTTATACCACCTACAACTAAATAACCAAAATCTTTGGATACATGCTGTCACCAGATGCATTAATTATAGCAGAAGCAGTAGGTGGCACAACTTGGGTGTCATTGACAATGCTGTGACAACAATATATTTCCAAGAGCAAATGATAAAACTGATGTTTTTTTTAAATACATTTATGTAACATAACATCCAGATGTCAAACATGTCTCTTCACATTTAAGCCACATTTATCGACTTTAGAGATGTAAGCAAACATTATTGAATGTAGTGGGGTTGTTAAATAAGACATATCTAGAATAAGAAACCTTAGCATATGGTTTCACATTCAGTTGTGGGGGACTGTAATTCACTGAATTGCCTTGTTGAAAATGAAAGTCTATTAACTTGCATTTCATATCTACTGAAACAGTAGTTGTTAATTTTAATTTTGTTTCCAGGAAGTAAGGCAAAACGAATATAACTTTGTCAAATTGAATGTATGACATGCTCCCAGATTATGATAATGTAAAATCCTTACTGTGGAATTTCCCCATTGAGTTATTTTAATTTAGAGGTGTTTGTATTAACTATTGATTTCAATAATTTCCCTATTGGTTTTGCTAAGTACAAACAAATTAATACATTTTTCCTTCTTCTTTAGATGGCATGAAGATGAGGGGTGTGAAAAGTCCCGTAAATGGATCACCTAAACAGAGAGATGGAAGAGCCTCTATCGTAAGTATTAACTCAGATTCTTGTGTGTAGTCCATTATCACATGATTGCCTTGTAGTATAAATTTGATATAACACAGCCATAATAACACTGTGTTAACATCATGTTTGGATGCTATCACGTGATTGTGTCCATGATGACAAAATATCTAGACATTATTATGTATATACCATTTGATCTCAGATGATGATTTGGATTCCTGATATGATACCTTGATCTCAAACTTTTATCCATGTGTAATTAATTTATTAAAGCATTCAGCAAATTGATATTACATCTTCATTAATTCAGTATGATATTTGTGTAAGATCCTGTATATATTGTTAGGTGTAGAAATAAAATGTTCTCTATGGAAAAAGTTTAATATGTAGTTCAGTTTTTGGAGAGAAGTACACCAAGCCATGGAGTAAGGTTTTTGGTTGAAATCCACTTTCATAAATATCATTTACGAGACTGACATGATTGTTTTTATCTGCAGGAGGATGATCTGAAGTGGGTGGAAGAAAACATTCCAACGTCCATCACAGACAAGTAACTATATTTCCATCCTACTTCATTAATACCAGCACACAATAACCATCATCCACGCTCTGATGAAAAAATCAAGTAGTAATGATTTACATAGAAAGCAGATAAGGTTTAAGCAAAGTTTTTTAAACTCATGTTTATAATGAAAATATCTGCTTGTACTATATTGAAAAGCATTGGTCATTTAAAGAAAAAATTGAAGAAGGGAAATCTTTGTTCTTTTCAAATAGATGGGTACTTTGAACACATGTTTTTTACAGTGAAGACAACAATTTTTTGTCTGTGATAGTTTGAAGCCTCTCTAGTATTGTTTCAATTATAATTTGAATTGTTCAAACACGTCACAAGACTGTATATATGACTACTTGTGATCACCATTTACGTCAATGTTAAAAGCTGTGGGTAGTGGGCTGTAATTGTCACCACTGTTTACTTAATTTTTTATAAACTGACTGAAGGTTTACCATGTGCTAATTACACCCCATCACCCTGTAGATAAAGTAATATCTTTGTCATTGTTTTTCCATACATAGCAAAATAGCTGTGGCACAAGAAAGCTCATGAACCCTTCAACAGTTCATACTTTCACCATACTATTATGCATGTACTTATCAAGCTCTGATTTGGTTTTGGCAATTATCAGTCTTTGTTAAGGGTCATGGTTACAGGGTCATTGTCACATCTTACCATCTTGTGGGTACTATCTTCCTCAAAATGATTATTTCATGATATGTTATGAAAATCAAAAATGTTAATATCCTGAAGTTTCTATTTTCCTCTACCCTGTTTCAGGGCTCTGCCAAGTCTACTGGACGACTCCGAAGAAGAAATGATGACAGCCAAATATGAAGTGAATAAGATGCAATAGCGAGAATGGTATAATGTAAAACAATGTGTAGTCGTAATCATTATGTGATATTGTGATATACTTTTCATGTGAATTTTATCCTAAATTCACTGTAATTGAAGAGAGCCCTGAGAATTCTTCACCTGTTCTAACCACATGTAACTGCTTGAAGTTGTGAACTACTGAATGCTGATAATGGGTCTTGTTGTCTGGAGCTCAGAATGAGACTTTAATATCATGTATATCCAGTTTGGTTGGTATCAAATATTGTGAAGTAGAATTAATATCCATGGTCCTGTAATAAGACCACACCCCGACTTTGAGTTGCAGGTAATGGGTTAGCTCCCTTGTCTCATTGCAGGATGAAAATGAAAACTTTTATTAAAATCTATCTGACGGCTAAATTCAGACAGATCTTTTTCTGTTGACAGTGGTAAGATTGATTCCTTCCTGCTTGCTGAAGTCAGATTGACCTCAAATTTTTTTTTGACAACCTCTGATGTCAGATTGACCAATGTCAGTGGATTATGTACGGGTGCCATAACCGTTTTTCTTAAGTTAGATTGACTTTTGTCAGTGGCTGAAGTCAGACAGACCACTGCCTGTTAAGGCAGGTTTTAGTGACCGCAAATTGCTTTTTGATGAGAACAACAACTTTCTGACCTGAGATTGACCTTAACTTGAGGTTCAATATAATGCCAGTATTTCGCAGAAATCCTTGCAATTGAGTGCTGATAATTAATATGGTCTCACTCAATTAGTAATCCTTGTTAATGCGTGACAAATGACAAATTAAAATAACATGCTTTCTGAAGTGTTGTTTCAGGGCTTAATCAGTGAGGTGTTAAAGCACAAACATCTCTATGGTAACGGAACACTAGTTATGTTTTGGTTTATAATTGTCTTTTTATAATGAGCTAAACACTTATATTATCGAGTAGATTTTTTGTGCTGTTGAATTTTCTATGTTTAATTGAATTGAAATGGACTTGTCAGGATGCTGTTCATTTCTGTAACTTCATGCTGTGTGTATCAAAATTCAGTTTTATATTGCACAAAACATGACCATATTAAGCTGACATTATAAATCTATACTAGTAGTTGACTTTTACCAATCTATAGTTTTCATGTTTTATGAATTTTGATCAACAGGGTTTAGGTTTAAACAGATGGTTAAATGATCATGCATTAAAGTTGGGGTGTTAATGTTGATTTTATGTTCTCCACGTTGAAGCATCTTCAGTAGTAAAATAGATGTTTTGTTTCTAAATTGATGCTTGAATTACCTTGATTACTATTTTGTTACAAATCTTAAGGTCCATCTTTAGATTAATTTTGATACTGTGCCATTAGCTTTTGTACAAAATTCACATACTTATGTACATGGCTACAACACATTGAAGACTGTATAAGTAGTTTGTAGGAATTTACTTTTGACTGCAAAATATGATATACTTCAAAACAATTTACACCCGTTTTTATGATAATGAATGCCTGGCATTGAATTATCACATATACAAAGTTAGCTGGGACCATAACAGCATACCAGATAGACAATAAGACGGATTGCTGATAATGTAAATGCAAGATGTCAGTGATATCTGCTTCCTGATGCTAGCCCCCATGGGAGACTGAAATGAAGATTTGGAAATACTTTCCAGTATGATAAAAATCGTCTTGTTTTGTCTATTTAATGGTTGGTAACTATGGTAATTATAAACACCTTTAAAGACATTCTCCAAACATTTAAAGATTTGATCACTAGCCTCAGGATGTTTGTTTTTCCATCGTGTTGTTAATGTCAGTTTAGGATCAATAGTTGTCTTACAACATTGGAGTTTTCATGATTTATCACATATTCATATAAAGTTCTGTGTATTAAAAAAACAATATTTTGTTTCCTTTAAGTTTTTATTTCCAGAGTTGATTAGTGTAGAGTAATATGGTAGTTATTAATCTATTAATTGTGAATGTGGTTTAAACAATGGTACAAAGTTGTAATTACCTCCAATTAGCTTCGAATTATTTCATGAATATAAGACGGGAAACATGTTTTTCTCCATGTTTGATTGTTTGTATGTGTGACTTTTCAATATTGAAACAAAATTCCAGGGTTAATGAGATTTTGTTGCAAATACAAAATCTTTTTAATTAAGATTAAATCAGATAAAAAATGTCCTGTTGTCTTTGAGACTTGTATGCATAATGAACGCTTCAGTGTAAAATAGTTGTTAGCCTGGTTCCATACAGACCAGATCAAGACTCATACCTGGTATACATTTATGAGAGAATGTAAATAATCCATCGGTCTTTAGATCCATTTATATGTTAATAAGAATTTGTATCTTGTGATTTGTAACTGGCAGTTTAACTTGTTTTTTGCAGTCTTAATATGTTCTAACAATGTCAGCATTTTTTGATACTTTCATTCCCATACTAAAAACCTTCTTTCCCAGAACAATTGTGCTTAGAAAATTCTTGATTTTAAAGTTTAATTTTGATGTATATCAAAGAGGGTTTTAGTTGTGTGGATGTATGAAGGTTTAAGTCACTTACAAATTTCAGTTAATTCTGGTAAATGTTTATAATGGAAATTGATGATTGTCATGTTACATATTACTCTGTAGTATAATCTTCACTATTTCTAGATCATAAAACGAAATTATAAGATACATACTTGAACTATTTTGAAGTTATGTATGGTATTCAATATCCCAAGAACATCTCAAAAACATGTGACATTGTATTCATTTTATAGGTCATGATGTGAAGGACATTTGTTAGTGTAAAGACACTAGTTTGTTGGTAAGGTACCATACATGGTTCTCTTTAGAATATGACTTAATTTAGACAGGATAAGGCTTTTGTGTTGTGTCATGCTTTCCAGCTAGACACAAACATAGATAGAAATCTAATGTTACAATGTCTACCCTTATTTTTGTAGGTGAATTTTTTGTTGAGAACAATCATTAAAGCATTGTTATTGACAATATTTTATCATATCAGTCACTGACCTGCTGTTTCAAGACTTGATGTTATATATAAGTGTAGGACTTCTAAAGGAACGTACTATCAATTATGTCTAAACTTTCATTACAGATATTCAGTTTATCCATTATGTTTTAGAATGTTGGGGATCTCTGTGTCTGGAAGCCAAATACAAAAATTGTATCATCTCCTTACTTCATGATAATAAATGTTCCTGAATGTATCACCAGATGTGATTTTTCAGAACCTGATCTATAAACTATGTGTGATTTACTGATCTATATCCTGTATCACCATTGCACTGAGTATTGTTGGTCCACACCAGTAAGGAACTGGCACCACTCTAATCAATACACTACTGATACATCATTGACTGTCTACACAATGTAATTGTAACTAGCATATAGCTGTGTGGTTTTCACTTGTTATCAGATAGTGTTTTTCCCTATCTTCCGTTTTGTGGAAATTTACGCAAATGTCATTTTCCTTATTTATTGTAGAGCTTTAGGTAATACAAACATGAATAAATGAATGAATGAATGAATGTTTGTGGAAGAAATTCGTGTTTGATAACAATAACATCATTACAGCCTACATTTTAAATGTTTATCATCAATCATGTATTAAATGGAAAGAGTAAGCATTACCCAAAATGTGATACATATTGTATGTACTGACAGAGATTGGTGTCTGTTTATCATTAACTCATGCCTGACAGTAGAATTATATAGCACCAATGCTGAAGTTTGTAGTCTCTTAAAGTTTATTCCTGGCCTATCATTTTGCTTGTACTACCTATTTAAATCCTGAATGGTAATTTAAGGGAATAATTCAGACAAATTTTTATTGTAAAATAGTCCCCCCTGAAGAAGAGAGTGTAATTCATTGTCAGTATTATGTAGTACCTTACAATTTGGTTTCTATATAATTGTAACTGGTTGTGAAACTATCTTTCTTTTGTAAATGAGGATGAATAAGTTCAGACACCTAAGTAAGCCGTTTAATAGCATAAACAGACACAAAATCTAATCATGATTGACTGACTTCTGAGTGTTCATACCAGTAATGAATGTACAATTGTATGTATGCATGATGGTAGAATCGGTGTATTTATTTGTAAAATGTAAATAGTGGTCTCTGTGTGGAATTGACAGGGGAAGTCTTTGTGTGTAATTTGTTCCAACTATGTATATGTACAGTGTGTATTTAATCTTAATGGTTCTTGTTTTAACAACATTAAATCTCTGATGGGTGTATATATTTAATAGATTGGTAAAATTTGTATACAAACTATGTAGCTCCTATATTTCCAAAAAAACTTCATTCTCTTTTTATGTATGGCTTGTAAAACATATGCAAAATATATGCTCCATGTATTTGTTCCTCACATTAGAGAGTTAGGACTGCAGCCTATGAACAATCTTGCATAAAATTCAGATCCAGTAAATTTGCTTCAAGACTAGAACTTTGGTTCCATTCATATCAAGGTTATTTATCATCAAAATTGGTTTGATTATAGTCTGATGTGTGTACTGCCAGTTTTGTATATCAAGATTGCTTCTTTATCTCATTAATAAGAATTTGAGCATAGGGCTAGTGATATCATTCAGTCTACAATAGTACACAAGACAGCTGATAATGTATATTTCAATGCCTTCCCAAGGCTTCGAACCCAGAACCTTTGGCTTACTAGCCTAATACTCAACTGACTGAGTTTTAAGTATTGCTCTAGTGTTTATCAAGGTAACATACTCCTCCAGAAAATAATTTCTTCTCAAATTTACAGACGTTTCAGCGCTGCTTATGAAAGTAACACCTAGTTTTATTCCACATTCTTACATGGGTGTCAGTGTAACAGAGGCCGTTATTTATTTCAATGCCTCCATTAGCATTCTTACCCAGAACCTCTGGCTTACAAGTCTGATGCTTAACGATCAAGCTACAGTACCACTCTCTCACACAGAGCAATGTATTACAGCTAGTACTTACCAGGCCTACATACATTTATAGTACTGGTGTTTATAGATCAAGCTACAGTACCACTCTCTCACACGGAGCAGTGTATTACAGCTAGTACTTACCAGGCCTACATGCATTTATAGTACTGGTGTTTATAGATCAAGCTACAGTACCACTCTCTCACATGGAGCAGTGTATTACAGCTTACCAGGCCTACATACATTTATATACTGGTGTTTATAGATCAAGCTATAGTACCACTCTCTCACACGGAGCAGTGTATTACAGCTTACCAGGCCTACATACATTTATATACTGGTGTTTATAGATCAAGCTACAGTACCACTCTCTCACACGGAGCAGTGTATTACAGCTAGTACTTACCAGGCCTACATACATTTATAGTACTGGTGTTTATAGATCAAGCTACAGTACCACTCTCTCACACGGAGCAGTGTATTACAGCTTACCAGGCCTATATACATTTATAGTACTGGTGTTTATAGATCAAGCTACAGTACCACTCTCTCACACGGAGCAGTGTATTACAGCTAGTACTTACCAGGCCTATACATACATTTATAGTACTGGTGTTTATAGATCAAGCTACAGTACCACTCTCTCACACGGAGCAGTGTGTTACAGCTAGTACTTACCAGGTCTACATATTCCACTTCATTGTTTACTAGTAGGGCTTTTCTTTTCATTTTCTTGGATTATTGTTGTGTATTTATTGATAAACCATGTATTATTAACCTAGAGCAAGTGTATATAGCTGATGGGAACACATTGTGAAATGTGTTATATCTTGTAAATAAATCCTTTGTCATAAAACCTTGTATTTTTGTCTTTTTCTTCATCAAGTATGAATAAATCTTTAATGCAAAATAATATAAAATCTAGAATAAAATTAGTGTATTCTCCTTGATGGACATGGACCATCCTTCACACTCCAGGATTACCATTACTTTGTTCTTTACACCCATAAAACATTTCTTGACAGTATTAAAGGTTCATGTGCCGTACCTTGCGGTTAAGACAAGAAGACTAGTTTGATGTTTTGATTTACATCAAACGACTCTCAAAGTCACATAAACTTATGTTGTCATGGCTTTGAAGTTGGGTGTCGCTCCATCCCATGATTGGTCAGTTTTTTCCTGAAACTACCCCAATCAAATTACTTCCTTGTGTCTTCAATTTTGTCAGGAAATGTTCCAGGTGAGCATAGAGAAAAATCGGTGGTAACCACAAGAGTATTAAGGATGAGGATGGCATAACTTTACCTGTATGATAAATCTGCAAATGTTTTAATGTGTAAAGTGATCAACAGAGAATGGAAATTCCACTGGTCTGTGAGATTTCTGATGCTGAATACAATATTCTGTCCTCTAACTTAAATAACGGCAGCTGCAAAGAAGGTTAGATACAAGGTATATTGTGCATATTTCCCAGGCGAAGAAAAAACGCAAAAATCATCAGATATCTGATTCCTGCAAAAATCATTAAGTCATGATGTATCATTTTGGAGACCCAGGAACCTTGGGTCATGGTGACGACCACAGTTCATTTCGGTTCCAATTTTTTTGAACGAATCTAAAATTATTTAAGTTAAACAACATGTTATTAACTGTTAGACTGGGTTAGTGTTTTTATCTAATGGAGGGGAACAAATGTCTGAAATTAGTTTGTATCACGAATGCCATTCTCCCTTCTGGCCTACGTTTCCTAATAGTTAGTATTGTTATTGTGATGACATAGGAGTGTAAAACATAGTAAACTCGCTCATGTAGTTTAACAGCTTGTAACGGTGTTCCTAGTAAAGCAGTCACCGACATTCTAGTCCGATTGTTATGTTGCTGTTAAAGTTAAAATCCCTATACCAACGGTAATGTCTCCATTTTGTTGATTCCTTATTGCGAGTAGAAATATGTTGTTACTAATCCCTTTTGTCTTGAGAAGTTTATAATTCGATAAGATTTTGATGAACACGAGCGCCGCTGGCTTTGATTGATTTGGTGACGTTCCTAATCTTACAATTCCAAATCTGATAGTGTCCATTTTAGCTACAAGATATTCTGTGTTGTTCTCAACGAGCAAGAACGTGTCCTCGACACACAATTCTAGTTATGAACAACATGTTCTCGCTGAAATTTGATCTTTTATGCCTATGTTACAAACGATTTTTGAGTGCTAATTCTGAATGAACCAAAGAGAATTTCAATGTACGGTTGGAAGGTAACACATATTTTATACACGTGTATGTATGTTTCGTTTGTTTTTCATCGTCTCTACTGCCTGCTCCTGTCTATTACTGACGATGCTGACATCTCCCAAGCGATGTCTCGAACCATTTTCTAATGCTATAGTTTTGGACTACTGATGGTAGTTTCCTTACACGCTCAGTATCTCTCTCCTTTCATTCGTCATTTACACACCGTATTTGCATTATCTAGCTTTCCCCGCAATGTAAGCATCGCCATGAATGTTTGCTTTACGATTTTTAATTACTGAGAAACGTTTCAAACGTTCAAATGCTGAACTCCATTTCGGGATTGCACTTTACGAAATTCAGTGTTCACTTATATTACCTTTAAAAGCGTCGGGTATCTATTGAGACCTAGGTTACTGCAATAATTGCATAAAAAATATTTTCTTTTCTTAGTTTCATATTTTTCGTTGAAATTATTCAGGTTAACACTGGAATTCAGATTGCTGGATTTATTTCGTCTATTATGATACAATTGCTTCCATTTCTGTATAGACTACAAGGTTGTACTTTGGAAAAATCGACGTTGATGATAATGTTAAACACTTTTACTGAAACTCCTCTGTGTTACCCGTACGTAATATGAACGGAAACTCCTCTACGTTACCCGTATTCAACATGAAAGGAGCTGTTTTTTGTTACTCGTACTCAACATGAACGGGGCTCCTTTGTGTTACTCGTATTCAACATGAACGGAGCTCCTTTGTGTTACTTGTATTCAACATGAACGGGCCTCTTTTTTGTTTCTCGTTCTCAACACGAACGGAGCTGTTTTTTGATACTTGTATTCAACATGAACGAAACTCCTTTGTGTAACTCATACTCAACATTAACGGAGCTGTTTTTTGTTACCCGTATTCAACATGAACGGAGCTGTTTTTTGTTACTCGTACTCAACATGAACGGAACTCCTTTGTGTTACTTGTATTCAACATGAACGGAACTCCTTTGTGTTACTTGTATTCAACATGAACGGAACTCCTTTGTGTTACCCGTATTCAACATGAACGGAACTCCTTTGTGTTACCTGTATTCAACATGAACGTGCTCCTTTGTGTTACCTGTATTCAACATGAACGAGCTCCTTTGTATTACCTGTATTCAACATGAACGAGCTCCTTTGTGTTACCCGTATTCAACATGAACGGAGCTTCTTTGTTATCTTGTTTTCGTTTTCGCAAGTGACACATCTTGAGATAGGCTAACAACAGATGACTTTTATTTTCAGTTCTCACATTATTTGTTCGGTTGAGAATTCTGTTATACATACGCTTTATAGATCATTTTTACAGTTTTCTTCGTCAACAAAATATATATATATAAAGAACCGAGTTTGATGGTAGTCCAGATAATTTATTTGTTGACATACTAAACTAACTGCCCATAAACATAAATTAGTGACAATTAGTTGGTGTTTTAAAACCAAGGATTATATTCTATCTACGGTACATGCAAAGTATGACAATCAGTATTACAAGAATATACATATATAATTTCATGTATTCTTGCTCCATTTGGAAGCCAAATTGACATGTTCATCACTTAGTCCGATCTCTCTTATAATCGGTAATCAAATTCCACAATAATCAGTTTTTTCAGATCAACATTTCAGTCGTTAAGCCACATCCACTTTGAAATCGGCGTAACAAATCCAAATTGAAGTAAATTATCCGAATCCACATTGTGAAGGATTAGTCAAATCCACATTGTGAAGGATTAGTCAAATCCACATTGTGAAGGATTAGTCAAATCCACATTGTGAACGATAAGTCAAATCCACATTGTGAAGGATTAGTCAAATCCACATTGTGAACGATAAGTCAAATCCACATTGTGAAGGATTAGTCAAATCCACATTGTGAAGGATTAGTCAAATCCACATTGTGAACGATAAGTCAAATCCACATTGTGAACGATTAGCCAAATCCACGTTGTGAACGATAAGTCAAATTCACGTTTAAATTAGAAAGACGATGATCCAGATTGTAAAGGACTAGTCAGAACCACATAGATCTTCAGCTAAAATTAAAGAAAAATACACTTTATCTGTCTGTTAAGTATTTGGCAAATCTTAATTTGTGTTCGTATTCAATTTATTTTCGTAGTGGTGATCACTGAAAATGTACGACATGAAAGGATGTAAACACACTATCTCAATATTTCGTAAAGAACATCGGTACATGGGTATCATAAACAAATCATAGATAATTTAATACTTAGTATGACAAGAGGCCAATTAGGATAGTTGACATCAAATACCCATCAAATGGAAAACCGTACATTTCAAATACAAAAAATGACAATTTTATTTCATTTCATAGTTTATCTTCATGATTGTCATTTGTGGGGTTGTGAAGAATTGTCCATATCGTTTTTACCAAAAACTTTACATTTAAGTATATTTAAATTGTAGCTAGCTATAATACCAAACCCCTTTACCATGTGGAATACAATATCCACACGATTTGTAGCAGGATTTCTTTGCCCAGGTAGAATATTTTATACAGTAGTCGCTCGTCACCTGCTGGCACAATGTTTGATCAACACATCCACCTAAACAGACAATACAAATAACATTTCACGTAAATACACGGTCAACTTACAACCCATTCACCTACATATGCCCAGAAAAATCCATCTCATTGATGATTCAATTCAACATGATAAAGAATATTGTTATTTAGCTCAACACCTGATTTAAATATTTATATGAGAAATATCAGTAAAGTTTTATGATATTTTTCATTGTAGTTATTATTTTAGAATTGGTGACCAAGATTCTGAATCTATGAAAAACTGTATGATGTACTCCGTTACCAAGTGTGGATCAGTACTTACAAACACCACACAGCTGCGGACAGGCATGCCTTGTGTCTTCATCGCTACAAGAACTGATGGTGACGTCATCGCAAAACGGATCGTCTATACAGATATGTTTATTGGTCTCTGTTGAAAAGGTAGTTTTCATAAATAAATACAGATGCGTTCAATTTGGATAAAAATAAGATTAATTCCGACAAATCTTTAAAAGTTAGCACCCATGTGTTAACGTAGATTAAAAAATAAAATCTGCATAGCTTGTAAGAGGAGATGTAAAAAAAGTTGATAAAATATATTGCAGAAACAAAGCATTATACTATTGTAATCGTATATACCTAGCCCATTTACACTTCAGATAGTCTAAACATTGTACGTTAAAACCTGTTTAGTTTTCAAACCTTGACTCTGTAGAATAATCTGGTTCCACGCCAATCAAATATCTAAAATGCAATAACCAAAAGGAGGATCCGTACTGTAGGGAGAGTGACAATGTTATTCTTATTTAAATCCAATAAATTGAATAAATAACGATACAGAACACACTTCCCCGGCTTCCCCTATCTAAACTTTTGATAGCAACTCCCAGTTCTTCATTAGACCTGTGGCAGTAAGCCCCAACAAAAGACCTTTCAGTCGCTTTATAATCAATGATCATTGACCTTTCCTAAAACAGCGCACATGATTTTCCAGGTAATGGTTAGGTTAAGGATTTCTTTGATGGTGTGAGTATATGTGCTTCCAGAATTCCAGAAATGTGGAAATTATGGACATGTTTTACGGTCGTCATAATGATCTCACTGAAAAATGTTTTTTTTTTTTTTTTTTTTTTTTTTTTTGTGCGATATGATTTTGGACATGTTCGATGCTCGTTTGCCTGTTAGTTGCGTTGTGTTCCTTGTTCTCATTTGACAACGAACCTATAATTACTTGGATTGACCAAGATTTACATGGCGGTTATCGTCGATGAAGAAAAAAACGCTTACTCTTCCAGAACACATGGTTTTATTCTCCTTGTACGTTTTTCGTGTAAATCTATTTATTGTTAATATATATGTTGGTATTTTCTTGTTTATTTTTTTATTATAATTGCATATATTCTTTTTACTTTAAGTCAATAATACAGTTTATAGTTGACTTAAAACCCATTGTAAACATCAATAATATTACTACTAATTCTGTGTATCCACCTTGTGGATATCTTCCTATGACATCTTAAAACACTTTCAATGAAAATACATTGTACAACACTTTTGTCATTTTTTCCCACAAATCCATTCAGATGGCTACAACAGGTCAACTGGAACGAGGCTCATCTTCTAGTGAGTGACGTTGAGATGTTCAAATTTAAAGGATCTTTAGCACTTCAGACTGATGTCGATGCTTTCGTCGGCACTTTTTTATTGTTTTTTTTTGTTTGTTATTTATGAGGAACTTTATCAATACCACAAGCTAAAAAGAAATGTTTTAAACAATGCCTAGGAGGGAGGTCATGTTTGACTAGTAAAATTTATATGTTAGAACAAGTGGGATGTCTCATTGTCTAGTTGTGTGAATATAGTTTGTGCTTTTCTTGACTGATAACCCCTTTTCCAGACGCTTTGAGTTCCCCACGTACTTGCAGATCCATCTCGGAGTGATATTTTGTCTTTACGTATGATAAACCTTTAAACATTGGTAAACAGGGAAGCATGACCACCTACGGACAATTTGGGATTTAAGTGGAAACTGACTGACAACATGAAGAACACAGCATACAACAAGACACAACCGAGTGCAACATTACGTACCGTTGATGTGTTTACAGTGTCTGTTACAGCACTGATTGTACTCTTTAGGTCTGTCCTCTCGTTTACAGTGAATCTCATCTACAGACGTATTTCTTCCGTCCACACACTGTATAGTTCGTCTCTCTATCCCAATACCACATTCCTGTGAACACTGGGAACACGCACGTTTCATACACTTTAAAGTTCATCTTTCTACTCCAATACCATATTCTTATGAGCACTAGGGACACATACAAGTTTCATACACTTTATAGTTCGTCTCTCTATCCTAATACCACATTCCTGTGAACACTGGTAACTCATACATACACAGTGTCCACATAATTTCATGTCGATTTTCTTTCCAAAGTGTTCACACAAGAGGTCGCATGAAAGTGTTTTCAATTATTGTAGATCAGCATGGTTTCATTTAGTGTAACTATACCGAATGATTCAAGTGCAATATTACGTCATAAGTGAAGAAACTGTTCACAAACTTTAAAGTCTTTCAGACTTTTTATTTCAAAATTTTCGCAAATGATGTTCCATGTTTTTTAAAAATTATTATTATCATTATTGCAGACCAGTATGGCTTTCGTAAGTAGCTACTTAAAAATCATGCTTGTGATATTTACTCAGTCCTCATGTGATCCTTGATAATGTCATCAGAACTATTCAATCAAATAACACCTTACCATAAAAATAATTCCTACAGAATTCCAATTATCAGTAAAAGAAAAGACATTCTTGCATAGACAGTTAGCTCATCATTGTATGATCTTATTGATTTAAGGAAAGCAAGAAAGAAAACTTTGCGAAGTATGGAAATCAAAATCGATTGGGAATGAGATACTTACGGGGGAGACGTGTGTTACTAGCCAAACAGGGTGACAGTCTTGTTGGTGACATACCATGGTGTCGTTGGGTTCGATAAGATGGCTACACTCGTGTAAAGGACGTGGAATACACGTGTGTTGTTCACAATCAGTGTCATTGACACACAACACCTGTCGAGTAGAGGTGCAAACTCCGGAGGATGTAGAACATTCACTCCAACTACCATTAAACCAGCTGTAGCATACAATAGCAAAATATTAGCGAAATGTGAATGACAATTCCGGACCAAAAAACATGTACTCAATACCTTTTTCCTTTTTTTAATTCGCTTTTATGTTCACATGTAAAAACAGTTTTGTTAGTACTATTTAATTTTAACTAGATGTGCAAGGCGAAAATGCAAGCTTTGTTTATATATTTTTTTTCTTCATGATTTGTTTTCTTAAAAAGAGAGCAGTGCTTTTTGTTTATATTTTGATACCAATCAATGTTTTTTCATAAGCCATATTATATATGAGCATGCCAAATGAAATGATAACACACCCAAAATGCAGATGCTGTAAACAACAAACCTTTCTAAATTGATAAATAAATGTCACATTGAAATGTAAAAGACAACTCAATCACCTTCCAATGATAGGCCTTTCTCACTCAAGAATAATTAATTAAAACACCAAGAACGTTACTAAACCTACGCGACAGAGCACTGTGTTTCATTACAAGTAATTCTGTTGTCAACAGGGTATTCTTTTGCATCGCAGTTTTTATCTTCTACAGGTTCCCATGTTTCGATATCCATACACAAATGTTCAAGAGACATGAAACCTGTTGAAGAAAAGAAATAACCTAGTATATGATATTCATTTGATATTTAAAAGAAACGTACTAATATAAATTTATAGATATGACCAAAAGGTAAATCCAGTCTAGAAAGGTTACAAAAATACTTCAATGACGCAAAAATGTTTTTGCGAAATGTGGACTAAATATGACGCTATGTAAGTCTCAAGTATTTTTATAAACTACACTATATGACATGGGATGAGTACTTGCACCGTGATGAAAATTTACTTCATTGCTCTTAAATCTGCATTTTGGACTCCAGAGTTGTCTAAGTTAGTGACTAAAACCCATTTATTGACGCACATTACGAACCTAACGTTGCTTTTCTTATCAAGACGTTAGATGCTGGGTATAAGTGCCTTGACTGACTGCATGAACCATTTGGAGGTCCATTGCCAAGGTCTTTAATGAATTCATTTTCCTATATAAGACACTTGCCTGTTCCACAGGTAACTGAACACGATGACCAGTTGGACGTCCATTGGTATTGTTGTTCGTCAGGAAGAGCAAGAGGCAAGTAATATGTATAATTTATCTTTAGGTCATATTGACGGGCATGCTGGACGATCACCTCTACCTAAAAGTCACGAAAAAAATCTTATATGTACGTTTTGATGACACCAAACAGCTAAACTGGAGCAAAATAGTTATGTTGTAACATTTGGTCCGCTTCGTTTTTCTTACTTAATTGATGCCGAAAACAATATCAAGAAGTAAATACCAGCATGTGAACATAACCATAATCCAAACTTCAATTCGATAAAACTAGGGCAAAATATGAACAAAAGAAATATTTACACTGAAACTCATGAAAAAGTACACGGAGAATAAGACCGGATGTTCCGGTGATTAAATTAATTTTCCGTACATTAATAGGAATATGGAAACGTTACTAATCAAGGTATTGAAGCTGTCATTTAAACTAAAAATCGTTTGTTTTATTACAATCCATTCATCAGCGATTCATTATCACGTTACATTGATAAATTGTTGACAATTTGATGAGGGCCTATACAAAGATTTTAAGTTCTTTGATCATTTTGAATTTGCCTCAATCGCCTCATAGGCTCGGTCCTTGACATCATTGACAAGTCCTAGAAGGACGAAACAGTTTTGTGATCCAGTTCAGTTTATTAATTGGCTGTTCTGTATCTTAATCCAAATTTGTATTAAAAGTGCTATTCACTTCTGGGTTTTTGGGCAATCTTCTGTACCTGGAATTCGACATCTTGCTCCAATGGCCCAATAATATGAATTTCCTCCCATTTTTGACGACGTGTTAGGACAATGTCATACCGATCATAGTAGTAGTCACCTATTGGAATCTGGTCAGATTCTACAATAATAGTCACATTCAGATTAAATACTAAAATTTAAGCTATTATTATTAAAAGTGCAAAACTTTCGCAACAACTTGGGTTTCTCATATTCAAGCTATTTTGTTTGGGTTTGAATGGGGTTGAAAAAAAAAACACTTGATATTATCCTAAAACCTCCGAAAGCCTACATCCAAATCAAGCCTGTCCTGAAAATAAATATGTAGTTTCTGACATAAATAAACATGTATTTGTTTACTATTAAAGAAAATAAGTCTCGATTTGGAGTTTTTATTGTAATAGGCTAATCAATCATTATATTACAGGATATGTGAATTAAATATACCTACTCAATCTGAAAATATCCGTATGATTATGTTGTATAATGATTCCTGTTGATCGTGCTGGTATCTTAAACCACATCCTCTTATCTTTGAATACAAAAAATGCATTAAAAAATAAAAAATAACAATAGTATTTAATATACACAGATTTCAATAACTTCAATAAATTCAATGTTTGATAATGAATCAATGAAATTTTCCACATTTAAATTACTCCTGACGATTTGATAAAATACGAAAGATATATTGGAACATTGTCTTCGGGTTTGTAATGTCAATAGTACAGAAGTTCTTCTAACACAATCAGTAGATGATTATAGTGTGGCGTTTCAATGATTAAACGGTCACCTTCATCAGACAAATGACCAGTGTGGAGTGTACTAGCACTGATATACGTATTGTAAAAGACTGTACGGAATCGACCATTTTTTTCGGCTGCACTATAATCCTTTGTACGGTAAGGTCGAAAATACTGTGACGAGATGGCTATAGACCAATTAAAGATAACCTCTATTCTATAATACAAAAGAATTCACTGAAGACTTACCTTCGTTGTCATATTGATCGGGAAGGTCGAACACTCGCGTCACGCCACGACACCGTGTACCATTTCCGTTGCATACTCCGCATACATCAAACGTGGAGTGAGATTCCAGAAAACCATCACATCCAAAATTCTATCAACGAATACCCAAATCAACTTATGTTAACTTCCATATCTAAGGAGATGTCACTTTATACTCTATTTTATCTAGAGAAAGCCATATATATCTTACGTTAACTTTAACTGCAACCTGGATAATTGTTAAATGTCTTTCAAATTTCGTATCCGATTTTGCACAAATTCTCTTTGCACTTCGAGACTAGAGAAAACACCCACCTTACATAGCCCTTGATAACATTTAGAGATGTGGTTTGGGTTCGCATTCCAGCAGTTAGTTCCATCAATATAATTCGTCCATGTTGAGATATTGTTGACTGTGCGATTCATGCTACACACAAACCGACCTATTATCGTATTAAGAATATGGTGTTAAGATCAAACAACAACAAAAATAACTCTCGTATGAATCATTTAAAGAAAAAATCCCGTTAATCAATCGCAACAAATATTGGTAGTCATTTTCTGAAATTTCGTTCAATCGATGGTGTGTTAATTAATCATATACAGTATTAAAAGTTAATATTAAATGTAGCCATTGTTACCTCTCACTGCATGATGTTGAGAAAGTTGAAGTTCTTTGAATTCTGTATCAGACACGCCATAGGGCTGTGATAAAATTTATATCATTTATTCTAAAACATATAAATATCACAAATAAAGAGTAACCTAATTTATATTACAACGATATCGAACTATTGTCAGTGTCATCGTAATCTGTGCATATTTACTTCGATGTAAATTGTTCACTTCGTTCGAAGTCAGTCTCAGTAAAAAAAAACACTCTTGGTTCCGAAGTAGACAAAAGAAAGCAGATGTCTACAAAGGCTCCTCATGAATCGCCAAAAACATTCAAGATTCTGCTTGGGAGGTATGCTGTAATTACCTTATGCAAAATGTGTTATACCTGAATGTTACAGAGTCTCACTTCATTCTCACTTCCAAAGCAGATATTTCCCGTGTAACGTGGCCTGTAACATAGGTATGTAAGCTGTCCATTATTGTCATGGTTATAATCGATAATCTGTTACTTCTCTATGTAGTGAAAGGCTAGATGAAAACAATACTGTTCGAAAAGATAAAAACAACAGAACAAAGAAGCAGTCATATCGATAGAGAACTGTTTCATATGCAATAATTTACAAGGATCTGAAATCGTCCGCTCCCTCAGAGAAAATTTGGCCGATCCTGTTGTTTCCATGGAGAATAATACAATTACTTATACCTAAAGATACTTGTGATTTATTACACATTCTTTTTAAAGCAAAATCAATTAAATATGATCATACTTTGGGTTGTTGCAGAACCTTTTGCGCAAGCGGACCCCACCTCCGGCTGTCCGAGAACAGATGGACCACATTTCCCAGGAGGACCATCCGCCATGGACAGGCGAGGGTCCGTCGGCTCCTATGTCCACACACTGACCTCTTATACACCACTTAAAAAACCAACAATTTAAAAACAGAGAAATATATTACCTAGTCTTTATGTCACAAGATCCTTACCAATTTACAGTCTTTTAGGTACAAAACGTCATTTACAATTTAGGGGAAAAAATTAAACAAACTGGAGATAATTTCGTTCCAGCTGAATGGATCATCGAGACATAACTGCTTATTTAAAGTTGTAAATATATGTAAACACTCCTTTGTTACACCAGATAGTTAAGGTACAATTATGTACGTATCGATTAAAATCAAAAATCATTATTAAGAAACAATCTTTAACATTGTCAAGATTTTAAAATGTGTTAAAATTAGATTCAATCCCCACAAAATCTTCAGTGTGTAACTGGTCATCAGGCTTGTATTGCGTACCGTTCTGGTTCCGTTACCACACTCCGTACCATCCATTAAAGGATAACCAATGTTGATACAATGTCTTTGGTCATAGCAGCAAGAAAGTTGGCTACACTTATCCTAAAACAAAGAGCAGTTGAATAAATATAGGTATTAATCCTAGGTAAAGACTTTGAATTGTGCCGGTGAAAGAAAAACCTGGACTGGAATATGATTAATAACAACTCTAAAACAGAATCTAGACAGTGTGAATATTAGTAATTAAAAATATAAAACTTGACGATAATGTTGGAATTAAAAAGACTGTACAAAAGACACGAAAGTGAATAGCACCTTAACATACAAATTTAGAGTTAGATACAGTAAAGTCGAATGATGATTTTAGGTGTATTATGTAGCTATCTCGTCACATTACTTCATTGGTAATAATTTAGATCACTATCTCACCATGAGATATAAACCTTTGTGAATTTGTCACCTTTCTATAGTAGTTCGGTGTGAAGTTGTTCCCGAAGGTAAGCTTACACTGGGCCTCCTCGTCATAAAGACTGCCAGGTAACACCGTCATGTTACTGGAACCGGTAGTTCTGTTCTGCAGACATGAAGAATCGTCCGACCTTAAAACAGATATTAGTATAACATTAATTCGTGAACTAGAAAGAGCCTATTCATGTCATTGTCATTCGAATAGTGGCACAGTTCAGAATACATTTCTGTACTTGACGTTCATCTGAAATTATTATTATATATGAAAATTACGAAATTTACTGAATACTGAGGCTAGTGCACATCCCCATCTAGATTTTGACCTTTTTTTTTTCGATCACTTTGGATTTGCTTCAGTCGCATCCTAGGTTTAACATTAAGGTCCTTAGCCTCACTGCCGGGAACTAGAAGGACGAAACAGCTATGAAATGAATTTGAATTAATTGTTCACTTTTATGACAGACAATCTTCAGAGTTCGAGAAACAGGAGTCCTTTAATAACATGACATGCATTTTTTTGTCAATTAAGTAATTTTCATATTCAGTTTAGATAATTTGAACCTCATCTAGTCTAGTGGAACTCACTCGAAAAATGCCTTCATTGCATTGTCACTACAACTTGACCAATGGAAACTGGATCGCCCATAAGTCGCAGATCTCTGCATTATGTTCCCGCTGTCATGACACTCGGGGAAGTCATTATCATGTCCTATCCTCAGTCTGGAAACAAAATAATCTCCACAAAACTGAATGCAACTTTTTCGTGTTAGTCGAAACAGCACGACCGAGTACTAATGTTCGAGAGAAAAAAAAAAGGTTTGAGCATAAATCTGATATTGATCATATAATTTCATTCCGCTTTAGATATAGTCCGACCGAAACAAATCAAATTAGTAGAGCACTTCTGCGTATACAATGTCAAATTAAAAAAAAACTGTTTACAAAACAAAGAGCGTGATGTTACTCACGTATGCCCTATCTCGTGCGCGATGGTGAAGGCCGTGCCCAGTCCTTTATCCTTTGCCATTATGCGTTTACTGTCTTCGTCCTTACACATTCCACTGAGATAAGCTAAGCCATTTATGTCGTACTCATCCTTGTTTTCTTCACCTATCTGTTCTTTTCTGAAGCAGACAAATCGCACAATTTTTAGCATTCCGTTAGTGAAAAAAGAAGTTCAAAGGTTAGTTTATATACCCTCTCTGAACATACATCAAGCATAGTACATTGATTGATTTCGATGCATCTACTAAGCTGTATCTGTTTTTTTTTTTTTGTTTTTTGTTTTGTTTTTTTGTTGTTTTTTTTTTCAATTATTTAAAAAAAATACAGCTGTATTAAAATCACATTTTTGATATTCTATATTTTTAGATACACGAGAAAGCATATACTTTTACTCTTATATATGTAATTAAAACAAACAGAGAGAAAGAAAAAGACAGTTATAGGTAAGCAAAAAATGTAGGAAAGGACAGAGAAAGAAAGAGCCTAAGGAATAATGAATGTTTCTTTATTCATAATAATTATCAAATATTTATATTTTGATAAAAATCCTTCATACTTACATTAAATATGGAAAAAACATCCGAGACTAGGCAAGGGTAGCTTTTATCTTTGAATCGGATAGTTACTAACAATTTTTCTTTCAAGTTCAGGAGATAATTTTCACCTTTGCCATTACGTTTATATTTTTGAGTTGTATATATATTTTAATGACTGTGGGATGCAATTTGATTCACTAAATATTGAGCTATTCTTTATCTTTGTACAAATCTGAATTTATATTGAAATATTCACTTTTGTCTTTAGTACAATCCTTCGAGATAGCAGGGTAGACTCTACTGGTATGCCGTAACTCCGAAAAACAAATTTTAATTCATTTCATAGCGGCAAGTTTCAGAATTTTCATGTGTCCTTTGAGATAAATTTGAATCATCCAGTCCTGAAAATTTGGAAATTTGTAGAGTAATAGGGCTAGTTATATTGAGTTTTATTTCGGCAAATGCTGACTTCAATCGGCACCTCAACAAATTAATATCACGATTTTAGTACAAAATATCGTCAACAGACAATCAAACTCATAACAAAGAGTTTCAAAAGACGCAGAATGGTGAGAATTACGAGAAAGTCTTAGGGTCATTATTTAAGCATTGAACTACTTTCAATTGGCATTCATAGGTCCATGAATGCCAGTTGAGAGCAGCTCAATGCTTGTATTAATCACTTGTGATTTATGATCCAATAACACCTAATTTATAAAAAAAAAAAAAAAAAAATTTCTGGCCATAATTGTTTAGTGCGCTGGATAAAAGAATACACATTAAAAACACGTGAACAAACGGATAATGCGTATTTCAATGTTTAATTCAATTGTCATCTACAAAAGGTAATATTATAAATTAGTTTCCATTACTGTTAAATTCATACGCCAGTTGGTAGTTATGAAGTGATGTTGCACAACTACAGTTGTCAACGTTATATAGTGGAAATACCATGGAGTGGTAAATATTTAGAAATATTTTACTTCTCTGTGCGATTTGATCCTCGTTAGTTTGCCAAGGCATATCTTGACCGTGTTCTAATTTGAGAACAAAACAATGCTTACTTGGATTAACATAGCGGGTGTTGTCGAAGATGCAGAAGATGCTTAATCTTCTGGAACACCTGGTCCTATTTTCCACCAATTTTTTTCAGGAGACTTTGTGTAATTTCTTTTTTCATTTTTAGACCTAATTTTGTTGAATTTGAGTTTGGATTATGACTATGTTGACATTTTGGCATTTTGTTGTTTACTGCACAGAGCTCCAGTTTTTATAACCTGTTATGGTAACATCAACGAGGAAATTGTCGTAAAATTAGATAAAATTAATTCACAGCAGAAAAGGTACCGTCATTCACATCAATTCCACCTTCACGCAGGTTTTAATTGTTGTATTTTGAGGTTTGAAGAATGTTTCCTTCATGTACATATACTCACGTAACTACGAGTAAAGTCAAATCTGCTCTGTAAAGTGGACTTGTATGACTGTGCCATTCTGCAAACTTGTCGAAAATGTAGAATTTGTCTTTCATATTACCGAAGATCTGTACACAAATATACGGTGTTCTGTTATGATGTTGAGGTATGGTATGTACATAAATAATAATGCAAATACATGTTATAGCAATGAAACATCTGCTTGAACATTTTTATCATTAATATCATTTGCATAATGCCATTGAGAGAAAATACAATACTATTTACACGGAAACTGATGTTCAAAGTATCGTATTATACACTTCAGGTCAAAGTTCAGAAAAGGACATGCTTTACTTGGAATTTTATACAAGAGGGAAGGTCTTTAATTAACCGATAATGACACAAAATTTATAGAATAATTAAGTTACAGTTCTGTAATTGTTGTGACCTTTACTGTATATTACCTGTGTGTTGTTCAATGTTGTAATTCGGGTAATGGATGGCGAGAGGTGATATGTCAGTGTGTCGTCATGGAACAAGGAGTAAACCTGAAGGAGAAAGGATTTATCATTATGTATATCAACTAGAATACCTGTTGTATCTATCAATATTTAGCTAGGTAGTCATCTGTTTAGTTGTTAATGCTCTAAAACTAACAATTATCATTGATATAACCATTTCAAAAACCAAGAAAATCATATTTATATCATACTTTATACAAATTCTGGTATCAAAGAAGAAAATTAAAACCATGTGGGATGATCTGATCTCAAGATGGCAAAGCCCGAAAAGAAATACTTTAATAGTCGTAAAATCATAATGTATATAAAATCAATAAAGGTGCTGGTTATTGTTATAAGTGTAAAAGAATCAGCATTCTGTACAATGTTCATATTTATGGAGAGGAACGTGGTGATGTTTAGTCCGTATAGGCTTTTGTCGTTAGCATGGGAGTCAACCACAGAACCTGCCGTCACAATTTCTACTGTGATAGGTATGTCATGGCTGGTCTTCATTTGTTTTTTCTGGAAACCTATCAAAGTTGAAAACCAAGAGGTTATGGTAGTATTAAAACCGGGTATAGGGTATATCGTATACAAAAGAAACATTGACACAGATACTTATGAACAAAAATCAACAAAAATAAAACTGGGTCTTTATATAGCAAGTGTTATATTGACAATGTTCGCTCTCAAATCCCAGTGATGTTATGTTCTCAAAGAAAGAAACGGTACAGCTATAACAAAACCAGATTGAGAAAACGGCGGAGAATGAATGCTACAGAACTACACCAGAAATTGGATGTGAACTTCTGAATTTGTCCATTGTGCCGATGTAAGGAATCATTGCGATATTTCTACATCAGCCACATACCTCGAGCTTTATGATGATTGTGATAATTTCAATTTTATCTTAAATTGGATTATAGCAAAACCCTGCATCCCCAACATATAATGATTACACGTCGCAATTTATTTGATATTCAAGGGTCTATTCCCATTAACACGATTTTCGTGCAATATGTCATACAACAGGATTTCAAAAGACATAGGTTGATAAAACTTATAAGGAAGTTTTACGGTCGTCATAATGATCTCATTTTATTATATATATATATATTTGTATTATTTTATTTCTCTTTGCGACATAAAGTTGGACGTGTTTGATGCTCTTTATTTTGACTGTTGGATTCGTTGTTGCACACTTGTTCTCATTTAAATACGTGACATTACTAAGATTTATATGGCAGAAGACGATTAATCTGTTTTGTTCATATTATGCCCTGGTTTATTGACTTTGAAATTTGATTTTGATTATGTTTATATGTTGGTGTTTTATTTCCTTTTGATACTATACCAAATCAAATGTATCCTTTATATACATGTAGACAAAAATATTTGTAACGAACCGACACATTGTAATATATTGGTACGCTGTAGTGTCGATTTACAACAAAAATAAGTACCAACGACACAAAAGTGAATACTTAGCAGCACAATGTAATACAAAATTTGACACAACAGAGCCAAACAATGAATTCAATTTATAGTTCTTTCGTCCTTCTAGGACTCGGCAGTGACGCTAAAAACTTAAATATTAAATTTAGGATGCGGCTGAGGAAAACCCAAACTGATCGAAAATCTCAGAATCTCGATTGAGATATGCCCTTACTCCCTTACCTCATTAAATTTCCTAATTTTCGTATAACAGATAATTTTAGAAGTCAAAATATGTGTTTATTCTGAAGATTGCTAAAAAAAATAGGAGTGGTACCAAAAGCATATGATATTTATCTGATAGACGCAATGCCTTACAAACAATATTGATTTCATCATTTACCTGGCGCCCTCCTGGTAAGCTTGTTCACAATGTATGCATCCTCTAAAGGTGTCGTCCGGTTCAAGGATCGAAGAAGGCTGGAATGGCTCGTTTTCAAAGGTAATATGGTAAGATCAAGGCTGGAGGTCGAAATAACCCCTACCTGACAAATAAACAAAAAAGAATAATGTCTTCAATGGCAATATGGTACTGATATGACTTTTAATGGATGTTAAAATCACTGCTACTTTCCAAAAATAAATAAAAACTATGCATTTAATGGTAAGAGGAACAGTATTTCAGATAATGATTTCGTTTTCCCTATGGCGAATTTTAAATTCCTAGATAGAAATATTCATGTCTTACGCTGTTTACATGTTGCAGTTGACTTTATATTCAATGGCTCTTTCCCAATATCAAGATTTCCATGTAAAATGTCGTTGGACGACAGATAAACTCAGGCGTTCGAGATACTGTTTTCCCAATATCAAGATTTCCGTGTAAAATGTCGTTGGACGACAGATAAACACAGGCGTTCGAGATACTGTTTTCCCAATATCAAGACTTCCGTGTAAAATGTCGTTGGACGACAGATAAACACAGGCGTTCGAGATACTGTTTTCCCAATATCAAGACTTCCGTGTAAAATGTCGTTGGACCAATATCAAGATACTGTTTTCCCAATATCAAGATTAAAATGTCGTTGGACGACATCAGGCGTTTCGAGATACTGTTTTCCCAATATCAAGATTTCCGTGTAAAATGTCGTTGGACGACAGATAAACACAGGCGTTCGAGATACTGTTTTCCCAATATCAAGATTTCCGTGTAAAATGTCGTTGGACGACAGATAAACTCAGGCGTTCGAGATACTGTTTTCCCAATATCAATTCCGTGTAAAATGTCGTTGGACGCTGTTTACATGTTTTCCCAGTTGATTTTATAAATTCAATTTTCCCAATATCAATATTTCCGTGTAAAATGTCGTTGGACGACAGATAAACTCGAGATACTGAGACGTTTTATGGTCGACACAATGATCTTTTTGGGAACTATTCACATTTTGTGCACTGACTCGCATAAGTCAAGGAAATCAATGAGATAATGATTTCGATAATTGCATTTTCTTACGAGTATATCGCAGTTGCTAATTGCTGCAAAGCCATCCTTGTGTGAGAGAGACTGACCACGGTAGTTACACGAACGGTAGTGGTCACTGCAGGGAGAGGACATCACCACTCCGTTACTTTTGAAGTGCTGCAGGACACAATCTGAGAGAGGGACATATCCGAATCAGTGAGTTTCAAATAGTTATGTAAAAGCTTTGAATGGAAGGATTTTCTGAGATCGTTGATAGAAAAAGCTGACATGTGCAATAGTTAATAGATTTTCTATGTTTACTATGAAAACTGACACATTTAACGCGAATATAGAGAACTTGATCTTAGTCTGATTTTAAAAAGTCCCTGTTGCCGTTATGTCTTAAGATCCTTTTTTCTATCATGCAATCATATTCGGCATAAGGAGCAATAAAATTGTCAGATAAAATCTTTATTAATTTTCACTTCGACAGACCAATTCTAAATAAATAAAATGCATTTTGTAAATCGGTTCTTGTTAGTAATTTTACCTTTTGTTAGAATCTCCTCATTAACTCTAAGCTTGAATATAAACCTCTCTCCAAATGCTCGCAGGGAGAAAATCTTTCCGTCTTTTCTTTTGAAAGATGTTATCGTTGGTTTCTCAATAAACATATAAGGTGGTACTGCAAAGTAATAAAAGGTTAAACAGATTGAAAATAATTTCTCCTTGAAAAACTGTTCTATCGTCTCTAGTGTATGTCACAGGACTTAAAACATCTACATAAATCCCACGTAAAAACAAATGCGAAATGTTCATATTTCTTAAAAAAATAACATAGCAATGTGTCATAATTCCATGTCACATATATGTCGCGTGACGGCCCTTAGTAATGATATTAGAACCGGTGTCTACTTTATATTGATAAAGTAAGTTTCGCTAATCTCAATTAGAAATCACTTACCATGTTGTTGTTCTTGTACGCCAAAGTAGTAGACTAGGTCCTGCTTATCAAGTTGTTCATGGAACTGCAATGATTACCTTATTACTTATAACGTAAAGCAGTAAGACCTTAATTAATATTCTAATAGTTTTCATATCCTTTTTAAATGTACTCTTGCAAATGATTTATGTGTCGGGTAATTTAAACTTTAGACAGTATTAATTTAATTATTATTTATTCACAATAAAGAAAGAAAATATTCGGATCATTGCTTGTGTCCTTTACTTTTGCAAGAGACGTGCAGAAAACACATGGGTGAATGGCACATTTCAATACAAATTTAGAAATAGATGATATATTGTTAAATGATAAACTTTGCTCCATCATGCAGTTGTTTGTTCCCTCTTAGGAACTCTCAGCGATGCAAAAAGTCCTAAATTATTGAAACCTATGAGGCGACTGAGGACCATCTGAATTAGTGAACGAAAATCATATACCAGACAGGAATGTAGCTTACCTCAAAATTCGTTAGATTCGTAAATTTTCTCAGTTCCTGAGTTATTTAAGTAAAAGTCATGAACTTTTGCATATGTGTGTATATTCTTAAACAATGTCACTATTAAAATTAATCAAAATGTAGAATGGACTTTACAGCAAACCTCGATGACTTAAAGTCCAAAATTATTGTCCATCACATGCAGTCTCAAATACTGTACTCTAGGTATACAAAGGATAAGCACCTTTCCAAAACCTGTCCCTATATCTCTATTATTAGACATATTGATCGATCAACAGCCTTTCTTACGAACATTGCAACATTCTGTTTTTAAGGATTTACGTATTCTGAAATGTTATGACGTCTTTCAAGAGTTATATAGTGTTACTGGTATCTCACCTTACACAGCATTTTCGAATAAATATCAGATTTCTTATCTCAACTTACACACCATTTCCGAATAAACATCAGCTTTCTTACATGTATCTCACCTTACATGTCATTTCCTCATAAACATCAGCTTTCTTATCTCACCTTACACACCATTTTCTAATAAACATCAGCTTCCTTATCTAACCTTACACATCATTTCCTAATAAACGTCAGATTTCTTATCTCACCTTACACATCATTTCTGAATAAACATCTTTCTTTTCTAACCTTACACGTCATTTCCTAATAAACATCAGCTTTCTTATCTGACCTTACACACTATTTCCTAATAAACATCTGATTTCTTATCTCACCTTACACACCATTTCCGAATAAACATCAGCTTTCTTATCTCACCTTACACATCATTTCCGAATAAACATCTTTCTTTTCTAACCTTACACAGCATTTCCTAATAAACATCAGCTTTCTTATCTAACCTTACACGACATTTCCTAATAAACATCAGCTTTCTTATCTGACCTTACACACTATTTCCTAATAAACATCTGATTTCTTATCTCACCTAACACATCATTTCCTAATAAACATCAGCTTTCTTATCTAACCTTACACAGCATTTCTGAATAAACATCAGCTTTCTTATCTCACCTTACACGACATTTCCTAATAAACATCAGCTTACACAGTATTCCATATAAACAGCAGTTTTGTTTTCTAACATAACATAGCATTCCGAATACACATCAGCTATCTTCTTACCTTACACAACATTCCCAAATAAGCATCAGTTTTCTTCAGTAACCTTACTCAGCATTCCGCAATGAACATCAGCTTTGTTTTCTAACCTTAGACAGTATGACGGAATTAACTTTAGTTTTCTCTTCTAACCATACCTGGCATTTTCAAATAAACATTGGTTTTGATTTCTAACCTTAGACGTCATTCCCAAATAAGCATCAGTTTTCTTTTTCACATTACACAGCATTTCCGAATAAACACCATGTTACACAGCATTCCGAATAAACATCAGCTTTCTTTTCTATCCTACACAGCATCCCCAAATATGCATCAGCTTTCTTTTTCGACCTGAGATTTATTTTCTAACCCTTCAAAGCATCCCCGAATATCCACCAGCTTTCTCTTTCGACTCTACAAAGCGTCCCCAAATTTATATGTTTCTTTAAAATAAACTTTTTTATTTTACATGGTGTCTCCAAATATGTATCAAATTTTACTTTAAAAGGTGATTCCAAATTTGTATAAAGTTTGTTTAATTACTTTACATGATGATTTGGGATACGTATCAACTTTGTTTCATTATTGTACATGGTGTACCCGAATTTGTATCAACTTTTTTTCCATATTAGCTTTCTTTAAAGTATAAAGTATCAACGTCACTTTTAGAGCCTTACAAAACATCTCCAATTATCAATAAACTGTCTTTCCTTAGTTCTACGTTGTTAGGTCATCTACCAAAGCTTTGCATAGTGTTCAAGAGCGTATAAATGTTATCTTTTTACACCCTCGAAACTCTAGATGTTGCAAGCACTTTCTTTCTCTGCAACCCTTTTATATCGAAGATATCTTTGTAAAGCCTTGCATAACGTTGATTGGTAACCGTTTTGCATGGTTTTACGTCTGCCCTTACCTTGCGTCCATGTGTAACCATCAGCAAGACAAACATCCACAGCAGCAGCAGCATCCTCGAGTCTTCCTTTTGGTATGAGGATAGAAACTCTCCAGACGCGAGTGTTTGCTCCAATTTATACAGATATCAGACATGATTAATATCATTCCTGGGTATTAATTTCACTTATCGTCAGTAATCCAGGTAGGCATTTTCTAATCTTTTTGACAATGCCACTGTCAATTCCGTTCAAAATACCTCGAGAGTTTTCAATAGACCTTCTCACAGCCGCCCTTGCACAATACAATCTCAAACATTAACGGCGTCTTGAGTCGCCATTTGATTTTTTTAACATAGATAAGAAATTTCAATAAATATTGGTGTCTTGACGTGTCTTTTTTATGATATAATTAAGTGGCAGTTTTGCTTACATATAAATCATGCCACAATACATTAGCTATTAAAAAGCATGTTGGAAAAAAATGTTTGGGTTAGATACACTCTTGTCAAACTTTAACCTTATCTGTTACCGGGAAAGAATTTTTACATTGACACCGTTTACACAAATATAACATGTTGACATGCTGAAGATGAAAAAGCTAAAAGTCATCTTGATGAAAACTTTGAATACTTATTTACATAATGACTGAATCAAGGTACGATTTATTAATTCTAACTACATCAAAGGAGGCAATCACAACTAGTCCACATCAGCAGTAACACACATAACTGTTATATCAACGTGGTAGGATATATTAAGAGAAAGTCGCATGAATCTTGGAGATTTAATTGCGGTAAGCAATCCTACTTATCACATAATCATGCTTCTGTATAACAATCTTGACAGTAAGTTTTCATTGTTTTATATAGTCTAGTTTCTTTTGCAAAAAATAAATAGATTATAAGAAAATACCAACATGACAACGTTATCATAATCCAAACTCAAATTCAATGATGCAAAATATGAGTAAGAGGGAAAGCCAGAATGAAGAAAGGTCTAAAAAATGGCAATAGTAGGACTATGTGACTTGAAGGCAGACATCCTTCAGATGATGAGCTTTCCAGTAGAGGTGATTTCCATACCACTCCACCCATTACTGTGTTGTGGTCCCACAGGTCCAACCAGATGTGGTGATCAAGCTGAAAACACCATGGCAATACAGGATGTAGAAGGCATCTGTTGGTAGATGAAAGTAAACAGCAGGGATGAAGGACAAGGTATCTGCCTGTGGAGGCTAACTGCAGAGAAATCCCTGACAAGTCTTTTTGGTGAACTTAAGACTCATTGGGGGTAAAACAGAAGAAACTGGTAGGGGCAGCAATTGGACAGGCAAATAAATGCTTCCAGCTTCATATTGAAGATGAGAGGTGAAAGGTTGAGTGATCACTAGACAGCTGCTAGAGTGATGGGAGACAAGTAGGCAATATCACTGTCTGAAGTGATTCAGCTGGGCAAGTGAGAAGGTTGATTTATGAAACATCCAAAGGAGCACTGAATGAACACAAAATGAACAGCCTTGATCAACCCAGTCAGCACACCTGTAGAGGACATTATAGAAAGCACTGAAAAGTCCAAGGAAGGAAGATCCATCTAACGATTAAACTAGCCTGCATTGGATTATTCCTATGTCTGCAAGGGGACTTGTTGAATTATTTCATCACAAAGAATTCGACAGATCTTTTTACACCTTGATATGTTTTATAATCAAAAGATATAGCACTCTTGTCTTGAGATCCAATTCCTTATTTTTCATTAGATTTCTTTCAGATTTGGTAGGATCAATCATAATGACATGAAATCATGCTCTCTGAGGCATTTTGATTAAACATTTTGATTAAAGCTTTCCATATCCATATTTGATTTGAAACAACCATGTGTTTCTCTGGCCTGGAATGAGTGTATATTCTTCTGCCTGTGGTTCTCCTCTACACAGCGCTCACCATGATAATCAATTGATAAAAGTTACAACAACAAAATCATTGCATTTCGTCTTTTTTTATTTTCTTGAAAAACAATTGGAAAAGTTCTCTTCTTTTAAACTCACAAAAATATATTACAAGTCTTTGTAGAAGGTAAAAATGATGTACAAAGACATACAACAGCTGTCTGTTGGTGGGAATGAGGCATGTCATATCCTCTGACAGTTACAACAGTACAGATACCTACCTTGACAGTCACAATACACGGGTAGTATATACAACATTTTTATAAACCTGGAATGATTATGAGTATCAATGGCTGTCACATAGAGGTCTTTATACATATATGTGGTCAATGAGAGAAAGTAATCAAGAAGATTAATGTAATAAATTATGTGTCGTTGTGGTACATACATATATATATATACAACATGTATCTACATGTGTAAAGTATCAGAAAAAATATAATAAATACCTGTTGTCCTAATTACAATTACTATATTTTGTTATCAATTTGTTTTCAATTAAAAAATACAAATCTGTATTTGACTCAATGACAACCAGGGCACAATGCCATTTCAGAAAATTTCAACCACTGTACTTGTATAAAACAGGCCTTTTACCTATCAAATATTAAATGTTAATCAAAGTTAACACACTATTTTCTTCATTTTTGTTTACCTTAACAATTCAGTTTTTTTTAACAGAATCCAGATAAAGTGAATATCCAATAGGATGATGAAAGGTAATGATATACAGTGTATATCCAATATAATTAGTTTATTTCCCAAGTATAAAACACCAACCACCAGTGGTTTACACCTGGGAACAAAATCTTGAGGTAGGATCTAAAAGTCTGCCAAAGAATCATTTAGGAAATAAATATCCATATACAGATGTGGTAACACATAACCCACCAAACTATTTTTGCGCACATCGTCCATACATGCGCTCTATAAAGTATCTAGAGAAGAATTGTACGATAGGATTGTAAACAAAAGGCTTTAAATTACTAGTGTGTAAAACTATTCAGTCTGTATCTAATAAATCTACATATGTTCAACCTATAGATTTTAGCTTGATTAGAAAATATACTTATAGTTGTACTCTTGTATTTTTAGAAAATAAATAAAGCCTATCCCACACCTATCTATTAGTAACTTACAATTTCAGACTCCTTTTTGAACCAATAGCAACCAAAGGATCAAAGAGGAATCACTGGAATATGTTAGCACTGCAACAACTGGAAAGTTTTTCAAAGATTGGTTATATGAGGAATGGGATGGGGAAGTTAATTTAAAAAATATATATATATTTATAAATTAGAAAGAAATATTAATAATATTATAAGAGATTTAAAACAAACAATGACAAAATGTCAATATTTTCAAGGAGAAACAAGAAATAACTATATCCATTTGACAACAGAGAAAAAATGTAAAGAGCTTGGTAATATTTTAGGTGTCTGGTCCCAACACTTCAATACTGGAAAATACAAATAACAGTGAAGTCATTCAAAACTTTACCTGGAAAAACACCCATATGTGGCAACAAGTCCATCCATATCTAGTGCCAACACACACAGAAAATTAATACAAGTTATGATTTTTTCACTCACTTTTGACCAATCACATCACAGTATTTGCAGTTTAAATATCAAATTTCCCAGAGTGCATTGCCGACCTGACAAACAACAACTCCTGCTTTATTGTAATGTATTAATCCTGTTCAATGTGAATTTTAGCATTAGTTTCATATGCTGCACACTCAAGAAAATATATAAAACTCCCTCCCTACTCAATAAAGTATCACCATTGTTCATCAAGAAATAAATATATCCTCAATATACAACTTACAATAGAGAAAAATAATTAACAGCTGGCTGTATTTGTTTCCCAATAAGCCCATTCATGTTGGAAATGCCCATAATGTAAGTGTTATTTCATTGTCCTGTAATAAGCCTACAGACTACATATGTATGTGTTGGTCCCCTGGACTGGAGGTAAAGAGCATTTTACCAGTAGTAACAACAGCAGAGGAATGATATCAGAACTTTATACAAAATATATAATACCAATTACATTAATATACAGAAAGTACTGGAATCTTTCAGAAAAAAAAAAAATTAATAAATATCCTTGAAAGTAGACAAGTGCAACATAAGATTCTCTAAAAGTGGTAGTGAATTGCTTTAATACACTATAGTTTAATGTTTGTCAAATGTGTTTTGTAATCTAAGACTGCACACTGTTGGTACTTCATGTTAGATATCTTCGGGATTCTCCTTCAGTGTGCTGATAAACAGTCAACACTGGACACCTGTAGATAACTCAGTACTTTATAAGTAAACATCCTTTGTAGTCTTTTACAAAGAATCATATACAACCAGCAGGATATAGGTGAGAAACTACTTAAGTGCAAGTTACAATTTAAATCTAAATTAATCATTCATATCAAAATTCTAATGGAAAGAGGATCTTAATGATGATTTCATGAAAATGAGTAAGGAAAACTTTTTTTTTGAAAACATAAATATATAAAAATTAATAAAAACTTAATTCAGATCTAAAAAAAGGAAGAAAAAAAGTAATTTGGATCACCTGTCATGTGTTCAAGACAGTTTAATGGTTATATAAAATTGTATAGCAGGTGTACACTTTAAACTCAGGTCTAGTAAGTCATTAATGAGATAGTGACCAGAGATATGAGATTGGAAGCAAATCTTTGATAATAACTCTCCTATCACACGGAGTTGAAAGTAAAATCTAAAATAAATCATAGTTACCGTACATACAGAATTATAAATGATTTCTTCTGTTATCTGTGAGTCGTTCCAGGTTATGAAGGCCATATGAATCAAGGATATTAGAAATAACTCTTTAATACATGTCACACAAAGCATAAACTGAAAACATTCTTTCACTCCAATCAATACAAATTTTGTAGGTATTGTAGCGGCAGACACCAAGAAAATAATCATTCCGCATAATATTTGTCTTTATGGTGTAAGTGTTACGATCTTCTGGTACTTTATGATAAAAAAATATGGTATTCTGCTAGGTTTTACAGCTGTCTATTTATAGATGCAAAACATTTAAAAGATAGAACAGATATATATCAAGCCTTGCAGAAATGAAGCAACATTTAATTTCAGC